ATTATTTTATAATTTTAATAAATTTGAAAATTACATAATAAGTCTAATGTTCAGTTTTATTATAACGAAATTAATTAATTTTATATAATTTACATTGTGAGAAAGTAAAATATCTAGCTCTCTATCTATCTTCTCTTTTTTAATCAAATATATTATCATATTATTTCATATATTATATATATAAACATAATAATATATTTCATATATTAAACATATATTAATTCATAAAGAATGGATCATATTCATTTATTGACAAAATAAAAAAATTGTAATTATAATTGTAACTATAAGAAATTATATTGTGACACATATAATATGGAACTTTTATAAATTATCAAACTAATATTCATGCTTGAATTTATGAATGATAAAGGTAAATGAAAAAAATTTAATTTTTCTTTAAGAAAATTTAATATAATACATGTTCGTTTACGTACACATATATACTGTGATTATTCTATATATCGTGATATCTTTTTTTCCCAGAAACGCTCTCAATTTTTATTGATAAGTTTCAAGAAAAAGATTTATAAATAAAAATATTTAAAAATTTGATATGTAATATTACTGTAAATACTTTATTATAAAATTATTTGTAATATACAGTATGATAAGAAAAGATTTATATCTTTAAAGATAGACAGTACCTAACAAATGAAGTAGAAAAGTTTTAATAAATATGGATTGAAAAACTATTATTTATAAAGGTATAAACAGTATTTTGTTTTTGTTTAAGTAAGACATTCAATTAAAATTGTTTATAACTTTATAATTTTATAAATTAATAGTAGAACAATAATTTTGAACTTATAGTGTGCGTACCACTAGTGGTACGTTGAAAAATTATATATAATTTTTAGATTATATATAGTGTAGTGTACTGCAACGAATAGATAGTACTTTAGTACCATACGTACAAAATGGTGTCTTAATCACATACTCGGTGGTAATATATAAAAAAAAGGATTGAGAACCGCTGTCCTGGAGATTATAAACCTTTCTTTCCACTCTATATAATCATTCGCAGTAAAAATCATACAATGTGTATTGACGAATATTTCATTTAAGTGAAGTTTCTAAGTTTAGGAATAGGTTAAGTATTCTGGCAATAATTGAATTGCAAGTTTTTAGTTCAGTATAATTTCATAACTTGAATAAAATAGCAATAAAAACTACAGTACGCCGGAAAATAATAACATATGAAATAACGCATAATTACAAAATAATGCGGTTCAAAATTAATTATAATAAATATAGTTGTTAACAAAATCTTTGTTCGTGGATTTTAGTCATTAAAATATATAGTAGAAATCAATATTTCAAACAACTTTTTTCTGTACATAGGATAAAAATATTGGTATAGCAACTATTATTATACAGATGTTTATAACTATTAAAGAAAAGTTTTTTTTATATATCCATTCGTTACTTATCATAGTTTAGTACAGAAGAGAAATAAGAATATAATAACATAAATAGAATGATTTACAAAATAATGATAAAGATATATGTATTTCTTGAACATTTTATGAAAGGATAAAAGTATTGACACAAAATAAGATAAACAATATATTGTTGTTGTTTTCAACAATTTCCAATTATCATTTGAACTAGTAAGGTAAGATCCCACATTAGTCATTTGTTATAATGTTTGATCAATGAAGATGAAGATGATTTAAAAAGGAAGCAAATGTTGAGAATCAGATTAAAAGTGATAAACTAGCAATTTGGAAAAAAAATATTATAAACATAGTGAAGTAAAATCTAAAAATTGTTTGTCTAAAATTATGTTTATAATAAAAAAATGAGTGCCATAAGAAAGTAAATAGCAAAATTATACATAGAATATGAAGAATGTTAATTATTTTGCATATATTGCAAGAAAGAAGTTTTACATCGACAAGATAAAGCAAAATAAAAAGAAGCATTCACAAAATAACTTATTATGAAAGATAGTGATATTTGGAACAAAATTATTTTTTCAGATGAAAACAAATTTAACATTTTTTAATTAAATAGTGGAGTATTGATATGGAGGAAGTCAAATTCAGAAATGGATTAACATAATGTACAAATTAATGTAAAACATAGAAGTAATAGATTAATGATATGGGAGTACATGGCAATGTTAAGTATAGGAAAACTTGTATTTATCAATAATATTATGGATAAATATGTATATTTAAATGTGCTAAAAAAATCTTTTAAAAATGTCCAAAAATTAAATTTTTTAATGAATTTTTATTTTAAACAAGATTGAGATCTAAAATATGTGGTATATATTATTTGCCACTGAACATATATTACATTTTACAGTTATACACAATTAAGTATGTGTAGATCGAGCTTGCAAAAGAATTAGGAAACACAGTGCAACAAGTAAAAGTGAATTAAAAATGGTTCTTCTTCAGAAATGAAATAATTGAGCCCTTTATAAAAAGATTAGTTCATTCAATGTCCTGAAAAATAAAAGTTGTTAAAACGAAAGGAAGCCAATAGAATATTAAGACTGTTTATTAATTAATTTATTCTATTGTGTAAAAATTTGTGTAAAATACTTAAGACATATATTTCTTTTATTATTTTGTATATCATCTTATTTGTGTTATTATTTTTATTACATAATAAACTATAATAGATAATAAATAAAGATACCAAAAAAGTTTGTTTCAAATCCATTTATTTAGTAATTATAAACATTGTATACACTGTGGCATTGTATGTGTCAATCTTTAATTGTTTTTTAACTACAGAGTTCAATATAATAGTACCAACAATTTTTCCAAATAACTTAAAAATTAAGACCAAACTGTAATGAATGTTTAAATAAAAGTTGTCTAGAATATCATTCTTTATAACATAATTCAAAATCATTGTGATCAGTACTCACATTTTGTACCTTTTTGCAAAAAAAGTAGCAGAAACACATTACTTTTTCAAGCTTCGTTAGTGACTCACAGAAGTATTCATACTCTTCCTAGTGTTGACTTTGAATGGATGCTATTTGTTTATAATACATTTTAAAAAATTCTTATAATGGTCATTGTATATTGGAATAACTAAGTTTTTAAAACACCATAAATTTTATTGTAAAAAAATATGTCAACATAACAAAAATAAAAATTTTAATAAATATCAATAAAATTTGTGTCACAAAAGTATTTGTATCTGGTATATTTTAAATTAATTATTTTGTACATTCTATTCAAGAGTATTCCAAATATCTATAATTTTTTCTTTTAATATTTCTTTATTCATAATTTCAAACTTTCTTAATCTTCTTTTAACCTCTACCCATTAATTTTCAATTCAAACTCAAATTTTTTAATTCAAACTTTGTGTTTTGTTTCCTCCATACTATGACGTGTCTATCTGAATTAAACAAGTTAAACTTGTTAATTTACAAGCAACTCTACCATTGAAACCTTTTTTTCATAAAATTTTTTTACAGGTTTCTGCAGACACTTTTTTATTAAATGATTTTCAAATGAACGCTGATAACTTTGGACCACTAATAGTCAGATTTCTTTTTATTTCTGCTTTATTACTGCTCTTTCTTTTGTCAAAGATAGTTTATTCGGAACTATTTATTTCTACAATATATTAAAAAAACATTGAAATTGAATGGTAAACAGCTCATCAACAATTTCATCAAAACTACAAAGAGTTACATTTAAAAAACATGTATAGTTGTATTTTATTGATGCACAGATGTAGTTTTGGATAAAATCACATTACACGATGATAGATCATATTAAATGATGTAAAACTTTCCTCTACAATTTCTTTTATCTTCAATAAGGTTACAGTCAAACTCAATTATTAGACTCACCATATATACATTTTTTAAGAAAAATTCTGAAAAAACACACTTCTTTCCCATAAATAAACATTTACTTGTAAAAAATATCAGTGTAATAGTTACCATAATTGCATAACATGGCTTTTACATTTGCTTTTAGATCAAACTGTTAAATATCAAAGGATGTTTGTGCCATGTAGGTAATTAGATGATTGCATTATAGATATTATTTTATTAGAGAAGGTTAAATAATTGCAAACAGGATTTGGTGTTTAAAAAAGAACTATCATAAGTATATTGCATGCAAAAGTGGTCAATGACAACATCATACAACACAAATTCTTTTTGGCAATATGCATTGGGTGATTTTTATGGAGTTATTTCTCCTGAACACGATTCCATAAGTAGAATTGCTGCATTCTCAGTTTCCAAAATAATTTCTGATTTTTAACAAAAACAAAGTATTGTATGAAAACTAGAAATGTTAGAAAGCTCTAATTGGTCTTAAATGACAGAAAAAGTCTTTGGATATAGCAGTAATTTTAATTATAATATTTTGAAATTTTTAATGATTATAAATAACTGTTAAAGTTTAAAAAATTACCAGCATACGTATTACTCACTTAATGTATATAATAATGATAAATTTTTTATATTTTCTTGCATATTTGTTAAGGAATTATTAAGAATTGTATTAAATACTTTTAATGTTAAGGGGAGAAATGAAGTATATATAAAATATATTAGACGTATTTACAATACTTGTAAAATACGTTAACAATTCAGTATTAACATTATTTGACATTTTCTTTTTTTGTAATTAAGTTAACCCTTGCATGACGATGGCCGAGTTTGCGGTGACCCGTTTAAAGCGAAATACGTGTATATGTGACTCACATTAAGCATCTACAAGGAGGTTGCAAGGCCTTCGAATCACCGATTTGGTTCAAATTTTGTAGGATGGTAGATTTAGTTTTTCTGATAAAGAAGGTATATGATTATAGGTGTCACTATTCAATAATTTTTAAAACATTTGCAATTGAAGATTTATCGTAGGTTTAATTCAATTCTGTTTAGAGATGTTACCGTGAAATGGTTTGGCTGTGTCTCGAAGGCCTTGCAGTTTCTTTATAAGAAAAACAAAGCCGAATTATTTCACACGCGAGCCAATTGTGTTTGGAAGACACATGTAGCGATTTATTCATAGTAAATAAAGGAAAGTTTTGTAGTGCATTATTTCAGTACAGTACTATTATCAGTTCTTTTATTGTATTATTATATTATATTATATAATTTAGTATCTTAGTATTATTTACTATTTCTTTTCTAGCGTCTAGCCGTATACATAAAAAAAAAGTTCTCTGTCGTGAAAATGGCTAGCACAATTTATGACATTTACTTTAGCAAAGCTATTTTTTAGGAAACATTTCCCAGAACTTTTTTCAAGTATGATATAGCAAATTTAGTCAAGAGTGATACAATAGCAAATACATTGAGAATTTTCGAAGAGCACTTTTTTTAAATAGAAAAAATAAATAATTTTTTATTCCCTACCACTTTTCAATATGACAATATTAGTAATAATCAAAAAAATGAATAAATCAATGGAAATAAAATCAAGCTCTTATATGTTAGCACCCTAGTTGAACGCGATATACAAATGTTCTAAGTGTGCGTTAGACGAGAACCGGCTACCTCCCGCTACGATGCCATATACGAGGGTTAATAATATATGGATTATATAAAAATATCCAATACGCTAAACAAGTGTCACACGACAAACGTGTGAGGATACAGTCTTTGGTTTTCATTGTGCTTATGAACCCAATAAATAATATTTATTATTGTTAAATATAATTTCCTTGTAAAAACAACAGTATTATTTTGAGAAAATTCGTTCTTTTTCATTCGTTCTCTTAGAAAATTGTAAATATTATACAAGAATATTCTACGATATGAAATATTGTTTTATTACTTTATTTTTTCTCAATTAAAATAATGACTTATTTTCAATAACTTCGAACAATGGCTACTTTGATTTTTTTACTATATATATTATTATAGATACATATATAGAATATGTTACAGATATAACATTTAATATTAGGTTGTAATTATTTTTAGTTTATTTTCAATATTTATCAAAACACATTGAGGAATATGTGCACGTATTTTAAATTCTGTAATAAACATATATTATTTATTAATATGTTTTCATTAGTTAAATATTATTACCTTGTTTCTAAAATTATGTTATTTTGTTTAACGATTCGAATCGTTATCAAAAATTATTAATGATGTTAAAATATTACTAATAATCAAAAAATAAATAAGAAATGCATTGAAGTATATCACATATTATACATACTATAGAATTATATATTCTTTAAAGAATCTTTTTTTCCAATCTTCAATATATATTTAATTAATTTCAGTTATATTTAAAACATTGTCTAATATTATGTAAATTAATATTAAAAATGTATAAAAATTTTAATTTTAGAAATGAGATAATAATAAAGTACTAATTTACATACAGTAATACAAACTCTGTTCATGCTAATTTAAATTTAATAAACTCTATAATAAAAATGAAGCAATGAAAAAGCAATATAGTAATATTATTACAATAATAATGCAAATACTTTTAATAAAACTGGTTATCCTTATACTCTGTAATAATTATCATTATGATACTACATTACATTAGTAAAATCATTAACTAAGTAGATCCATTACATCATAAGAAGGCAATTTTTCTACCTTTTGATTTGAATTAGAATTCAAATTTGAATTAAATTCTAATTTATTAAGAGAGAAATTATATGTATTAGGATTCAAATTTGAATTAAACTCTGACTTATTAAGTGTAATATTTCCTTGGTTCATAGAATAATTAGTACTATTTTGAGGAATAACTGAATTTGGAACACAAATATTTCCTTTTTGATTCAATTGTATATTCATTCCTTGTGGGTTGAAATGTTGATATTGATTTGAATTTAGTGATTTCCAAGAATAATCAGGTTTTGAACTTGACATTGAAAAATTTAACTGATCCAGATTAGATTTCAGTAAAGTATCAGTTAAATCTTTTACTGGAGGCTTTGTAGTTTGAACAACTGTTGGTGTTAAGGGTGTTTGAGATTGTAATCTTTGATGTACTCCTTGTTGTTGAATTAATCTGTAAATAAAACAATGTTTGATTTAAAAAACTTCTACATTTTAAATTAAATTTTAATTGTACATTAACTGATTTGTAATTTTTCATTAATAAATGGCAATTATTACTACCAACCGAAGTTTATCTTCCATTGTCAATCCATTTTCAATCTGTAGAGACTTTAAACTTGTGCTTGTATTTGACATAGGAACTATAGGAATTATATTTATATCATCATTGGGTGAATTAATTTTTTTATAAATAGTAGAGGTCTGTGAAAGTTCTTGATCTAATTGTTGAGTCTCACGACGCATGGCATCTAATTGTTTTAAAGCTTCTTTGTGCTCTGATGTAACACGATTTATCATTTCAATTACAAGATTTGAAAGAATTTCATATTGTGGCAAACTAAAATTTTGTTCAATACAGAGAGGCAATAAAAATGGTAAAATCTTTGTTGCTAATATTTCTTTGCTTGTTCCTAATTTACTATGATTTAATAGCATCCTATAAATTCCTAATAACAAAATAAATTAATATATGTCATTTATAACCTATTAATTTTATTTATTATTATTTAATTTAGCTTTTCATTTTTATTATTATGTTAATATTTTAATGTAATATAATACCTATGATAGCCATAAGAATTGCAGGTTCTCCAGAGTGTGGAATTTCCTGTAAAAAAGGTAACACCTGATCGAGTACAAGCCATCGATCAAAGTGAGGTAACATTTTTGCAAGACATAATAAACAGTTAACTCTAACTCCAAGACTCTTGCTGCTGCTTCCTTTTCCATATAAGCATATTTTTTTCATTCTAGGTAAAATTGCATTTTTAATTACTGGTCCTTCAATCATTGTTATAATATTTGGCAAAGCTGATAAACATAATTCTTGTAATTGTTCCCACTCAGATTCTAAAGCACGTAACAACATTGGGACTATATCCGTTTTTATAACTTCTGTAGTACATAATTTTAACAATAAGTCAGCATGCTGCATTAAGACAAGACTAATTTGTGGTGGATCATCTAACGTCAAAACTGATTTAATGTTTGGTAAAATATATTCTCTAAATTCTTCCAGAGAACTTGTTTCCATTGCATATATAATGCTAGGTAAAACAAATGGAATCATTGGAGGATTAAATAATTCCTTATACAATGCTGGAAGAACTCTATGTAGTATAACTCTATGCGGTAATTGTTTCAGAAGTTGAGGTAATCCTTTGTAAAATTGTGATTTTTGTAAATTATCCCATTGAAAAATTTTGTCTAAATAATTCAAAGTTTTGACACCTATATCCATAAAGTATTCAATCTTCACAAACTGATGAGCATCTGGTCTTAATTCAGGGTTATGATGTAACATTAATTTAACTGTATCTCTAAGAGTATCTGAAGTTGGCAGGAATATATCTGCGATAGTTGAACTCTTAAAATTTTCTAAAAATTGTTTGCATTTTAATAAATCATTGTTAGATTCAAAAGGAGGTGTATGCATTGGAGAATGTAAAACATATGTCACCACTCCCAAAGAAAATATATCACTGGCTGTACCAACACTACTTGCTAAAATACATTCTGGTGCTTGATAATCTAAATTTGGCTGAGCTACAAATGGAGCTGATATGTCATATTCCACATATGACCATTGAGGTTGTTTACCTTCAGCACTTTGATTTAACGCACAAAAGTCAAATCCAAAAATTTTCCATGCTCCATGACTATTAACAACAATAGTTTCTGGGCATAGGTTTCTGTGTAATAATTTAACATCTCCATGTAAAAATGCAAGGCCTTCTCCAAGTTGTAAAAGTCCATATTTAATTTCAACATCATGCAGTTTATAGTCTTTTAATGCTATTGGTACTGGTTGTGATAAATTATTATGGTTTCCCAAAATATTAGCTAAGCTAGCTAACACAGGTTCAGTTGCAAATGCTAAACTATCTCTTGATTCTTCCAAAGGATGTTGAACAGTTAAAATTTGTGGATGACGTAATTTTGTTAATTGTGCAACACCTCTTTTTAAAGTTTCTAAGATAGATTCTTTATCACTTTTTGAAAACTTATCTAAAATACGTTTTTCAAATACAAAGATCGCAGCTTCTTGTTTTGTAGATTTTTTATAACCATTGTAAACTTTCCATAGCAATGATGGTCCCGCACTTGCTATGTGAGTAGTTACTTCAAATTCTCTAGTTACTGGATTACCAGGAAGAACATTTGATAATTGTGATAAACCATAAGCAGTATTTTGTACAGTGTTGGAAATTGTGTTGCTAACAGTGTTTCGTAGCTTTGCAAACACATCCATTTTATATCACAATTTATTTTAAATATCCATTTATTAACATATTACTTTATTTTTTTAATTTTAATATAAAGTATTATTATTTAAATTACAAATTTTGAGATTCTACCTTTTCTTCATTCACATTGAAGTTTGTTATCATTTAGCCATCAAACATTTTATATATATTATATGTATATAAAAATTAATTTTTTCGAACATCAGATAACTTTGCACAATAAATTTATTGTTATATTAAACGTTGCTAAAAGATGTTATTACATTAAACAAGATATAATAATTTGTGACACAATGACTCGATTCTATATATCATATTGGATTACTGTATTTTACTAGTTTCCAGTTAATGGTTGTTATCTACCAACCTAAACAAATACATATTAGTATTTAGTACTTTTCAAAAATTCCTACAATATTTCTATATTTTATATACTAATTCATTTAAAATTCTTTCAATATTTTTATATTTTGATACATTATGCGAAATTAACGAATAAAATTATTTTTTTATTTATGTGACGTAATTTTTAATACTTTATACTGAAGATGACGTGCTATACTATAAATCACTATTTTTTATTAACAAAAAATTAAAACTATATATGAGAAGGATGAAGATTGAATGGAATTCAAAAATTATTACATTTGAGTAGCAAAAATATATTAATATTAGAAACTATTGAATGTAACTAGATGTATATCACAAGTATTGTTTCAAGCATGCAATAATAGTTAATACAATAATTCTAGTAATGAGTAATAATACGGAGTATGTATTTGAAGATAAATACATGAAACAATTGACATTGGTCATAAAATAAATTACGATATATATGACGATGTAAGAAAAATCAAAATATATATGACATCAATTTTTGGAAACTGAGTAAAAATTAAATTTTTTACAGTGGTTTAATATTTTTTTGAATTGTTGCAAATAAGACATATGTAACAAGTATTAATGGGAGTTATATATAAAAATTAGGTGAGACTTTAATAATGAAGTGTTTTTAAAAATTTCAATTTAAGTATATATAAAATAAAATAATTGGTACAGGTAAATTTATAAATCTTAAATTACGTAAATAAAAAATTTAGTTTAATTAAAATTAAGTCTTTTAATATATTTTCCAGCAATTTAAATTTATGTTAGCTATTAAAATTGATTTTTTAAAATATACATTAAGTATATTTAATAAAACATACATTATATGGCAAAGTTTAGAAACTTGTTATGTATTACATTTACAATATAATAAAACAATAAAAAAAAAAAAATTGAAATTATAATCGCTAAAATAGGGATTTTTTAAATAAGCAGTAAATATTCAATCTACATTGTTAGTATTGTACATCTTTTTATATGAAAAATAACCATACTTACAATTCTCCGAAAATATTCAAAATTTATGTACGAAAAATATTGACAATTAAATGTTTAGTATACATACGTAAACAAAGATGTGTTACTTAATCTAAATTTAAGTTTAGATGATATGTCTTGCTATGTTATACTATATGATACTATAAATGAAAATTTTGTCTAGAGAAATTATTTTGTACAATATATTATTATTTTGCTAAATGTTCGATTAGATCTTTGTTTCAAGGATGTTTTCTAAATGTTGAAAAGTGTAAAGGTGACAATTAATAATAATTGGATAATTCTAAACAAAATAATAAAATTAATAGAAACACTAAAATATCTAAAAACTGCGGAAAATTGATTTTCGTGTCTATATATTTCGGTACTATATACATGATTAGATAATAAAATGCAATAAAAATATTAGTGAAATAATTTAAATATCCACTACACAATAAAAGAGGAAATCAAGATATTTAAATAATGCATTTTAGAAAAAATGATGTTTTGTTCTAGGAAAATGAAAAAAAGCACTTCTTTATAAGGATAGACTTTAGGTCAATATAATCCCTTCATTGATTAAAGCCAATGTTCTGTCAGAATTCTCTCCCCAAAGGACGACCTTCGTAGTGGGGTGAGCGAATAAGGGAGAAAGTACTGGCCGTCGACCCCGAAGGTTTAGTTGCCTTATGAATCGCGTATGAACTGCATCACTCCCTATATTTCTTAATTTAAATTTTTCATACTTTTTCTATAAAAAAAGACTTTATGATATTTTTCTGTATTAATAGTTGAAACGTAACAGTCTATTTATCGAATTACAGTGGCGTGTGATCATTTAAAAATAAAAGGTGAAATTTATAGTGAAATATAAAAATTAAAAAATACCTTTTCAAATAATTTACTACTTTTAATTATAATTTTTCATAATTCTTATTTTTGCTCTTTACAAGAGTAATAGAGTATACTTGAAATATTGATTTTATATTTCAAAGTTGCACTAATGTTATTTAATTATTCTATATTTATTATACATTACATCTAAATAACATAAATTCATAGTTCTCGAAGATGTAGTTTACATAAAATCATCGTATAAAAATGTGTAATAGTTCGTTTACATAAAAAGTTTTGTATCCGATACTTTTTGAATTTTTATTTAAAAATGTGCAATTCTTGATACAGAATAAAGTTAAATATTTACGAAATTTTTAATACTCCATAAAAATTCACTCTGGAACTTTTTATTTTAATTTGTTTATTGAAATATCTGTCATGATGTTTATTGACTTTTTAATTTCATTGATTCTCCTTTGATATAAAAACATATATAAGAAAAATTATAATGTTAATGGTACATAATAATTAATAAATATGATATGCTGTCAAGAACATTTTTAAAATACGAAGATGGAAGAATCTTGGAAAAATAAAGAGTGAAAGTTTGCGGTGCAAGTCCTCCGATATCGATTCTTGTAAATTGCAGCGGTGCACCACTAACAGAGCATTTATGACTCTCCCTTTAATACGAAAAAAATTCTTCTCGAGAAGGATGTTTGCATTGAGATAAGCAAGGAAATTGTAAGTTTACGTCTTCAGAATTAATCGACTGTAGTAATAAAAATTATTTGAATTTTTATTATTGTTTTATTTAGTGAAAATACTTGTAAAATTAATGTAATAAATTAAAAAAGAAATTTTCTTATGGACATACCTACATACCATATTTTTTTGTTTACGATCATCTAGAAATTGAATACGGATGACGAATTGGATATGAATTTGAAATTTAAATGGCTCTTCCTTGGAATACTAGTTATCACCCTCCTTGAATTTGGTAAATTTTTTATTTATTTTTAATTCTGATATTTAACTTTTGTTATCATTATAAGAAGGAAGAAAAATAAAAAAAAGTAAACAATTTTCTCGTGTTTAATGACGTTTAAGTTTTCTAAGTTTGTAATAATTAATGTATAAGTAGTAAGTAATAAAATAAAAATATTAGATATCACTGGATCAATGATGGAAGATGCGGAAGAATTTTTTGCGTTGAAAATTAATTCTCCTTCTTCTCATGTTGCCCTTTCGGGAGACCTGACTATATCTGTTGAAAAATCAAATGAAACATTAGAAAAAGCAAAGTACAAATATGAGTTCAAAGAAGAAAATGGAGATTTAAAATTTTTTAAAAATATTTCTAATCAAATTTTTCTATTGAGGTAAACTACTTTAAGTTCGTATTATGGAGTATCAAAAATGACTGTTAAAATATTACAAAAAAATTGTACGATATTGTATATCTTTTCTTTTTTTAATTGTTTGCAGAGTACTGTACCTTCGTGAAGACATATCAGAATTAATCGGTGAAATTCAACTAGAACAGTTACCTTCGGGAAACGAAACAATTTCAATTATCATTCCCTGCGGATATTTTACTCGTGGCGGTATTTACGCTTTACGTGTAGAATATAAGTATGAAAATTTAACAGTTCCTGCTACCACTCTTTATCAGGTTGATATTGTTTATAGTGATACACATATAATATTATTTTTTTTTTCCAGTATATTTTTGGTACATTTGCAGTAGCATATTAATTATAAACATTTTTCTGTGCAGACAAGTAAAATATTAGATGTAAAGTGGCCATTACCAGCAATCTACTTGGAATCTCAACAAATTGCTACTTATCCAAATGAACCTGTTAAGGCCACAGTAAAATACAATGAAATAAATTGCAGTCCATTTGAGCATGTTCCTGTAGCTTTTTACATATTACAATTAATATATTGCGGATCTAGTGTAACTGCTTGTTATTTGCAAAATAATACTTATATCCAAGTAAATGAACAATTTTTTAGTTGCTTTTATTCTATGTTTTTTCTGTACTACGTCTTAGGATACATTTCATTATCATTAGTAGCGCATTTATAAATTTCATATTATATTTTTAGATATTATATTATGAAGAAATAAGAGATTTTCTACCAACAAAGACTATCTTTTTTCGATGTGAATTTTTTGGATTACCTGGGAATTATGCTATAAGATTAAGAGCATCGAATAATAATCCAACAGCACCTAATACCAGTGTATATTTCAAAGTAAGTATTTTCGTAATAAATTAATTATTTATACAATATAATAAAATCTACCAAGTAATCAGAAAAGATTTTCTTGATAATTAAGTGAATAACTTTAAATTAATAAATATAAGAATAGATGTGATAATAAATTTACTAAGTATTTATAAATTTCTAATTACTTTATGTTCCAATTATAGGTGAGCTGGTCAAAGGAATTTAAACTTACGGTTCACGCAAGATCGATATATCCATGTGAAGGGTCAGGAGGAGTTGCCGTTCTTTTCGAATATCCTTCATGTCGACTAGAAGGTGATCGTATTCGTGTTTATGGTCGCTTAAAGGCTGACGTTACTTCCGTTGCTTCACCTTCCAGTCTTCATTATATCACAGAATTGAGATCAATACCTGGCAAACATTCTTTGGCTTTCGATTGTGATCTTTTTACAGAAAAATTTGTCGAATATTGTTTCGTCTATGTTAGTCAAGCAATTACAGGTGCTATGGGAGATGTTAAAATATCTTGCGTACCTACATTTCCTTTCCAAGGTAAGTCTCAATTTTTTTTTTTATAATTTATGTATAACATTAATATTTATTAACAAATATTATTTGAACTTATTATTCAATATTATGTACAGTGGCCCACAAAAGTATTCGAACGCAATACATATTTTAAGGGAGTACTCTAACTCAAAAATTCCGATTTTAATAGAAGCGTGCATCTACGTAAAGTGAGTTACACATGGATTGACCTTTTTTGTTCGCAGATATCATTTTACGTAGGTGAAATCATCACTTGAACCTACAATCCGATCTCTGTCTTTTTAAATGTAATTGTATAATGATGCGAGATAAAGCGAAGCTTTCTAAATAAAAAATGTTTAATTTTTGCTACTCTGTCATGCTGTAGTAAAAATTTCTTCCTCTGAGTTTCGTTCGAAAAGTAAAAGTATTGTTAAAACTTCAATTCGTGATTTCATCTCTGTCAATGTCATTTTCTATCGATAAATAAATCACTTCATATGTAACTCGTTATGCTTTACGTTCACGCAAACCTTCGTTAAAATCGGAATTTTTGAGTTAATATGTTTTAAATATAGCGCTCTAACACTTTCGTGAGCTACTGTGTATGAAATATAGTTATATTTAACGTCAAAATTTAATTTAGTAGTTTGAGAAATTTTATTATATCAATATTAAATATAAATATATCAATTTTATTATATACAGATATTTTAAATTTAAATAACTTTTTTAAATAATTCATTGTCTTTTAACATAATTTTATTTAGAAGGTGATGCTGCGGGATGGGGACCTTGGAGTCCATGGAGCCCTTGCAGCAGCTCGTGTTTCAGTGGAATTCGGAATCGATATCGCTTTTGTGATACTCCACCCCCAAAATATGGAGCAAAATTTTGCCCGGTAAATTTTCTTTTTCGAATAAAATGTTCAATTAGTATCATTAATAAAATTGTATATTTAATTTAAAATTCATTCATAAAATTAGCATTTATAATTAATAATAATTTTATTATTAATTACAGGGAAATGCAATAGAAACTGAACTCTGTGGTAAAATTTTTTGGGAAGAAACTACTCAAAATGAATGGCATAATCGAATTGAAAATTCTGAATGTCACGATGCCGTTTTAGCTGCAACAAAACCAGAAGTTGTAGCTGAAATTGGAATACAATGTCGATGTGGATGTCGTATTACATTAAAACAACAACCTTTTAGAAAAATGCTTGGAGCTAATACTCAAGCTTGTCCCGGTCGATCTTTTTGGCTTTTACAGGTGATATTAAATAACTATATTGCTATATAGTATGCGTTATATTTACTTAATATTTATTTACTAAGTATTCATTACTTGCTTACTTATTATTAGTAAGTAATAAGTTATTCATAGAAATCAAATCATAGAGTACAGTGTTCTCTGGATTTGACTAACGATATTTGATATGTTATATTATAAAGTTGTATATACATATATTATTCCTAAAGTTATATTATAAGCTGGGGTAAAGACAGTTGTTATTAGAGTTACTAAATTATTATTTCCTGATACTATTTGACAAAAAAATGCTACAAGACGAAACGAAATAGAGCAACGATAGATTTTGTTTATGATCGACAGACAATAAAAACCTACTAACACGATAACTATTATCACAACAAATTTTTTGGATTTATTTTCAATGAAAAATCTTATCGATTCATAAGTAGTATTTTCATACAAATATTCTAAAAAATACAACTTTTATTTTTTATTATGAAATAATTTAGCTCTCTCGATAGTTGGCTGTTAATCTCAAGAATCCGTAGAGTTGTCATAAAACAGTGACTCAAATCCAAAAATCATTAAAACTAAATTTCTTTTACTTATACAATATGTTCCATTTTGATCTATCCATGTAAATTTTTCTCAAACTAATCGGTAATGGAAAAAATATCATAAATGCAACCTATTTTATTTTAAGTAGAATATAAATTATTTTAAGATGAAAATGTTTCCAAGTAGTCAAAGCCATTATAATTTCGTTTAATAGAATCATGCATTTTTTAGCTAACTAAAACAATTCTATTGGCTTATGTCGCATAGGTCAGTGATAATTATTTTCAGGAAGATTTGGGCTCTTTTATCCTTTAATGAAAACCGACTTTAAATGATCTTGAGTAACAGCAACAGACTTACGTATCCAACGAACGACATGACTAGCTAATAAAAAAAAGATATCAAGTATCTTTTTCAACATAGCTTGGGAGATAATCATGTGGAACTATTAAATTAAAACACTCTAATAACAACCGTCTTAATTATTTTCAAATATTGTTTTAAATATACTAAATATTTATAAGAATTAATATTGCGAGAAATAATGTCAACACTATAAAATATAATTTAATACATCTAGGCGCAGACAAATTTTGTAATTGGATTACATTTAGATCAATTACAATTTCCGTGTCCAGGACAATATTTTCGTGTCCGGGATGGTAATTCTTTAAATGCAAACCTTTTAATCGATATTGCATCTGATAAAATGAAATTTTCTACAAGAACACTTATTAGCTCTGGACAAAATTTATTACTAGAATTTTTTACGGATGAACTTACTGCATCGGGTGATGCTTGTATTGGCGGCTTCCTTGCTCATGCAGCTGTAATAGGTAAAATTAATTATTGCAGAATTATATTTTCTTTTAATAATTTAAGATGTTGAGTACTTTTTAAAATTAATTATTTAAAGAATAAATATAAAAATTTAGAAAATTTTATATAATTTAATTACAGAAAAAAAATATCTAAAAAAAAATGGAACAGCAACCATCGTGCCTTTTGAAACAAATTCAACAAATGTTGAAGAAGAATGGATCTTTTGGAAACCAGCACACTTAGCAACTGCCTTGCTTTTGATACTTATATTTATAGTTTCTATTTTTCTGACATTACAATTTATCATAAAATATAGAAAGTATCGTATTGCTGAGGATTTGGACAGTTTTAGCGATGTTTCTGGTATTAAAATAATGATTTTCTTTATTAATTACATTTGTTTTAGAAAATATTATTATATATTATCTTATTTAATTATTTTATATAATTTTTTTTTTTTGTAATTAGAGTTAATGCCCGGACGATCAAAATTTTTGTCTACAAGTACAATTATTTCTGAAGTTGTCTCAATGATAGAAGCAACCACAAAAACTTCTCCAAAAAAAACTGTAACTAATACAGAGGAACATTATCATAGTATTGAAACCTTAACAGGGTATGAACAATACATATTTGAAAATGGCAGATAATTATAAAAAATGTTAAATAATTGGAAAAAATTAATTTAAATTACAAAAATAATATTATTTTTTTAATGTAGGTGTAAAGATGAATCTACATTGAGTTCTAGTACATTGAAATTAAATAATACAATAGATACTTCTTCTGAAAAAACAATCACATCAATGAAATCAAACTGTGATAAATTATTATCAGCATCCAGCATTCTTGTTTACAATAAACCAGAAGTTAAATATGCTTATCCTGTAAAGTGAGCTTAATTTGTACTTTATTTTATATTACGGGCTCGAAATTATGATTTAATTATGATGTCATTTATAAATAGGTTACAAACAATAGATTATGATACTTCAGAACAGAAAGCATCAAAAATGGAAAATGAAAATTTGAAAGATAACAGAAGTTATAGCATTTCAAAAATTTATCAAAATAATGAAATTAATTATCCGGAAGAAAAAGTAAATGTCTTTATTTAAATATGTATATAATACGTATATATAATATATAAACTATATATATATATAATTAAACTATGAAGAAATTTTCATCAGTTTGCATTTTCTTTAACACGTAGGAATCATCACCCGAAAGCGTTCTTTCAAGTTCATCTACATTAGTAAGTGGGAAGGAAACAAAAGAGAGAAGAAATCGTGAAAAGCTTCTACAAGGTCCAGGTTCAGAATTTAGTTTAACAAATCCTGATTCAGAATTGGAATTGGATTACTATGATTATAATGTAGCAAATGCTAGCGCTGTTCCAGGATCTTATTTAGGAATGGATCCTGCTTTTTTAGTTTGGATTCCACCAATTGAGGACTTAGATATTTATACAGAAGACCTTCTCTTAAGGTAACTAATATCAATTGTTGATTAATTCATTAGCAGCAATATTATTAACTATATTATAATTATATATTATTAATTGTTTTTTAACAGCAATAAAAGAAACTCTATTTTGGCTCTTGAAACTGAAGGTGCTGCATTAACACCTTCTGAATACAGAAGAATGAAACTATCTAACTTTGACGAATTTGGATTCGAATTGGAACAAGGGTAAATATTAGAAAAATATTTATTATCTTCTAAATAATTTACAAATATATTCTTAGTTAATAAAAATAGATTAATTTTATGCAATAAATTGTAAAACTATTTAACTAGTTTTATATTAATAGTGAAAAATATTTAAAAAAAGAAGAAAACAGTTGTTAAAATTTGGATTATGGAAATTTAATTAGGAATGACATCTCTGAAACTTCCAGAACAAGAACATTTGAAAAATTACTTCCTGTCCAAAAACTTCTAGAAGATTCTAGTATCAAAGTAAGCATGGAATCTGTATCTGGTATCCTCGAGCATAAACAATATTGTGTTATTTCAAATAGAAGGTAAGTCAATAATAGTTATATAGACAAGCATTATGTACGTTCTAAATAGAAATTTATAACATATTTATATAAAAATTAAGTTCAAGTTTATAAATCATTTAATAATAAAATATAGTCAATAATAGTTATATAGACAAGCATTATGTACGTTCTAAATAGAAATTTATAACATATTTATATAAAAATTAAGTTCAAGTTTATAAATCATTTAATAATAAAATTATTCGTAATTTCTGCCTATTTAGAACTATAGGATTTAAAAATATTAGTAACACCAAAGATTCATTTGCAATATATGTTTTACATAAATATATTATTGTAATAAATGTCTCATTTTACTTTGGTATGCTAACAAGGAAACATATTCAATCCGTATACATCGAATTTGATGAAATTTATGTGAGAAATAGTTTTCATAAAAAATTTTTGATACGTATTTTTTTTTGTATCAGTCATTGTCCATATTAAAGGGATGAAAATAGCTCCGAAAGTTAGGGGTCAAAAACCCAAAGAAACCCAAAGGGCTAGAGGCAAAATTTTTTCCCCAAAATATACTTTTTTAAATGGATACTGTAGCTATGTAGAAATTTTTAAGAAAAATTAATTTGTTTAAATAATGGACGAATGAACGAGAGTATGTATTAGCAAATGGCAAGTGCATAAATGGCGTAGTAGAGTATCGATGACTGTTGGTGCGACTGATGAGTGATCGGAAGGGTCCGAATATGGATCGTAAAAATACCATTTTTAAATAATCAATAATGAGTGAAGGATGAACGACTTCGGGAAACGCTTTGAGAACCTTCGAGCGTTTAGCAATGCGTAATATGAATGAGTATAAAAGGGATGTCGTATGATATGAGAGTCAATGATTCTATTGGCGTGCTATAGCCATTGCAATGCAATAGAATCTGACTGGAAAGTTCAATTTTATTGACATTTTCAACAGAGTATTGTTTCAGAGTGTTAGAATCAGAATTCGAGTAAATACAAGTGTGTCGAGACGATTCTACGTAAACGATGGTTGGGTAGCAATCTGTATTTTCATAATAAATATCGTTATGTTGAAAGAGTTGTCACTCCTTTGCGATTGTCAATCTTACATAATATATTCGATTATATTCGATAAGCCAATTTTACATAATATATTTGAAAATTCGAACTTTTTACTCATTTGTCATACTAAATCTTATTTATGTTCATGTAAATCAATATACATAATGTGTGTGTCAAAATAGAGGATTTTTAATTTTAATCTGCAAACAATAATTATTACATAAGTAATATTTAACTGTTCGTGCAATGCGAAGCACCCCGGATCGTATTCTAAGAGCATAGTAAACTTTTTCAACGTTTTAATCAATTGTTACTAATATAAGATATACTGTTGGTTATTTTTTAAGTAGCCACAAGCGGCACGGCACACAGATTTGTGGCGCGATATCTATGTTAACAGTTGTAACTTTTATATTTCTATCAATATATTTATGGTATTTTATGAACGCTTAATATTCAAGACTGTTTCTATCCCTATGAACGATGGCCGATAAAAAAAGTATATGTCAAATATGTTTTTGAGAACTATCTCTCATATAAATTTCATCGAATTCGGTGTGTGTGGATTGGATATGATATCTCGTAAGAGTTAATACCAACACAATTAAAAATTGCGTAAATTAAATTTAAAAAAAAAGTATTGTAGGGAATACATAACAAAATAATATTTAATTATTGTCTTTTAAGAATATAGAAAAAATAATTGTAAAATTATTGAACTGCTTCTTCCTCACCAATTTTGATGATTTTTTGTATGTTGTAAAGTGCGTTATTACAAACAACTTTTCTTCTTCGAAAAATTAACGGTCAGCCCTATAGTTAGTCGCTTCAAATTGTACTAACCATTGATATCTGCCAGACGGCAGATTGTTTATATAATACATTCCGTGAAACAGCGGCGTAGGAACTGGTATTAGTTATGTTATTAGTTATGTTATTAGTTATCTTCGGACCATTTTATGTATACCTACTGCAAAAGTTAATTGAAAATTTATTTGAAATATTAATACTTAAAAAAATAAGATGGGTTGGGTTACTTTATTTGGTTACCGCTTAAAAAAAAAAGATGATCTGAGCTATCAGATATAAAATGGTGAAGTACTTAATTTTTTTGATGAACTGATCAGTGTCAATTTTTTTCACACGTTAACCAAGTTTGGCAGTGTTGCAATTGCTCTAGGTCGCAAGTGACCTTCTGTTCAGCGGCAACATAGAAAATAGTATAACCCTAATTTAATGCATAAAAAATTTGGTAATTATTTAGAAAAGGGGGCAGGGAGATCTCAACGATTTCGATGATTTTTAAATATGTTGTAAAACTCAACATTTTGAAGAACTTTTTTCCATACATACAACCGCCGCTCGGCCTTAGTTTCCAAGATTTTTCCTTAAAATAATCGCTATTACTACACTGAATTTTGTCTATACATACGCGTCTCTGACTTTGTGTGCATCAGCCGCGATCGCCTCTTATCTCTTGTTTCTATAAACAACGGCATGACGACGAACGACGAAAAATGTATAATGTGTCAAAAAAATTAAAACAAAAGATTAATCTGTGGCCGGCTGTCATGTGGCGGCCGAAATAAAAAGATCTAACTTAAATCTAATTCATTAGTTACTAGGTAAAATAATTAGGTTTGCCTTTAAGTTATAAAAATTATAAACAATCGGTGACTCAACGCTTAAACACATACTACTACAAATACATGGTTATAGGCAATATTTATTATAGTAGTAGCAATAGTTTTTTGCAAAAATCTTAGAAACCGAGGTCCAGCGGCGGTTACATACATAAAAAGAAGTTGTTCAAAATGTTGATTTTTACAACATATTTAAAAATCATCGAAATCGGTGATCCCCCCCTCCCATCTAAATAATTACAAAAAATTTCACATAGATTAGTTTTTAAGGAGGATACCAACAATAGTTCCTTTGCCGTTGCTTCGAAAAATACATTGTATAATCATCGGCTGACAGATAACGGTTCATGTGATCTGATTCATGATGAAATGAATGTACAGCCTGTCTGTATTCTCAGCTGTATTCAACTCATGGATGCACACAGATGCACACAGTGCACACAGTGCACACAGTGCACACGAATAAAAAAAATTCATTAATTGATAGCAATTCTTTTTCACCAATATCTCAAAAACTAAAGTCAACCGCCTTTTTTTTTAGAAGGAAAGGTTTTGCAAAATAACGCCCGTTAAAACATATTCCAAGTTCATAAAAATCAGCGAGGAAGTAATAGTTCAACAATTTCACCATTCAAATATAAAAACCATTCAAATATTCTATAAGTATAAATATTCTATGTTTTCACAATACATAGAATTGTTTGTAAGCTAACTATGCTTATAATAGTAACTCTGTTTTTTGTAGGGTTTGTATTGATAAAGATGAAGAATCAAGCGAAGAATCTAATTCTTCTAAAAGCCTTCTTGCAAGTCCTTTAAATATATTGGATAATAATGATAATAATAAGGAAAAACTAAGTTCTAGTGGAAATAAAATTTTACAAAAAGATTTTTCAAAAATAAAACAAAATTCTAACCAAAAAAATATTTCTAAAAATCCAGATGAAGAAATAACAAGTATGTCTTGCAAGTACAAGGAGTTAATGCAATGCACTCAATCATTTACAACTATAAAAGATGTAGTAAATATTCCTATGACAGAATTATCAGGAAGTCCGTTAAAAAGTTTCTCTCAAGTTCGAAAATTGAGCAGTAAAGATATTGATGCTTCTTTAAATATTCAGAATCCAGATTATGGTATAGAAACATTTTGTATAAAGCAAGGGTCTTTTTACGATCAAAATATTAAATTTGTAGATGACGATGACGATGAATATATCGATTAGAAATTTTATAAAACTAAGCTTTTCAGTTATTAGTACAATTTAACTTTGATTTTACTATATGCAGAATGTTCTGTTATTAGTAATACAATCGCGTATAAGATACCTCCTCAAAAAATAAATTGGAAATTAAACTAAATGCAAATTTCGAAGTGACAGACTTCTATTTCTATTTCTGTTTGTATTTGTATTTATATACATGAGTAATTTGCTCTTTACAATTATGTTTATTTATATAGAAACTGTTCGAAATTTTGACTATTATGTTACATATATAATTATGCTTTTTTAACTAAAATTAAATTGGCACTACTTGTAGTGTATCATAAATGTTTATATTTTTTAATACTTCAACACTTTTGTTGTTTTTAGAATACAACTTTGATTTAATAATGATTATAGCATTTATAACAAATAGATAATAATATTGCTCATATTTGCAAACACAAGTAGAAACAAAAATATGACTCTTTGAAAGATTTAGTACATGCACATTCGATAATTTTTCAAATTCGATTTTCTCGAGAACGAAGCTTCATGTAAAAAAGTTTTATTCTTCCTTTTCTATTTATTTTTTCATGAGGTACCACTCTCTGCCCTATTGTACTACTAATAATGCAACACACTGTATGTATATACTTTTGTTGTAATGTTTCCTTTTATATTATTCGTTATTTTAATAGCATAAATTATTTAAATATTTATTATTTAATGATATTTTAAGTACTTTAATATAACTTTTTAAATATATCTTTTTTACTATCATAACATAATGATTTAAAAAAAATAAGTGTAGCAATATCTCTCAAAACAAGATTGAGACCTGGTTTTACAAAATATTGGTATATGTATAATTATTAGAACTCAGATTATGCTAGAAATCATTATTTGTACCCATGATCAAAATGAAAAGCAATGAGAGAAAGTGAAAGGAAAAACTAGGTACCTGACTTCTTACCACTGGATAGTGTCTCAATTCATTGGAATGTAAAAATTTAATTTAATTTATATTGAATGAAATAATAATTTTATCATATTACAGTGTTAGGAAAGCTAATAATTGTTTATTATGTGATTTTTTCATTTCAATAATTATTCACAGTTATACAGAAATGTATATTATGTAATACTGTCCCATATTTTGCATTGTTTAAAAATATTATACAAATTATTAAAAAAATTGTATTTATATTGACAATGGTTTATATTGATATGCTTATGGAAAGAATATGATGCACATATAAAAGTGTAATGACATTTCTTTAAATATAATTAGATAAAGACTGAATTTTATGGAGCTTAGTAATTTGATATCTTAAAACCAAACTACATTTTCAATTTATGCCCCAGAAAATTATAATTATTATTCAGAAAAAATAAATTGTTTATAATGTTAGTTACATTACTGTTTAACTTTAACAAATCTAAAAATATTCAGAATTATAATAAAACAAAAATGATTTTAATTTTATAGCATTTGTTGATTTAAATATCAAATATTAGTGGCTCATGAAGTTGCATTTTGACATATGTTTGGTATTCTCTATGACTATGGTATTCTCAAATTCATGTGTCGAATTAAATTTTGGAAACTCTCTTCTTATAAATAAATTACATTTTTATTCTAAATTTATTAACAATTAGAAATTTGTTTTAACTTTTTAATTTTCAACTTGAACTTGAGAAATATATCTACATATTTGTATTAAATTTGTAAAATTTACCTATAATATAAATCTATAAAATCAAATAGAAAAAATAAAGTCTAGTATCTAGTATCTAAGGACTATAGTTTGTAGTTTTAACAAAAATATCTTCAACAAAACATGGAATTGAATGCAATAAGAAGAACTAATTTTTAATTTTTTTAATCAAATTTTAAATTCTAAAATTGTTAACCAATTTTAACTTGATTATGTGCAACTGTACATAATTCTTAATATTTAATCATTGATATAGTACAAATTATATGGCACAGTACAATTATTATAAATATCTACTGTTTTACATATGTATTTGTATAATATAAAAAGTATCTAAAAATATATAATATGAATTCTTAATAAAAGTGTATGTGAGTAAATTTATATTCTTATATAACTACTTATAAAATGTTTTACTATCTTTTTATCAAATATAGATAATAGAAATGATATTGCATAATTGTAGTAAACTCTAAAACTTCTCATTATATATAATATATATAAAATATTAGTAACATTTATAATTTTGATATAGAATATATTCATTTATTACATTTATGCTATTTATATTCATGCTACGTACATTTCATTAATTTTAATACAGAAATGATAAGTATCTTATTGTATGCATTATAACAAAAATTATTTATGATGTTATTCAACAATTTAGTAGTAATATTTTTATTGTTTTGTACATTAATAGAAAAGTAAATTATTTGATATCAAACATAAAAATAATATAAAGCAACACGATTAATTATGCAATGTGAAAAACAATATAATTTAATGATATACTACATAAAAATATGATTACTACATTAGAATACTAAGAATAATTTACATTAAAATTATGTTAGAATATCGAATTTTATTACGTGCATATAATAAGAATATAGGTAATTAAAGATTATATATTTTTAGAAACATATGATGTATAAAATGCATTCAAATCTAATATTTATTTATACTTTTAATAACTACTTTTAACATGTATATATATTAAACTTAAATAATTTAATCTTTGCAATAATAATATTAATTTTCAATATTTCTTATTAAATTTTCAATTTATATTTTTCTTGTCTTTTATTTAAAATTATCAGTACTATATTATAAATTAATGTAAATACTGTTAATTAAGTAATTATTAAATCAAATAAACTAATATATATAGATTAACAACATTAGAAAAGAGAATTGGATTAATAAAAGAGTACATTTAATAAAAATTTTGTAACATATTTTATTTTGTTGTATCATAATTTTTATTGTAGATGCACATAATAAAAAAAATACTTTTTATGTTGTTGTTAGACACTAATAACAAAGCTAAATAAATTAAAAATAAATTTGAATAAAACTCTTTTAATGCATGTTTCAATCTAACATGTTTTGTTTTTCTAATTGTATTAATTAAAACAACATGCTGCTTAATTAGTAATTGGTAATCCTAAAATCCTTTCCCTATTATAATTCTATTTGGTTATAATAATGTATAATACATACATACCTTTGGATGTAATTAATAACATTATAATCTTTAAATATTTGATATAAACATATAATGAATACATTTATGAATTTCTATTACTTCCAGTGCTAACAAATAATTTTCATACAAAACCTATTTCGATATTGTAAAATATTATATACGTGCGTATGTATGTGCTTCATACAAATCATTATAAAATCTTTTTTCACAACTTCATGATTTTTAATTTGTAATCTGTATTCAAGAAGATATTATACATATATAAACTGTAAAAGAACGCCCGAAGTTATGTCTGATATCTATGGAATGAACGTATTAATGTGTTTATTATTTTCAAAATAAACGTTCATTAGTGTACATGTAATGTAACTTAAAAGCAATAAAAATGTCAGTACACTAAAATATAATATCATAGATAATATATATAAATTAATTATTCGATATATTTAGCATCATTTTATTATCATTATTATTATTATAAAAATTTGAATTGATAAAAATATTATTTAGTATTCTAATACATATATTTTAATGTTACTATATCTTTTTAGTGCCAATTTCAATAATGAACTTTAGGAATTTTAGAAAACATAAAAGAATAATTTTAGTTATTCTAATTTATGGATTATTCAGAAATTATACATTTTTATAAAGAGACGGTGAGAGTGAGAGAGTGAATGAAAGGTGGGGTTGGGGGGAACTAATCATGGATATACAAGAATCGATATATTTGGATTTTTCATTACTCAATTCTTTAAAGCATTCTGGAACAAAATAGATCAATATTACTGCAAAATAAACCCAATAATATCTAGAAGAATGTATTATAATGAATTAACTATTTTGCAATTAAGACAGATTTATTACATTCCATTTCCAGAATAGAATTAAATGAAAGTAAAGGATATTTTTTTTTCTATAAAATCAATTGCATATATTATTTTCATAAAATTTAGTTTCATTATTAAAAATTACTTTTATGTTGTATTATTTATAATTATATTTATGTTGTATTATGCTTATTTATATTTGTATTATTATTATTATATTACAATGTTATTTATAATTTCTTTAATTAAGTACAATTTTTGAATGTATATATTTGTATAAATAAATTAATTAATATAAAACAAAATTATAATTAGTTTAAATTACCCTGCAATACTGATAATTAAAATTAAGATATGTTTCCTATATTTTTAACAGACTAGAACAAATATTATAATATTAAACATAAAAGACAACAAATTTTTTTTCTTAGGTAAATTAAAGTTCGTATCATTTTTATTTTTTCTCCTACAATGTTAGTTATGTATTATTTTTATTATTAATAATAATAATGCTGATAACCATCTAGGTTTCTGATATTTTATAATTTATACAAATATTTATAATTATTTTACTACCATATTGTCTTTTGTGACTTATAATTTGTTGAATATGAAAATGAAATAACTTTGGTTAGTTTATTACATAAATATAGAAAAATATTTGAGGAGGAAAACAAGAAGAAGTAAGAGAGAAGTAGTAATTTATCTTAAGCGTATTCAATGCACAATGACTGTGACAAAATTTGTCAACAGAGTTAAATATTAATTATTTATCTAATTTAAATAATCAATTTCTATTAAATAAGATTACATACATTTGATGTTATGAGTTTTTGATTGGCAATAAATGCGATTAATAAAAAAATTTACAGAAAAGATTCATTTATTAACTTCGAGCGCTAATGAAGTTTCTGGTTGAGTCCAAATATAGCCTGTACGTGTCATACTACAATGCGCGTCGTAGTATCTACCAGGAGCACGACAATAGGACCACCTCGGACAACGGCATCGAAATTTACTGTGAAATTCTTCTTTGCAAACTTCATTCCACCAACAAGTTCGCTAGAAATAGAAATTTATTTCCTTTTATCAATAATAAATATTGTGTCTGTTTACTGTTTGCTCACCTCTGCTAAATAACCTCTTACACTTTGATCGCTATAATTTCTCTTTTTAATTAAATGCCTAGCACTTATCACATATACTTCTGCACATAAAATTAATATCAATAACAGATATAACACTGATCTTTCCTGTAAAAGAATCAATTTGTAGAAACCATGTCTTTTCTTTTTTCATTTTATTGTCACGATTTTGGTAAATTCAAAAATTAAGATATATATAAAGAAATAAGTGAAGAATAACAAAGAGAAGAGTGCAGAATATTGAAATGAAGAAGTAACAATGTAGTAACATAACAAACTGTACTTTCTCTCGAATAGGTCTTTCGTTCATCGTAATCTTACATTGTTGCGCATTTTTGCTAATATCTTCGCGTAATTTCTTTATACAATCACTTCAAAGTGTTATATGAAAAGTGTTACAAGAAATAAATAACATATTTAATTTTTATTACTGTTTGCTTCACACGAGTACTTGAAATAAAAGAGCACGTAGAGAACGTGGCGCAGGCGTGTGCTTATTCTTCCTCTTCTGACTTCACGAATCGATCGTTGTTAAAGTTTAAATTTTTCTAATTCTAATTTTTGTATTTAGATAGTGTTTCCTTCATCGATTTCATAAAATGTTATTTGAGACAATGAACTTGTTAGAATAAATATATAGAAATTGATTACGTTGAGATATTCTTTATTATAAAAATAGAAAACAAATGGATTTTAACGCATAGAAATCAATTACACAAATTAAATATTTTTCTTTTGTATATTTCACACAGGATTATTAATATTTGTCCCACATATTATCAAATGCATAACTTCTATTTTATAATTTTACCTAATTTCTAGAGTAACTAATAAACCTTCAGAAAATTATTGAATTTATATTCGTAATTTGAAAATTTATTGAATTGTTAAAATAATTTAGACTAAAATAAGTATATAATTACTTGATTAAATGTAATATATCTATTTTTGATCTCTTTAACTCGATTTTTCTCTATAAATATCTATTATGAAATATGAAATGAAGATTACTGGAAAGTTAAATTACAATAAATTACAAAAGTAATTAATATATAATATATTATGTTATAACATTCTATTTTTAAAGCGATTCCTTTTACATTTCTTGAAAATAAATTTGTTAAGAACATGTGTTGGGACTTCCGAGAAAAGTCATCTAACAGACCAAAATATATTATTAATACACTTCATACGGGTCGTAATACTTTTATTAGGATTTCGTACCCACGGATTAATATTTTAAAACACGATCTATAAATGTCGGCAAGTTATGAAAAAGTATGTGAAAAAAATTGGATATTACTAAGATATGTATGTTACTTACATTTAACATACATTTAATGTATACGAAAGTATTCGAACGTTTATATTCGCTGCATTTAATAAACAAAATATACAGGTTAATCTGTAATCTGTGTGTAATATACAGAGCGGTCGATAACTAATGGTACAATCCGGCAGGGAATGAATCTACGTTACCAAAATAAGTCGAAAGTATAGAATGACATTCTTTTATACGAAACTTCGTTTCCGAGAAGCCTGTATATAACAAAAAAGAAGTCCCAATAATATATTAATAAAGGTAGAAAATAACTAAATGATATTATATGAAAGTATTTGAATGTAATGTTAATAAACAGCATTAACTAAGAAATAGAAAGTTTCAGTATGTTACTAATTTTTGGCTGCTATCATAGTTCTAAAACAATTATCGTTTCAACATATTTCAATTTAACGTAAATATTTTACTTATTAAGCATAGCAACTATAAGCATTTGAATACTCTATATTCTATACAAAAGGTATTAAGACTAGAATTGCATTTCTATCGGAATAAAAGTTAACATTATTTTTGTCAAAAGGAAGTATGTATGTCTTTAGTAAATGTAAAAATAAAAAATCTAAAGTCAATCATTTTTATTAGTTTGCTAGTTTTAGTATTAATATCCGATTCGCCTTATGATGTCAATTAACGGTATCATTGCGATATAATATGTATATAATAATTTTTTCTCAGAATGACCTGCCACGCATATTGGCAAAGTTTGTCGATTTAAATATGGAACACCCTGTATATTTTAAAAAGACTGCAGTTTTCGGAATATGATAACGATATGAAAGATGAAACGATGCTTTCTAGTCCCGTTAATCTTATCAGCAATCAACATCATTGTAGATTCTCATGAAAATTGAATTAAACATCTACGAGTTAGATCTTTTAGGACAAGAAATTAATTATATTTAAGTGTTGAATTTTAAGTAATATAAGTGGAAAAACTTTTCTTGGGTTTGGGAGACACCATATAATTGAGAAGCATGTGTAATTAATCGATCCTATATGCCAGCAGAAAACGCGGAACCTTCCAAAACAACCTTGAACAGAATATTATTAAGGTATAAATCCCTTTATAATTCATTACGAATTGAAAAATTCTGAACCAATGGTGGTTCTAAAAGGAATTAATTGTAAGTCATGAACTAATTGAACTAATCAATTCGTTATAAATTTTTAGTTATAGTTGATTTGAGTAATACTGCAAAATTTTAAATTACTATATTTAGTATATATGTTATAATAAATAATAATTAAGATATTTAATATATTTACATCACTGCTATTCAAGATCATTTGTAATTTGTGACTATACTTTGTGACTAGGTTTACATTGACTAGAACTGTGTGCCAATTCGTGAGAACCTATAAACCTTAAGTTCGCGATCAAATAGATCTTTTGATGTACTGTTTTATGTTTAGTGGTGAACTCGCTAGCTGAAATTCGCTGGGCATCGAAAGTTTCCATAAATATCTCGGATACTAAAACCGATTGACCATAATTGGTAGAGCAAAATATTGCTTACCGTAAAAATGAGCCAGCTGATTGACAAGCTTACCTAGCAGTGAAATAATTCCCTTTGTGAATTAAGCTTGGAGCTACCAAACTTGTATAAATTATTTATAAAAACAAAAAATAATTTAAACAATTTGATAAATTAAGACAGCACTTGAAAAAAACATGGAATATTATATCATATGTAAGATATAAAAGAGATTAACATCGTTTTGTCAAGGTTATTTGTTCCTACTATTTACTGACATCTCACGAATCTTATCTTCCGCTTCAAACTTCTCTCACGTCAAAAATCTTAATTTCCAACTTCCAAGAAAGTTACTTCCTCATCGATATTGATGAACCTAGGTGTTATTTCAACTTTTTCCTTTTAAAAAATTGGCAAGCGATCCTAGTTTTCTAGATATTAGCAAAAAAAGATTGCTAGTAATGTATCGAATTTTGGCCATGTGTAAGTATCCGTGATTAGTGAACCCTAATCTAATTAACATTTTCAAATTTTTTGATCGCTACTAATTTCTGCATTTTCGCTTCGATGAATAATTAATATAAACAATTTGGAGGTAAGCAAATGTTGATGATTTTTGCGATTTGATCCACGACATAGCGACGCATCTGTATTTTATAGATGGCATGTATGGGAAAAATTCAGTGTACAATTAGAAGCAATTTTTTTTTACGAATATATCGGAAACTAGGTCTAACCGCTAATTTTTTCAAGCAAAAGAATTGTTCGGAATAACTCTCTTTACAATATATGTAAATGTAATTAAAATTGGTGAAGAAGTAGCATTTAATAATTTTACCTTCTTAAAGATCCTCGACTGCATTCTTCCAGTATTCTTTTATATTCTCCTTTACTTATATGTAGTTTTACCACTTCTCTCTTAGTTCATAGTGACTATTTTCACATCGCGGGCCTTGTTACTCAGTCCTAACGGCAAACTTGCAACTTTAGGTTAATGAGTTTACCCTTAACGATTGCTTAGAGGAAGTCGACACGTATGCGGAACACAACTAAGATTTCCCAAAGATTTTAAATATCCGCCACAAATCAAAGCTGTCCTGAAGCTTATTTAGTTTAGGATTAGAGACACTCGTTGAATATTCATATTCTTACACATAAAAGTATATTTGGAATTAATATAATGTATTGCTAAAATTAATATATAATACAAAATAAAATTTGGAACCTATCTCTAATAAAATAGTTTCTTTTTCTTTCTTTCATTTTTAATTTCTAAATAAACATTTTAATTTTATACATATATTATTATTTTATTGTTCTAATTTTCTTTTATACCTTTTTTTTCCATAGATGAAACTTCTTAAACCTCTTTATCCACCATTTGCTCAAAATGTTTGAGATTGCTCTAACTAGTTGACGCAAATATTGTTTCAATCAAGGTAATCAATAATAGCAAGCATTTGTGGACATTTAGAATAATATTGATACATTGAATAGAATTCATTATCTGTTTACGTTTGATGAAGACAAATAACTGTACATAGTGAGTGTGAAGAAATATAATAAGAAAATAAAAATTATAAGGTATTTTGCACGTTTTAAAAACCAAAGTAGTAATTTGAAATAGGAAAATAAGAAGCTCAATCCTTATTCAAAACTGTATTCTAATTTTTTAATTAATTCTAATTTTAATTCTAATTTTTTTCTTCTGTTTTACATTAAAGTATAATGAAACCTAATGTCTAATATATTTTTTCTGTCAACAAATCTGGTGATAAAAAAAACTTTAAGTCCTGCCAGAAATTTTAATTGAATTTTATATGACGAACAAATGACAATCAATTGTTAAAAATATTATTTAGTTTGTAAAGGAATAAGATTTTTTGAAGGTTTTGAATCATTTGGTCTTATCACATTTTATATTAGTTATTTAAAAATATATTTTATAAATTGGTTGATCATATTTTGACAAGAAGCCAACCTAAACCCTATGTCATTTCAGGAATTTATCTTATTTTAGAAAAAGAATAATATTCGATTCAACTCAAAATTTAATATTATATAACGTACAATTTGAAAAGTAAAATTTAAAAACAGATTATTTGTACTTTTCATAAATTTACATATATAAAAAATTTTAAATATCAGTTCCCAAATAATTTTTGCATTTTAAGATTGAAGTTTTTCAATAATTAAAAATGAATTCTAATGTAGCAAGTTCAAACAATCAATTTTTTACCGAAATCAAAAGTACAATATTTTAAAAATGTATTCAACAAATTTTTATTGCAAATTGAATTTACAAAAATAAAAATAATTATATACCAAAATTTTTGTATAGATTTCTCATGTTTAAACTTTTTGGGCATAGAAAATTCTGTAAAATATAAAAAAATATCTGATTATTATAACACGTTATTTATAAAATAGTACTTTATAATGTAACAACTTAACTTAATCTAAACCTTTATAAGACTTTCGTAGTTCAAAAATATTAATAAACATATATTTAACTACTATCCAATACTATAAGTATATAAGAGAAAATAGAGTAAAATCAAGTACCACTATTTTTTTATGTTAAGAATTGTTATATGCAATTAACATGGAGTATTAAATTTGGGTTAATTCCCAACCATGAAATTAACTACAAACTTGAATATTACATGTTTATTTTTCTACAGTACTAAATAAAATTTATATTTTAAGTTATATTTTTTATCATCGACAGTATTTTCTTATCAGAATTAATAGAATCTATTAATGTAGGTACAAGATCGTATTTTATAGTCCTTACTGAGTATTTAGGCGTTTCTCCCGATTTCTTTTACCCAGAAATTCTATTCTTAAAATACAACTGTGTAATAAAGTTGGAAAATATGTCTTTAAATATAGTTAATTGTCAATGCATCCTTCAATTTTAATGATTTTTTTGATATGTAAATATGAATATTTGAAATTTTTTCCTTTATACATAAGAGGTAGTCATATTTAGTTTTTGAGATATTCACAAAGAATTTTTCGACATTATACACTCATATTCTGCTTATGTACAATATCTGTATAACATCAAAAGTTCAACGGATTCTGTTAAACTTTATTTTAGAGCATTGAAAATTGTCGATAATGAGGGATAATCACGATACGACATTGGTATGAGTGAGTGGAGAATACGAGGTTGGCATGAGTGACGAGAGTGGTAATATGAACACTATCGAGAATGGGTTAGTTTGAAGAAAGAATCGGTAGAAAGTAAATATTATAATAAAAGATAAGCATTGTAATAAAAGCGAACAAAATTAAAGTTGTGTCTGAACAGGAAAATTAGCAATCTATAATTTTAGCATTTATTACCAAGAATCTATTTAACAGGTTGAGTCGTAATCAAATATATGTGATGACTAGGCTGGATAGAGCCCATTAAATTGGGTTAGGTTAGATTTAAATTAGATTATTATTTTACTTGATTATTTAACTACAAAAAGAATAATATCGACCTAATAATGTTATAAATGAAAATTATTCGAAAACAATATGTATTTAAATGATAAATAATATTGCTTTCTTAAGGATAAAACTCTTTCAGTTAAAATAGTTGTTAAACAGTCTTGACTTTAAGTGATCATCACGTGTATTTATTTATAACTAGTTATTCGATTCCAATGAAGTACATACAAAGCTGAAGTAGAATTAAAGTAAATCATATATTAAATATAAATTTCACATACGCGTAATTTTCAAATCTATGATTTTTCTTTTTCTTTTTTTTACGTACCATTAAAAAGTCTAAATGTCACATTAAAAATGAATTTCAAAAAAAAGCTTAACTCCAAACTAATCATATACTGCAGAGGATAGTGGAACAATAATTAAATTCAATACACATGTTAATTTTTTATATTGTATTAAAATTTTTTTGTCTAATATTTCAGTTCTTAATTGTTTCACGAATTTTTATAAAACAGTCGTTAACAGTTATTTTTAAAATTGTTTCAATTATTAAATATAATATGTAAAATTTATTTATAATACAAATATTTCATATTTCAAATAATACCTCTATTGCAATATATGATTTAATCAATTTTGTGTGGATCCAGTATGTTATATTTAGTTACTTTTATTACGAAACAAATTTCTATTTAAAACAAATAATAAGTTATTTTAAACTTCATTTTACCTCATTATTTATATCAAATATTCATTAAAATCTAGAACATAATAGAAATTGAAATAATTTAAAGTTGTGACTATATAAGACTTATAATTTGTTTCAGTTGACATAAAAGTAATCAACCATGATATTCATATTCTAAAATAAATTAAATAAAGTGTAATTATCATTTTAACTTATTATAGTAAGTTACAAATCGAAAATTAATAATCATGGAAGATAACCTCACATATTATGTTTATTTGTCACTTATTTGATATTTTAAAATTTAATTAAATATATATGTATTTTTTATAGTTAAAGTAATTAAATAGTTTCATCAAATACATATTATGAAAGTAACCAAACGACTTGAAGATTATGTTATTCGATTGACTATAGTATACTAAATGAGTGAATTTCATATTTTAGAATATAATGATGGAGTTACCAAAAGATACCATTGAAGGTCTTATTAATATTTTAAACACAAGCATTGTTACTGATGATAATTTTTCACAAATTGTAGAAATGGCCATCTCATATATATATGATAATCCTACAGAAATAAAATGTAAGTAACTTTTAGAAAAATTGTCAAATATAGATAAAATTAATTAAAAGAAGTGTTTAAATTAATGAAATTTTAGGCATTATCAAAACATCTGATTCAAAACCAACTTTAACAAAAATGGTTTTTGCTGATGTGATATGTTTACTTATAGAAGCTGCTCGACATGATTTAGATGAAGAAAGCTTAAAAAATTTTTTAAATCTTATATATATTGATGAAAAAAGGATTATGAAATTATGTGAAGTATACACTAATAATAAAACAGCAATACAATCTCAATTGGAATTGATAGGCAATAATCCACCTCACATCATTGATATAGACTGGCATTTAGATTATTGTGTCAAGGTAATTGATCGGTGAATAGAACACCGACCATTTCATCTAGAAATGCTTTATTTGCTTTTGTTTATGAAAATTATTTTCAGTTGGACACATGCAATTCATTAGGTGTTCCTCTTTATCACGTACAACTTAGTACTAAAAAGCATGAAACAATAAATCATGTGACATTTTCATGTACAATACAGCAGTTGCAAGAACTGGTATTTAAGCTCAAAGATGCCATTAGATACTCAGAAAAGCTTACTAATGTTTAGTTGTATCTTTAAGTTATTGGTTTACTTAATATGGTACAACTCATGTATATTTTTAAATTTTCTTGCAATTATTTTTGTTTTAACTACTTTTGTTACAGTATGTGAGTTTCCATAAATTATAATTATCAGCAACTTATATGTATATTAACATTTACACAACAATAATTATAGTAATCATTTAATAATAAACTCAATTTGTACGTATAAGTGTAGTGGTAAAATCTTATACAAACAACAGACCGTGTAAAGTATAATCAACTATATTTTTATAATTAAAAGAACATCCTCTACTTCACGTAGTATTATTATTGTATTGATAACGCGCGCGTGTTGGAGAGTATGCGCGCGTGCACACAAACATATACGCAGAACACGTACATAAATTTCAAAACAAACGACGATCAACGTTTTTATAAATAAAACAAATCTCGAAAACTTCGTTTAAATCATTTTGATTTAAACGATATTGAAATTTTCTTTACACAAAAATTATACACATACATTTTTCACTCACTCAATCATTCAGGTACACCTTGTATACAAAAGAGTCGCGCGCGCACACAACTAATAACTTATTAAAAATACGTTGTTTTTTGCTCTACAATCAGGCATCTCTCTAAAAATTGCTTTCTCGTATTAGACAAAAAATACTATCGTTACGTTCTTAATTCCTAAAAATATGCGTGTTAAATTATATTAATAATCGATAATTTTTTTATATCTAATACGTGATATAGACTTCTTTGAATCATTATACACTATTTACAAGTAAATGTATCTAAAAAGAAAAAAAGATCATCCAATATTAAAAATTTATCTATACATTAACTCTTTCTTTCTTTCCGGCGCTTATCAAAATTAATAGTGCTATTTTAATAATTCGGTGCGATGCGACACATCGATAATATTAACTAATTAAGCTGGAAAGAGAGAAATCACTTATAGCATAATACTTTTTCTTATTTTCTTAAATCATGTAACAACGATCTTCTCTTGCTCTCGATTTCCTAACATTATTTCATATATAAGATTAATGTGATAAGGCCTCGGACATTTTACTATAGTTGTTTCTTTTTTAAAAAGAGGGTATGCGAAAAAAGAGCCAATCGAAAAACTGTATTATAGCTAAATCTACTGGAACTTTAGATTAATTCTCGAGGCTTTGGTTAAATATTTAGTTGACTAAGATATATTAAGAAACAGATAATAGAATTTGTTCTGAAATATGATAAATACTGTAAACTAATAGATTGCGTGAAATTATTTTATAAAAACTCGTCACATAAATATGATTAATTATACGCAGTATTTTTTTCCTATATAATCTTTATACAACTCTTACGTCAAATGTGACTGTTAATATACTTAGTCATTCTTTCCATCTTCTTTTCGTTTAAATCAAACATGAGTCATATTTCTAATTACTACAATTTTTAGACGCAAAATAAAGATTTAATATTAGCAATACATTAAGCATAGTATTATGTTAATATGCTTAATGTTTTGCGGTTTAAAAATCGTAATAATTAAAATAATAACATGCACTTGTTTTGTATTAAGAACATTATGAAAAAACTCGGAAGTAGCGATATCCGAATATTTCAATATATGCAAAAACATACAGGTCATTTGATGCAAAACTTATGTCTCTGTTTTATTATTTTGAATCTCAGAATTATTCTGTTGTCCCTCAGATTTTTCACATTTCTCATTTTTGGGTTCTTCTGTTTCTTCTTTTTCAATAATTTTTTCAGAAACTTGTATTATCTTTGTTTCATTCTGTTCACTTTGTTGTTCTATATTTTTTTCTGCTACTATTTCCTCTTTATTTTCACTAGTAAGATCTCCATTAATTTGAGTAGTTGAGTTTTCTTTCTTTATATTTACACTATCACTATCCCCATCAAATCGGTTTTTCTCTGAATTTTGTACTTTTGAAGTACATAAATTTTGTTCTTTACATTTTATAGCTTCCTTTTCTACTCGTTCTTTATTTTGATCCTGATCACCAGTACTTAGAGGAGATGTTTCTAATTTAGTTTTTGAATTAACTATCGATGCATTTTTATTCTGTCCAATGCTTGAACTAGAAGAAAGTGAAGTTGATTTAGAGTTCCGAACTGTTTCTGTCAGTACTTTAACAGTTTCCGTGTTACAAAAATTTCCAGTCTTAGATAAATTAAATGCACTGACATCTTCTTGTGATGTACTTTCTGGAAGAAACAGGTTATTAGTCTCAAGAGATGTTGTTGCAATCGTTTGTGTTTCAGGTTTGACCAAGTTATAAGATGCAGGAGAAATTGCTGTTAAAGAGGTAGTTTTAGGTGACTTAGGTGAGGAATAAGTGCTTGGTGGTATTCTCTGAACTGTTGGAGGTTGTGAAACTGGAGAAAAACCAGTAGTTTGTGGAATATAACTAGATCTTTGATATAATTTATTAATTGAAGGAGGTAAATTACTATGGAAGGCACTGGGAGATGGAATTCCTATTGGTGAACGTATCAAAGGATTTGGAAATCTGGTAGCATCTGGAAATGGTGGTGGAAAATGAGAATAAATTAATCTAGGATTCATGTTTGGTGTTGGAGAAGGTATAAAAGGGCTTGTTGAAAGCATATTTACTGGAGAATTTTTTGGAGATATTGGTGAACCAGTACTCCTACAAATATCTCTTGAGAATGGAGGATTTGGGTAATTCCTTGCACTAGGAGAATATGGAGGTGGTGAAACAATAGGTGAATTAACAGTTGAGACAATTGGAGATAGGGTTTTAGGATCTATCTTCATCATACTCAAATTCCCATTTTTAGAACTACTAGATGTATTTGTTGTTGTTGTTGTTGATGTCATTGTTGATTGTTCTTTTTCTTTACATTCATTACCAATGCCATACATTGGTTTCACTCCAGAAGCAGGATTACCCAAATATCTTGGCATATTTCTCATTTTAAAAATCTTAGCAGGTTTAGACTGAATAGTTTTACTTCTTTCAAAAAGTGTAGTTTGATGTAATTGATTTTGTGTTTCTTTACTTTGATTTTTAACTGCTACATAATTATTTTTAGAAAGTGTAGGATTCCAACATTTTGGAGGATCACGAAGAGTCTTGTAACCCACTGCTTGACTTTGCTTTTTAGAAATGGAAAGAACCTTTTGTAAAGAGTGTGATGTTGCTATTGGAGAAGTAGTTATTAATGAAGTAGCCCTAAGACTATCTTTTACATTTGAATAAATATTTTTGCTTTCTGTTGTGATTGCATTACTATTGGGTGCATAAACGGGCACATTTGGAATACTTGTATGTTGTTGCAGTTTATTAGTAGAATCTATGGTGATTGATGGTGAACCATTCTTTCTTCCAATTTTTAATAAATCTGGAATATCAGATTTACTTCTCGCTTCTGTTTTGTTTTTTTCTTTAGAATTTTCTCCAATTTTCGCGCAAATATCATTAATTTTTGAACCAGAGGCTCCAATTTTTGCACAAATTTCATTTAAATTAGAACCCTTTGTAATTAATTCAGTTTTACGAATAGTTGGTTTCATTAAGGAAATTGGAATAGCATCAGGACAAGGAGGTACTGAATATGTATTAGTTATTTCCAAATTTGCTTTTAAAACGGACTCTTTTGAAGTACTTGAACTTGGGTAACTATTCTTTAAAGAAGAAGACACATTAATAGAAGGTATAGTAAATGCTGTAGGATTTTCTGATACTGAAGAAGTAGGCACTTCATTTTCAGAAACTGTAGTAGCAGATAATTTTTGTGTTGTTGACGCCGTCAAACTCTTGAGAGAGCTTTTTAACATTGTACTATTTACCAAATCCTGAACTGTGTAAGGAAATGTAGATGTAGATTGACTTATTGTTGATGTAAAAACTGATGAATTGATTCCATTACCAACAGACATAGGTAGAGAAGTCGAAAGATTTAAAGATGTAAGATTATCATTCGTTAACGGTTCAATTTGCGTATATGGTGATTTTTTAAGAAGTGTATTTGTTTGTTCACTTGTTCTTTGACAAGATTCTGTTAAAATTTGATCTGTTGCATATGGTTTTTTTTCTGAAGTACTTTCTCCTTGAACAGAATATTCTTCCTTTTGATCAACTGATTGCACATGTTTTATGTTAATTTCTGTTTCTTTTACTTCAGAACTAATTGAAGTACTTGGGTATGTTGATAAAACTGATTCAACGTTATCCTGTAATTCAGATATAGATTTTTGTGATATGGTTTTTGTAGAATATGGAATTAACGATTTACTTATTGTAACACCACAATTATTTGTCATAACTTGTGCTTTTGAAGAGTCAAAAGAATTTTTCAATTCTGCAGATTTCAAAGATTCAGTAATTTTTATGTCTACCTTTTTAGACGATTGTGGTATAATCTTTCTATCTCTTGCAATTTTCTTTGAAGAAGCATTATTACTACCAATTTTTGGTTGAAACTGCAATTTTACACTTAGAGCATTGATTTTTGACCCTGTATTCACAAACTTTACTTCATTTTTTGAATTCTGCTTAGAAGTTTCCAATTTTTCCATAATAATATTATTGTTATTTTTTGATGTCTCTTTTTGATCTTTATTTTCAATATTATTATTTCTAATTTCATATTCACTTAGATATTGCGTTATTTCTTGTGACTGGCTACTTTTCTGTAAAATTGATTTATCTTCAATATTGTTATTATCTAACAGATTTTTCGATTCTTCCTCAAGTTTAGAGTTTATATTATCTACTTCTTTTATGGAAGTCTTTATAGCTTCTGTTTGATTTGAGCTTTTTTGGTCATTAAATTTGTTTAATTTGGAAGAAATATCAGACTCATTAACACTTTTTCTGTCTAAAGATTGTTCATTTTCTTTACTGACTTCAGACATGTTATTTCGATTAGCACTGTCTTCAATTATTGATGTATTTATTGTTTCAACACTAGTAATAGGGTCTTCGACTCTTGTATTTTTCTTAAATTGTTGGTCCGTTATACCTGTAATGCTCATTATACCAGTTTCAGAAATTTTTAACTGAACTTCCTTCCATTCTCTTTTTATTGATTTTTCTTCTTTTGATTCAATAGGATCGATTCCAGCATGAAGTAAAGACGTTTTATAATTGACATTGTCTTCTGAAAGTTTTATTCGTTTTGGAGAAGATTCAAATATCCTATAACTTAAATGCAATGGCACTTTCTGAAATAAATATAACAAAATGTTCAGAAAATAAAAATTTCTATGTATTTTAAATAATAAATTTTTAATACTTACTCGCCTCCAATGATAAATATACATCACATCCATTAATGTATAACTACTGCACAGTGGTTCCTCTTTATACATTACATCAACCCTATGTGCATCAGTTAAGCCATACTTAGCTCGTATAAGCTTTTGTAAATGAAAAATGGTTACTGCAGCAGGACAACGAAGATACCGCCTCAACAAAGATTTCACAGCTATTCCTTTAACATCCTTGGATGGACTAAAATATTCTAATGATAAACTAAGGGATTCATCCGGAGAATATATATGTGATTCAATAGGTTCTCCTCTTGCCTCTGGAGATGTTGCTTGAGTGCATGCTTCAGGATATTTTGAGTAAAATTCTCTCCTACACCGCATTTCATCTAAAGTATAAATATTCATATCAATTATTAATATTATGCTTTCTTCAGTTAATTATAGGACTTACTTTGGTAGCATCCAGGTACCAGTTTATACACAATGTCCTGCAAAGTGTGGTCTGGACGAATGTTGAGTAGTGGTTTACTTTTGTGCACCTGTACCTCACATATTGGACAATACTTATTGTTCTCCAGATACTTGACGATACAGCTCCTGCAAACTGTAGTGCGACGTTAATCGCCGCTTACATCAATATGCTGGAATCGTCGCTTAACCCTTTTGCAATGATGAAATTGCATTTATTCACCACAAACAAAAGGATTAAAAAAGCGACAGAAGAATACACATACACGAATGCAAACACTCTATAATAGTAGTGGCATCAATGAAATATCCACTGCATAATTTGCACGTCAGCTGATCGTTGAGTTTGGACAACCGTAAGCGATGCCCTCCACTCTGACCTGACATCCTACAGTAAGAAAACTGAATTAATTTCATATATTTAACTTAGAATCAACAAAAATACTACATAAATTTCAATAACACAAAAAATTAATAATATTGAGCGATAAGAAATATTATTAAATAAGAACTAAAACGATTTTTCCAAATAATTTCTAACAATTTGTACATTAAAAATATTATACAGTAATAAGTTTAGGAGCTACCACACCTAAGTACCATAATTTAAATATTAAACTTACGTGGTAAATGACGCGAAAACTGTCTGTTTTATCTAATAATCGCCATTTGATTAAAGAAGTCAGGAAAGTTGGGTCAGAACTCGAAGTGAAATTTCACGAATCCTCATAATGAGAACATTCATTAAAAAACTGACTCAAATCCGTTAAAAACAAATTTCTTCCGAAACACAGAGCGTTGTCTGATTCTACGATTTTTTCAAATTTGAGTCAATCTAGTTCATTGTAAAATAGGCCACGATACGAGGAAAAACTCTGAAGACGACAGCAAAACAAAATGGTGGATAAACAATCATGCCAATGACATTTCCAAAAACATGAGTTTCCTTTAAGTTTTTCTCTTCAATCATATTTCACGGGAGAATAAGAAAAAATGAAAATAATGTTTAAAATAAATAAATTATAGAAAACATATTTCAGTAATATAACAAGAAATCTTTCAATAGACATAAATACTACGAGCTATTGCAACAGATTAACGGTATCATTTATCGATATGACTATTTAAGTACTTTATACAATCCAGAGATGGCATTACTAACGCATATTTAAATTTATATTTCACTCAGAATTAATATTTATGCGATATATTCGATTATAAACCCATTAAAAATTATTTATGTTATATAATAAAATTTCATTTTATTGTTTTTATTAAAATATACGAAATAAATATAAAGTAAAATGTAAAGTTACATAATATCATGCGAATATGCTGTATTTTACATCTATTTTAAGTTAAAAATTTAAAAATTTTTTTATTTTTCATTTATTAAATATAATAGTTTATGAATTATGATAAACCTGTAAAATATTATGTTTAAGTATAATATTATATGTAAATAAAGTATTAAATAAAACAATTTTAATGTTGTTTTACTTAATAATAGTTAAATGTTTATAACTATTTAATGTAACTCTAGGTATTTAAGATATTTTTGTAATTTAATATTACATAATAATTCAAAATTTGAATTGTTATTATTTTACGGACATATATATATATATATATATATATATAAAAACGTGTAGAAAATGGGATTTTAAATAACATATATGATTCGTAGTCTACTCTTCTTGTTATTTATGATCAATGTTTATGCAGTTAGTAGATAGAAGGACATGTTAAACAAATATGTATAAAATATTTAGATATTCGTTTTTGAATAATAAGATCTGATATTTTCATTTTATATAAATGTTGTGTTCAATTTTTTATATCTAATTTTAGCCATTATTATCATTTTTATTTAAAACAAGAAAACATATTTTTATCTGTTATTGTTAAAATATTCTTTACAAAACTTAAGTCTATGAAATGGTTACATTACAAGATATTAGTATACAGCTTATGAAACCAGCAAAAGATCTTGCTGATTGGAAATTTCCATTATCGCAGGTATATTATATTATTAAGTTTATTATAATTAAATATAAAAATAATAATATTGTGTGTTACTTTAGATTTTAGAAGAATATTATGCTTTACTAGAAGAACCATGTAATATTAATTTTGGAGAAGCAGCACTTGTTCTTCAAAATTCAACTAATGTATATGTACGAAGAATTGATCGTTTACTTAATGAGACAGAAATTTTAAAACAAACCTTTTTTGGCTATGAGTAATTAATTTATTCATTTTTTATCAAAAAAAAAAGTGTAAATTATAATTATTTTTATATTTATGTTTATCTTTCTATTAGGGAAGAAGAAATTAAAAAATCTACGAGTAAAGAAAAAAAAATGCTCAGAAAGGCTTATATTGATTTTGAAAATTTTGTAATTATTGATTTAGAAAAAGATGTTGGGAAACATATTGATAAAAAGAATCAATTCCAAACACAGAAGAAAGTTAAATTATTAAGTCATCGATTTACACAACTGGAAAACTGTGTAACTCAATTATGCATTCCTATTCATATATATGATATTTTCGGAGAAGTCATTGGAAAAAAATATGATTTTCGGTAAATATGAATTTATTTCATTTTAATGTATTTATAACAATATATTTTTAATTTTAAGGTGTAATCAAACTTTAAATACAAGTGGAATGTTGGTAGATGAATTAATACCATATGATTTTACACGTATTCTTACTCCTTCTACTCCAAAAGGAAGAAATTCACTGTCATCATATTCAGAACCAAAAACTCCTGGTACTGGAACTTCAGGATATCATTCGATTACTTCACCAAATGATAATGAGTTTATTACACTTATTCATGATGAGTTTGAGGATGAACAAAACTCTTCATTAATAGAAAATGACTCTTCATTAATAGAAAATGATTCACAAAATGATTCAACAAATGAATTACAAGTTATAGAAGAGGAAAATATGATAAACAATAATCATGATAGTTTATTTGGTAGCAACAGTAATTTAAAACAAACTAATACTGAAGAGAATGTACTAGAAAAGTATCATAATCAACAAAATATAGTGCAAAGTATTAGTGACCAAAATTGTTTAATTCAGAATTTGCAAGAAATGAATCAAATTAGGGAGGGATGCAAAATTGGAGATACAGTACAAATAGATCTGATAAAAGAGAGTAATCAAAATAATATTAAGAATATAGTACAACTTGGAAATAGTAATCAAGTGAAATTTAATAAGCAGATAGATGATATTTGTAAAGAGAATGAAATTTTTCAATTGAGTGAGTCTAATGACATACGATGGAAGGAAGGATTACTTAATATGCGTAAAAGAAGGTATTCCTCAGAAAACTATTCTATAGAAAATATAGAAATAGAAATAGGAAACTATATTCTATTAATTTTGCAATTCACGATATTAAATCAATGAAAGTATTAATATTTTTATTAGGAATCGAACAACAAAGATGTCAATATGTTCTGTAGATGACATAAATGAATATGATTGGAAACCAATGCCACTTCTTCAAGAAATAAAACATGCTTTGTCTAATAATCCATCTATTTTGAATCTTCCAGATTATATTTCCTTTCTGGAGACAAAATTTGGTTCTGTATGTATACATAATTATTTTTAGCCTCCTTTGTTTTAATATATTATATTCTCAATAATTGTTTCATTGTTTACATATATGTATGTATGTGTCTCTTCTTATTTATATATGTATTTATTTTTAGAAAAAGCGTAAGTTTATATCAAAATTGAAAAAACCAGAGTGTTTAGCAAAATTTGTTTTACGTGAAGCTGAATTATTCACAAAGAAAAATACGGTTTTACAAACAAAACTGAAATTCAGACATTTACAAAAACGTAAGTTACATTGAAATAAATTATATTTTAAAATACTATTACAGCACTTTACAATACAATTATTTTTGGCAGGGGAGTTAGAAGATTTCATGAAGAATTTTGATGAATGTTTAAATGGTACAGAAAGAGAAAATGATAATTCTCGGTATGAAGCTGTAACAGATATTGCTCTCGATTTATCGGATTTCCGCTTGTCTCAAAATCAAAATAATTCAATTGAAAATAGTATTGAAGATATATCAAGTAGAAGTTCTTCACCTATGGATATTACATTACAATCAAGTATTTGTCAAAATTCACTTGATATACTTGAAAAGTCACCAAATTCATGTAATCGATGTGAATCTTCAATTTCGGAAATTAATTTATTCTATTCTTTGCCGGATTACCAAACATTAATTGAGGACAAAATGAAAGAGATTTTTGAAGAATCTAACGTTACAACAGAATTAGATCTAACTGTAGCAAAGTGGCATGCTTCTTTACAACCAAAATTATCAGAGGCTGAAATCAGGCCAACATTTCGAATTCATGATTATTCATCTCGTATAATAGAAGCATTACAAGCATTAGACCAAAAAAAAATTAATTTTGATAGTGTTGTTCAAGACAAACCTGCTTGTGAAGTAGCTAGATACTTTTTAGCTTCATTACAATTGGTATTTCCATTTTTATTATAATTAATTTACATTTTAGAATCTTGTATGAATTATGATAACTTTTTTATTTTTGCAGGCAAATACTTACAATGTAGAAATAAGGAGGGAAAACAGTGATAACAGTATAGAAATAACATTGCTCAATAATGGAAAAAATTATAAGAAAGGTTAAAAAAATAATTTTAGTATTATGTTGTTTATAGAAATGTAGGATTACTATAGGTATTCCTATGTTTGATATTTAACACAAAAATAACTATTTTTTAAATATAGGTATTAATATCATAACTTTATAGAATATAGCGTATTCTAATAAAGTAATACATACTTGCAATCCATATATATTCAAGATACAATCATTTTAAATTCGCCGCCATATCTAATATAAATATGAGAATTATTTGGTTAGTCATTTCCTTTGATAATAGAGTATATAATTGCGCATGTGCTGTCATCGAAATAGTATTGCTTACCGGCTAGGTTACGAAGTTCCAGGTGCGTTAGTTTACATTGAAGTGACTAAAAGATGAGTTTAATTTTATTTTAATATTATTCTTTGTTGTATTTGTCAAAATGACTAATAAGTAACTTATAAATAAAAAGTACATTTATTGTTACATATTTTTGAAGTATTTAAAGTATTATTTATATTTAATATTTTGGTAAAATGTTATTTATGTCTAAATAAATTAATTGTTTTTTCAAAATGTCATTTTATTAGCTTAAAATTTTTGAATGATTCGTTATATCTAAAAAGAATTTAGTACTGTATTAAATTACTTAATAGTAACCAATCAGCCAATTTGAATCTGTTTGCTCTCCCCTTCTTTCTAATTTGTTTGATACGTTAGGGATACATCTCTTTAGGGGCATACAGTTTTTCTTTGGTAAGTTAAATGTAAAATACTTTTTTATTATAAAGATGATAAATAAATAATTTTTAAGGATTTGAAATACATAATTATGGAAAAGAAAACTTCAATGAAGTCTACACAATGGATATTACAACCATGGAGTCTTTTATTCCTTATTCTGATTCAATTCTTGGTACAATTTTTAACATCTATCTATCTTTATACTTATATGACCCGTGTGGAAACAGATGTTCTTATTATGCAAAACCAAGACTTTTTAGAAACTGAAAAATTGGTACGAAGAAAACGAAGTAGTGCATTACCTGTAACAGAGGATAATAAAGTTTCAGATACCTCTAGGGTATGTATTGTTAATATAACACAGAAAAGATATATTTTATGTCCTTATAATTATATCCTTACCTATTTATAATAAGGATTAAGAATTAAAGTTGATAAGGATTATAATCCTTATTTATATTTTAGATTTGGCAAGAGAAAGATACATTGAAAGAATCTAAGAAAGTAACTTCATCTCCTGTAATAAAATCAGGTTTGGCATCTTCGCCAATTACTCCTACAGGACATGATTGGGTATGGTTAAATGCAGATACTCGTGTGCAGGTTAAATATTTGCTTCTTTTAAATAACTGAAAGATATAAAGATATTATAAAATTTTAATTATAAATATTGTATATTTTAGCTTGATGCAATTGTAAAGTTTTGTCGATCATCAATGGAATATTGTCCACCAGGTTTGCCAGGAGCACCAGGAAGTCCAGGAGCTCCTGGGGAACCAGGCCTTCCTGGATTACGAGGTATAACTGGTCCAAAAGGACCACCTGGTTTGACAGGTCCTCCTGGTCCTCGTGGACCAAAAGGTGATATAGGACCATCTGGTTTTGATGGAAGAGATGGAGTACCAGGGGAACCTGGTCTTGATGGAATACCTGGACGTAGTGGATCAGATGGGTCACCTGGAATGAATGGTAAACCAGGACTGAATGGATCTCCTGGTCGGCCTGGACGTAATGGCACAGATGGTACTTTACTATTTTTATTACTTATTGTTGTTTCTAACTTTCACTGTTAATTTCAAAGTTATTTTTAAAGATATAAAAATGTACTATATTTTTAGGATGGCCAGGTCAAATGGGACCTCAAGGACCACCTGGACCGCGCGGTAACTTATCCTTATTTCAAATTCGCACATTCTAATTGCACGTGGATGAAAAAGAGATACGTTGATGATGTAAACAACTTTAGGAGAAATGGGTCCTCCTGGTAGACCAGGCTTATCAGGACAAGATGGCAAACCAGGGATATCAGCCTGGAAGGTGAACACGAATGATTATAATATGAATGATTTATTAATTCCACCTTCTATCTTGGGCAAGTAATATTTAATTTTTAAATAATTACATATTGAAAATTTACTTGATCAAACAATATATTTTTTGAACTATTTTTCAGATGATCGCATGTTACCTGGAACATTAAATTCTACAGGATTAATCTCTGTCCACGAAGGTACTAATTTACGACTAAAATGTGTAGCAAGTGGAAAACCTCAACCCACTGTTCAGTGGTTTAGAAGTGATGCTACTGTCATCCCTGTAGGATCTTGGCATGGTAAAATAAAATTCTATTATTAATAATTATAAAAATTCTCATGATATTTAATAACAGTTAGATTTTAATAAATGGCATTTAACAAATACATAATTTATTAAATAGTTACCTCTGTAATTGGACACACATTTAACATCAGCGTAGTTAATAGAGAACATATGGGAGAATATACTTGTGTTGCTAACAATGGAGTTCCACCTCAAGCATTTAAAAGATTCAAACTTCAAGTTAAATGTAAATATTTTGACATATATGTGTGTATATATATGTGTGTATATATATATACATATATACACATACATATATATATATATTATATATATATATACATATATACTTTTATGTATACATATGTATATTTATTTATTTCTTTTATTATAAAATAAAAAAGGCTTATTTTTTAGTTTCTCCTTTTATCAGAATACGTAATCAAATGATTCGTGTACGTAGTCAGAGCACTGCAGTTTTAGAATGCGAAGTTGAAGCATTTCCAGAACCAATTGTTTATTGGGAACGTGAAGATGGACGTCGTCTCAAAATGTCTGATAAATACAGACTAGAAGTTTATGACAAGCGGGATGTGTATAAGGTAACATAATAATGCTTTATACAATTTTTACTTCTGTTCACTTTTAAAATATATAATTTTTTAGCTTAAAATGCGTTTAAAAATTACAAAGATAACATCAGCAGATCATGGTACCTATCATTGTGTTGTTAAAAATGATATTGACACTACTAAAGGTTCATTTATAGTTGATGGTAAGATATTTATTATATATTTATTACATATTTCTAGTCTTTATGATTTTCAAATCAATTAAAATTGACATTGCATTGTTTCAGATGATGTAAAAAGTATGGAAAAGTTAAAGATAGGAAAACAGCAACATGTTACATATGGAAAACCAGCACCACAGCATGTTGATTTAGAAGAACTTTGTGCACCACATGAAACTTGTGCAGCTTGTCCTGTTTTAAGATGTACTTTCACAGATGTTGCTGAATATTTAAATATTCAACCACTCAAAAATGTTAATTTTACTGGACTTCCACCAAGATTAGCAGGTATAATAGAATAGATTTACTAATTTTTTCGTTTCATTATAAATGTATAATTCTAAATAGTGTATTACTTAATAAATTGATTACTTATCAATTTTATTTCATTTTGGAGATGGCATAATTGAAGCAGTAGGGAAACCAGTTTTAAAGGGTAATATGGATGATCATTATGGAAGCTGGATGCATGACACATCTAAAACTGATAGTTATCCAGAAAAACTTTGGGTTACTCGAAAGAATGAAACTTCTTTCATTTTTGAATATAAGTCAAAAGATCAGTTTAAAAATGCGAGTTCATATCCTATCGCATTACCGTATCCATTTCAGGTATAATATAATAAATTAAAATTATATATCTTGATTTTACATTAAATTTATTTTCAGGGAAATGGACATGTAGTATATAACAAATCATTCTTTTACAATCCTATAAATCGATCTTCAATTTTTCGCTTTAATCTTCATTCCGTTTCTGATCATGTATGCGATAATGAGTTTTCGCGATGTGAATTACATCTTCCAGGATTATTAGTAAACACAAAAAATTATCTGTATACACCGAATCATAATTTTAATTATGTTGATTTCAATGTAGATGAAAATGGTAACTGTATTGTAATTTATTAAAACAAGTACTTCTTTTAATAAAAATAGTAGATAATAAATACACTACCTTCAATAATAGGATTATGGATAATATATGGATTGCCATCAAATAATACAGTGGTAATAAAAATGGATGCAACTAACATGAATATTCAACATGCATGGAACATCAGTATTGACAATCACAAATTTGGAGAAATGTTTATTGCTGGTGGAGTACTGTATGCTGTTCATAGTGTTACAGAAGAAACAATGAAAATAAGGTAAAATTTGTATAAGGAAAAGAACAAGAAAATGTTATAAACTTGAAAAATTATATATATTTTATAATGTATTTTATTTTATAATCATATAATGATATATATTTGTAGGTTGGCTTTCGATCTTTATAAAAATATTACAATACCTGTTCATTTATCATTTACAAATCCTTATCACAAAACTACAGCTGTTAGCTACAACCATAAGACAAAAGTAAATGTTTTACAATAAAAAAAATAAATCAAATAAAATAGATGTTCTTAAATTTATTATTATATTCTTTATATTCTTAGGAACTTTATACTTGGAATAAAGGAAATCAATTAGCCTATCCAATTAAATATCAGGGGTCTGCAAATGCTACAGCAAAAGAAGAATTCAGGGGTGCAGAAACTGGAATTTAAAATCAACATCAATGTGACATTGAAAAATTAATGGAATATATATATATATATTTTATCCTTTCATTTTTCATAAATGTATTGATAAAAAAGGGACAATATGAGAAATACAGACTTTCTCTCCATTCACTGTTATGCTTCAAATCCTTGTTTAATTGTTTCCTGTGATTTAAAAAATATGTAACATTGATGAAAAATATTATAAAAGTAATTTTATAAATTCTATGTGTTTAAAAAATTGAATTAAAAAAAAAAATAGAGATCATAGTAGATTAGCAGTAAATTATTTTTTTACAATTTCTCAGTAAATTTTAAAAATTCGAAACTTCTAGCGTTCTTCATAAATATAACATTGTTTATAAAATTTGTCGATCTTAAATATAACTTTTTTGTTGTAAGTTTAAATTTATTATTTTATTCTATTTTATTATTTTTCAAATTTAAGCGAATAACAAATTTTAAAGTATGTTAAGTAAATCAATTGTTCAATACAATTCAGTAAGGTGGCGCATGATGACACATTTAATTAAATAAAGCGTAAGAAAATAGACTAAGTGTGTAAGAGAGAAAGAAAATGCTTTGACAAGTTCTTACTTAGTCAGATCCTCTTAGTTTCTCTCTGATTAAAAAGAGATATTCATAGTTTGAACTAAAATTTTATCTTGTAGAAAGTAAATGACATGATTAAACATTAAGCAATAAGAAAAAGGAAAGGAATTCATGAATAGAAAGCTGAAAAGCGTTCTACCTAAAAAAATGGTAAGTACAATTAAGCAACTCGGCATTTTGATCCATCGAAAATATGATGTTAATTCTAACCTTGCAAAGATCGAATTAAGGAAAAATTATCCTATAGTGAACTTCAAGCAGAATTTAAATATCTGCAATGATTTATTTAAAGATCTATTCGTTTCAACCTCTTTTTCAGAATATTTTCCTGCACATTACATGGATGTCGATAACCTCACCTTCAAGTTGTTTGAAGTAATCAAATTTCCTATTTCTATTTTTATTTGTTGTTTTTTTAATTTTTATACTTGGAAGTTAAAAATCAATCCACTAAATTAAATTATAAAAGTGTCATAATATGTTGATGAATAATGATATTGGAAACTCATTATCTTTTAGTATGCATTGATCATTTCAACATTTATTTCATTTTTTAGTATTATAATCAATTTATTCAATACAATTTTCAAAACAATTTTAAGATATTTTGGTTACATTATTTATTAGTAATTATCTATTAGTAATTAGTACACTATAAATCTTATATATTTTTTTTTTGTAACTTTTTTTCTTTTACATCAAAAATTTATTTAAATATCAAATAAATTACTATATGTACATATATTTACATAAGCTACTAATAAGTAAAAGGAATATTTGACGTAGACTATGTACAAAGTGACAAAAGAAGATCATATAAATATCTTTGGTATATCTTCTTCTTTTAACAAATTATTGTTATTGACTATAATAAATTATAAATTATAAAAAAATTTGTGCATAGTAACAAACTAAAACAATGCATTGATGCATTGATTAATACATTTCAATGATTTAATGTATATTTTATATATATACCACATTTTAGATTTTCTTCATCATTTTATTTTTTTCTTTAATCTGTGATTTATTAATCTATGAAAAAATACTACTTTTCATTTATAGATATTATATACAATGTTATGATTTTGTATGGATTAGAAGCACAACTAAAAGAAAACTATCATACTATAATATTTTTTATATAATAATAAAATTATGTTAAAATTTCATTATATGCAGCTGTTGTTTAATATTATATAGATTCTTAAATATTTTAATATAAAAGTAAACATGAAAGTAAAAATTGTCTGAAATAAACAATATTAAACTATAGAATTGTATATTATAAAATTACAGTGTTAATTTTTAATAAATAAATATTATAAATGTTTATAATATTACATTTAGTATATTTTAAATATTAAAAAAGATTATTCCTTTTGTTACGTTCATTAATATATAAGAATTGAAAATATATATTATAAAAAAAGATATAAAGATGTATTTGATACAATATTTGCTTACATTTACTAAATTATATATCAATAAAGTTATGTTTTTATAAAAAATTGTTATTTAAATAATGAAAACAATTATTATTTTAAATAATTATTTATTATGTAATAATATAATACAATGAACTATACTAAAAGAAATTAAACCTTAGCTTTTAAGATGTTTTATGAATCATTCATTAATATAATCCAACAAAATATACAGCTTAAACATAAGATAATCTCTTATAAGACAATATTTTTAATATGCTTATCAGTATCACAGTCAGAAGGAACAATGTTGTGTTGAGTGAAGTTTCAATATTACATACTATAAAAAGATAATTTTTTTATGTTAAGTTACTGCATTGTTTGTTGTTACTATCAACCTTATTAGTATGTTTGTTAATAACAATTGAAGACATACTTCATACATTTTTTGTTTTTTTTATGTAATATTATTTAACTTCTTGTTTTTTTTTTATTTAACTTTTTATTTAACTTTTTCTTGTTTAAAACTTTGAAATATTTTATTCTTTATTTTTGAACATATTATACATATATCAAATAGTTATATTGTATTTGTTCTTATAGGTTGCAATGCCATGGAGAAATTTCCACTGAAAGGTACAACATTATTGAACAATACAATTACACAAAATCATCAGTATTCCTTAACTACGTACCAATCAGTTGATACAAAGGTAAAGGTAAAATATGATGAAATTTGACAAGAAAAAATAAAAGAATGGAATAATAATGATAGTGAAAATTTAAAGAACAAAAATTTAATTAATTATAGATAGAAAATTCAGATGATGTATACTTCGTAGAGGATGTACAATCTCGAAATCGATCTACACGTGACAGTAATATAAACAGTGACGACGATATGTTGGAAGTAAATAGTGCAAGTTCTCCTCATGGGCAGAACTCAGTTCTTTCAGAATGTATTCGTATCGACGATTCTTCCTCTCATAGTAAGTAATATATGTAACATACAATATATAATATAATTTTTTAATGCATAATTTGTAAAAATTAAAACAATTTTTGTGTAACCAATTATAAACCCAACTCTGAGTCACTAATAACTCACCTAATGATTGTGACGACTATAAACCTCGAACAAAAAAAAAAAAATTTATTTTATATTATTTTATTATTGTAGTTTCAGTTGATTCTGATGACATTCCTGGCATTGGACAATATGATGATTTTCACACTATTGATTGGCAGCGAGATATTGCCAGAGATAGAATGCGTCATCGATACATCGTAAAAAAGAAGCATGATTCCATTTGGGGTTTAATCAAAGGAGCCCATGATGCTTGGTCTGGCTGGCTCTGTGTTTTACTAGTTGGTCTCTTTACAGGAGTCGCAGCAGGTATCATAGATATAGGAGCTTCCTGGATGACTGATTTAAAATTTGGTATATGTCCACAAGCATTTTGGTTAAATAAAGAACAATGTTGTTGGAGTTATAATGAAACAACTTTTGATGGTGGTAACTGTTCTCAGGTATATCTAGTTTATTATTATAGATTTTTTGTATTCTTAAATATTTTTTTTTTTTATCATCCTTTTCTCTTTTCAGTGGCGAACATGGCCAGAAGTATTCAGTCAATCAAAAGATGGTGCCGGACCTTACATGATCTCATATATGTTTTATATTGCTTGGGCCCTTTTATTTGCTTCGCTTTCTGCTTCATTAGTAAGAATGTTTGCACCATATGCTTGTGGTTCTGGAATTCCTGAGGTGCATATGGAAGGAATAAGGAAAGTCTTAAAAATATAGTCATTTTAAATTACACTTTAAAATCACTTTTTAGATAAAAACCATTCTAAGTGGATTTATTATTCGTGGATACTTGGGGAAGTGGACATTAATAATTAAGTCAGTAGGTTTGATTCTATCGGTCTCAGCAGGTTTAAATTTAGGCAAAGAAGGACCGATGGTTCATATAGCTTGTTGCATAGGAAATATATTTTCTTATCTTTTTCCAAAATATGGTAGAAATGAAGCAAAGAAACGAGAGATTTTATCAGCAGCTGCTGCTGCAGGAGTTTCAGTTGCTTTTGGTGCTCCGATTGGGGGTGTTCTTTTTAGTCTTGAAGAGGTACATGTTAAAAGAAAGACAGTTTATTATATTACTGAAAATATATATTTAATAACATTTTTTCAGGTGAGCTATTATTTCCCCTTAAAAACTTTATGGAGATCGTTTTTCTGTGCCTTGATAGCTGCTTTTATTTTACGATCTATAAATCCATTTGGTAATGAACATTCGGTACTTTTTTACGTCGAATATAATAAACCTTGGATATTTTTTGAGCTAATACCCTTTGTCATGCTTGGAATAATTGGTGTAAGTTTATCTTTCTGTACATTCCTTTCTATAATTAAAAGATTGTTAAATTATAATATTTTTCTTTTCCTCTCCTTTACAATAGGGCGTGATTGCTACTTTATTTATTAAAGCAAATTTATTTTGGTGTCGTTATCGTAAAACATCGAAATTGGGTCAATATCCAGTTACTGAAGTTTTAATAGTAACAGTTGCAACTGCTGTTATTGGGTATCCAAATCCATATACACGGATGAGTACAAGTCAACTTATTTATTTATTATTTAGACAATGTGGAGTGTCAAATGCAGATATTTTATGGTTTGTAAAAATCACTTTTTTATTTTTTTGAATTAATATTAATTTTGAAATGTATTATAAACTTTTTTCTTTTCTTTGTTCATATAGTGATTATAATAGAAACTTTACTGCTGTAAAGTCAGCAATTGAAGTTGCAGCAGCTGGTCCTGGAGTCTATAAGGCGATATGGCTTCTTGTTTTAGCATTAATTCTAAAACTTGTTATGACAATATTTACATTTGGCATGAAAGTACCTTGTGGATTATTTATTCCATCGCTTTGTTTGGGAGCGATAATGGGTCGTATTGTTGGGATTGGAATGGAACAACTAGCGTATAATTACCCACATATTTGGATATTTAGTGAAGCATGTTCAACTGGTGTTGATTGTATAACTCCTGGATTATATGCAATGGTTGGTGCTGCAGCGGTTCTTGGGGGTGTTACTAGAATGACTGTTTCTCTTGTCGTAATAATGTTTGAATTAACTGGAGGTGTGCGATATATTGTACCATTAATGGCAGCAGCCATGGCAAGTAAATGGGTTGGTGATGCCCTTGGAAAACAAGGCATTTATGATGCTCACATTGGTTTAAATGGGTATCCATTTCTTGATAGCAAAGATGAATTTCAACACACAACTCTTGCAGCTGACGTTATGCAACCTAAGTAATTGCACTATTATTGTCATCAAAATATTATATTTGTATAATATGTCTTTCACTTGCTGTATTTTACGATTTCTATTTATAGTTATTAAGTGTAATTCTTTTTTAGACGCAATGAAGCCCTTCATGTGCTTACTCAAGATTCAATGACAGTTGAAGATGTTGAAAATTTATTAAAAGAAACGGAACATAATGGTTTTCCAGTAATAGTTTCAAAAGAATCACAATATCTTGTTGGTTTTGTATTACGAAGAGATTTAAACCTTGCAATTGCCAATGCTAAACGTATGACAGAGGAAATTACTGGACAATCATTAGTTATATTTACAAATGGAAACAACATTCAAAGTCATTCTCCTCCACCACTTAAGTTGAAGAAAATTCTTGATATGGCTCCAATAACAATTACCGATCAGACGCCTATGGAGACTGTTGTTGATATGTTCAGAAAGTTGGGACTAAGACAGACACTTGTTACACATAATGGGTACTTATTTTTAATAACTTTACACATTAATCATACCTAATGGAAAATTGTATTTATTTTTTTACTATTACAGTCGACTACTTGGAGTTATTACAAAGAAAGATGTATTGAGACATGTAAAACAACTTATAAATATATATAAAAGATACAGTGTTTTATAATGCATGGTATCAACCAAACAATTGGATACACTATGCCAACAGTATGATTTTTGATATTTTCATATAACTGTTAATGAGCAATTTGTTTTAATTATTAGTGACTAAAAATGAAGAAATAAATAGGTAAAACAGTTTTAAATCATTGCACTTCGTGACTTTTTATATGTCTTATTATGTTAAATCTCAATCCAACTTATATGAATTATACATTCAAAAAAGTTTTTTTTTATATGTAAGAAAGTAATTCAAATAGCGCTTAATATTTTTGGAATTTCTTACATTTTTAGCTTTCATGTTAATTCAATGTATCGATGAAGTATTATACGTTATTTAATTACTACCTGAGATATCATGTAATTTGTTATTTACATTGTGTTTTAAACCTTTGTATCAAAAACTTTGGAAACACATTTTTATAGTTAAATCGATAGATTAATAGTGAACCAAGTTTTAACATATGTACGAGTAATTGTGGTATTAAGTAGAATGTTATGTAGTACAACAAATTTTATTAGTAATAATTTACAGAAATAGTTTACATTTAAATATCAATTTCATTTTTCGTAATTTTCATCTTTTAGACATACTATGTTTTTTTGAATATTTGATATTTATAGGTATATGTACATATATGATCGTGATTAATATGATTTCTTTTATTTTCCATTGTACATTTTAGGTTAAAGAATTGCAAATACTAATCGAATTTCTATAAGCAATGATTAAATGAAAAAAACAAAAATTGTTTGACTTAACATTTATAATTTATATTAAAAGAAAAATATTTCTGCTGTTACAAAAAGTGAATTACAAAACTTTAAAAAGTACTAAATTTTTTTTCATCAAAAATCTATACATACTTATGATCATGTCGATTCCTAATATACATATGTATATATGCAAATATAGTACAATATGCACGCAATTAGGCACATGTGTGTATGCGTGTGTGTGCGCGCGCGCATGCTACGTGTGTGTGTATATATATACACACAACATTATGAATATTGAGGTTACATAAACGTATCTTAATATATATGAATGTTAAAATATAAATGTAAAAATAAATATTATTTAAATATTATTTACAGTAAAATCTCATTAAGAATTATAAGTAGTGAATTATTGCTTTCTTTCATTTAAGTTAATTTCCCATTCTTTTCCAATAATTGGTTACAATTAAAAAAGTTACATATAGATAAGTGGTCAGAGTATGGAAGAAAATGTAATCGTCAATAAATTAAATATCAAAGTTAAAATTATTCATTCCTTAACAAAAAATATCCGTTAATTAGTTTGAAACATATTTTTCAAATTAATATATGTTTACTCTTAAAAATTAATTATGCTGCATTTAATAAAAATTGGTACTATTTTATCTAGCAAAAGCAACGCTAGAGGACAAATCAATAAGTATTTGAAAGACAGTTTCTAGTTATAGCTATATAGCCTGAAGAACTAGGACGTTTTATTCGAAATTTAAAGTCGATCAAAGAGAAAATCGTAGATGAATATCACATATGTCAAAAAAAAATGAAAGTTTCATGAGAAAAATTCTCTAAATCAGGAAAACATATTGAAATGGAAAAATGTGTTACGATATGTGAAAGACATTTGAAAAACTAAGTAAATAAAAACGTAAGGATAAGAAAACTACGGATGGTAGACGTAACTTATCGAAGAGAATTTCATAAAATTTGATACAGTACTTGGTATTTACATACACAAAAATGAGACCCTTTTTGCAAATCAATAAACAATCTTCATGATTTTTCACATCGCCAAAATCGTACATGTTTCATTTTGAAAAGAAACAGAAAAAGAAAATATTAGTTATGGGAGAAGGAGACGAAAGAATCATAATGTTTGCTGACCACAATATCACCTGCAGGGGTCAGTTGTAGCTGGAGTGGGGGATAGCGTGGAGAGTGGCAGAGTATTCGTGCAGGTTGGTGGTTCGCTAGTTTCGTGGTAGCGATTGTTTTCCTCGGTCGTTCAATACGCGCGCGCGCGAAACGAATCGACTTCGTCCATAGTATCGTCACAGTTCTCGTCGGAGACGTTCGTGATTTTGCACCCTTGTTCGAGTCACAATTTACCGAACTATATGACGAGGGTACACCACGATTTCTTTTCTTATTTTCCTTCGTATCTATTTCTATCTTCGCTTTTCCTTTTACCTAGCTTTCTTCTTTTCGCTACACCTTTCGTTTTCGTTGCTGTTTTGTTTTTCCTTTTATCGCTTTCTCTCGTTACATTTAAATACGTACTAATTTTTATTCCGATTTCATTTTCCGTTTCTATATTAATACGCACTGTCGTGTTCTTGTTGGCTCTCTACTCGCCACTTTGTCCATCTGATTCTTCTTATCCCCTGACCGTCGTATTCTACGGCACGTCGTTGACATTTCATTCAAACCCTATTTGGGATAGTATTCAAAACTCGATCTTCGAATCTCCTTGGATAAAACAGATGGTAAATATGATTCGTGAGTGTCGTACGTTACTGGAGTGACCAGTAAGCAACAGACTGATTTTGCTTTATTTCTCGTTGTTATTCCATCTTGTTATTTGGCATTGTTTTCTACCGCGATGCTATTAGCGACGGAATCGCGTGTGAACGATATCCAAGAGACGACATCACAGGACAGACCAGATTAGGGTACATCGATCATCAAGACATCAAGGAAAAATCACGCAACGTCTCTTTCGAGTATACTTTATACTTTCTTCCTCTCTTTCCCCTTTTCTCCTTGCTTGCCCCCAATTTCCCTGCTTCTCTTTTCTCATCTATTTCTCGTTCTCCCCCTTTTTCTTTTTATCATTTCCACTTCTTCGTCATTTTCGGTTTCTTTCTTGACTTTTTTGCCGCTTGGTGGTGAAACGTGTCGCAGCGGCACGATCGTCATCGACGAAAAAAGAAGAATCTATATACTGTACCGCGACATACATTCGAGTTCGCGCTCAGTCAATAGCGGCCGCATCCTTTGAAATTTCAAAAGAATCACAAATACGAATTATCCACGAGTCTGGAAGGCATCGTGATCATATATATCAAGTCACTAGCAATCAAATTATCGGTAAAACTGCCTTTCACTGTAATGCGGTGGTGTTACGACGATTTCGAGGAGGACCAATACTGACAGGCAAACAGTATTATGTGTTTCCTATGCTTCTGTTTACTAATAAGGGACGAGATTCTTGTGGAAGAACGAATATACGAGTCGCTGAATCTCTGAGACTAAAAGGAAGAGGAACGAAAACTTGATAAGCCCTGCCTAAGAACCGTAACGATGAAAGGTACAAATTTCGGTGAGCCGAGGAACCAAAGATTCCAATGATACCTTCGCAAGGTGGCCGTGAGGGATATAAAGGTTCTCCCAACCCTCCGAGCAACGGCTCTGAGGACAATGGCTTCGCTAATCGACCTCGAGTGGCGGGCCTTTACGCGACGAACCTCTTCAGAGAAGAGCTCGTTCGATTCTCGTCAGGAGAGACTACTCGATCTCATGGCCCCGCACGAGATATTCTTGAAAGATCGCCACGAGAGATTGGAAGCCAGAGAAGTTTAAATCTTCCCACGGGCATTACCGAAGAATTCGAGTTGTTGGATCGTTCGAGGATCGGAATTTCGAGAACACCTCAACCATTGAGAAGAGGAGAAGTGACCGCTGCTCATTACGAATCTAGATCTAGATTCGACGAATCAACTAGGCGGGGAGATCATCATGGATTGCCGCCTATCGAAAGGATTCGTTCGAGGGAACACGAACAACAGGAAGAATGCTCTGGTCACTCCGTGTCCGATGCTCTTCGAGGCTCCCTCCACGAGTTTTCATGCTCTGAGCAGCCGTTATGGATGGAATCGGATATCGATGATTCTAAGATACCTGCTTCGACTAGCGATTTTGGTGAGAGGAGAGGAGGACCAGATGACAGTTCCACTTTTGCTTCAACCTCTGCCTCGATACTTATTTCTCCCGCGAGTGAGACCAGCGAATGTGACGCGATATCGCCCCCAGAAGTGGAGAAATCATCACCACCACCGTACACGGGTCTTAGTCCTCCGGAATATACCGGACACAAGTACGAGAACAGTGAAACCCCGTCGCCTATCTTTCCAAATTATCCGTTGACATCGTACGCGGAAGAAACGCGTCACCGGCGTTCGCGATCATCCGTTTCAGATGCCGAGCTTGAATTCGCGATACGCGAAGAATGTTTGAGAAGGGAAAATCGGTTTGAGTCGGAACTCGTGGAATCAGAGAAGGGTTCAGGTGCAGGTAGATCAAGACAAAGCGCTTCGGAATATCAAGAGTCGTTGGAATCTAAAGCGATTCGCGAGAAATCCGACGACGAGAATGTTTCGAGATCTAGAGACGTCGCGAGGTTGCGACCTCCTTTAGCCGCAGCGACAGGCGCTTCGGCCGATTCTGGGACCGGTGATTCCGGAAGTGCGGAAATTCAGGTTGACCCTCTCGGTACCCCTAGAACGGCAACCGCCGGTGAGGCTTTGGATGAAACGAATGGAACCGAGAATGTCACCATCGCCAGTAAATCAACCATTAAAACCCCTATTGGAAATAATAAACAAACGGTGAAATTGTTCACGAAGGAAAGTCTCGATAGGTTGGAAAATAGAACCGTGCAGCTTGTTAGAGATTATGGTTTCCAGCCGAAAAGGCGAATGTCGGTCGAAGATGGTGCGGTGCTTCCAAATAAATACGAACCTTTCCCAACCGAACTATACGGTAGGCCTCTCGAGGAAATCGACAATTTCATCTACGATGAAGTAAGTCTTTAAATATCTGCTTTATAATTATTTTACTCCTCAAATTCTATCGGTTTGTTGTTGAGCTTAATTAAAATTGGCATTTCATTTTTCTGTAAAGATAGCGCGAAATGGCTCTAAAAGAGATTAATATAAGTTATTTAGCAAAGATTGGGATATATTTTTGTCCATGAAATATATTAAGAGTCTGGTTGTTGAAATCGATGATACTGCTAACAAGATCGAAGTAGAACCTAAAAATCGCGAAAATCGAAAGGAAAGAGATATATACGTATGTTTTAGGCTAATGTTTCGTAAAAATCTTTTAATCGATTTGAAAATCAAACACGGGAAACAGTTCTTTTCCCGTTCTTTTTTTCGATAATCTTTTAATTTTAATCATTGTAATACAAAATTGGTTAATGTTTTATTATTTTTAATCTTCGAACGCGTTAGGAATTTATATATCAAAATTTATAAATTTGATAATCTTAAAAGATTATTTTCACTTGTATATAATATATCGTCTGCACTGTGTGTTTCAGACGTTTTGCGTAGTGTCCAAGAGATTTCGTAAGAATTACATTCACAGATTTACGGCGACAAACAGTTGGTTCATATTTTCTCCATGGAATCCTATACGGCGATATTGTATTTTCCTAAGCACGAATCAGTACTTCGATTATATAGTCATGGCTACAATAATATTAAATTGTGCCTTCCTCGCCATGACGGAAACTATCGAGGAAGCCGAGTAAGCATTTTCACAACCCACTCATCGCTACGGATTAATCAAACTTTATAACTGTGCCTTTATAACAACGTACCTTTTTCTCCTTTTGTTTTTCAGGTATATATTCTTGGCTATATACACGGCCGAAATGGTGATCAAATCGATAGCCAAAGGATTTGTGCTCAATAAATACACTTACCTACGAAATCCGTGGAATTGGTTGGATTTCGTAGTGATCACCAGTGGCTATGCGACTATAGGAATGGAAGTAGGAAATTTAGCTGGGTTGAGAACCTTCCGTGTATTAAGAGCTCTTAAAACCGTTTCAATTTTGCCTGGTAAGAACTTGGAAAACATGGCGACTTTTAATAATCCGAGCCTTCCCTTTACTATTTCTTTTCAACGTTATAACGCGAAATCGTTATCCTTCTAGTCGAGGGCAGTTGATAAAACGTGTAAATCGATAAACGATCTTTATTGAACCTTTATTAAAAAAGTCGTAACAGATTTTGTTTACAAGAGAATAAGCATATCAATATTAGAAGAATGATATTTTATCTAATATCTTTGCAGGTTTAAAAACCATCATTAATGCATTATTACATAGTTTTAAACAACTTGCCGAAGTAATGATGCTCACGATTTTTTGTCTGATGGTTTTTGCACTCTTCGCTTTACAAGTTTACATGGGTGAACTTCGGAATAAATGTGTAAAGAATTTGGAATTTAATAATACGCAGGTCGATTGGAAAGAGTACGTATTGTTTGTCGTATAAATATGTTCTACTTAGATATATATGTTGCATAGTATTTTATGTATGCACATATGTATCAACTTGAAAGACAATGGCTCGTTGACTCTCAAGAGGCATTAACCGATACCTTGTACCGTCCACAGGTGGACTTGGAACTCATCCAACTGGGCATTCAACGAAGATGAAGAACCAATAATTTGCGGTAACGCAACTGGCGCCAGGTTAGCCAAACTTGGTTTGTTATTACGCGCGACTACCCTAAGTGATATCTCACTTTTAATACGAGGAATCTTACTTTCTAGGCACTGCAACGAAAGTTACATTTGTCTTTGTGTTGGCCCAAATCCAAATCATGGATATACAAATTTCGACAATTTTCTTTGGTCAATGCTTACCACGTTTCAATTGATTACTTTGGATTATTGGGAAGACGTCTACAATAAGGTGACTTGTCAACTTATTTCTTTTTACATGAATGATTATTTTCATTTATAAATTATAACTTTGCTTTATAGGTATTGTCGGCGTGCGGACCTATCAGCGTCTCGTTCTTCACGGTGGTTGTGTTTTTTGGCTCATTCTATTTGATTAATTTAATGCTCGCTGTAGTTGCGCTAAGCTACGAGGAGGAAGCTGAAATTACAAACGAGGTATATGATTATATCGCTTTGATTATTTACGTGTAACTGTTACTCTTCATCCTTGTCTATCATTTTTGTCTTGATACGTAACAGGAACGAAGGAAAGACTTAACCGACCATCGCGAGGACTCGACGTTTAGTTTCGACCCGACAAAAATCAATGTCAAGACGCTTGCCAAAGAAAAACAAAAGAAATTAGATGCGAGAAAAGGCGTTCTTCTAAGTAGTTACACGCGTAAGAAAACACGAAGAAGAAGACGTGGAAGAAGCACTGCCGGCTCTGGTTCATCTGGTCAAGATAAAGGTGGCTCTGTGCCAAGCAGGTATTTTCCTTCTGTCGTGGAATAACAATTCATTTGCTGCACAAATGGCAAAGTAACTGTATTTCCAAGAGACATCAGTAGTCTATTAGTATGAAATAGACTTCTTTTATTATAATACTACTTATACAATACATACATTATATTTTGCCTATACTGTCGTTAGTAATACAACCGCTTTTGCTATAGTAATCGTTGACATTCACCGTCAATTGTCCAATTGCTTACGATAGTAAACAAAAGTATACGTCTATCCATATGTAGGATCAGATTTTGGGTAAACTGACCCAAGATAGTATCGTTGGCTTCTTAATAGAATAAAATAAGCTTATAAATAGAATGACGGCTATGAAACAAGTGAGATCCGCTATGGGTACGCTCTTCTGATCTTTCTTACAATTAGACTGACTTGGACTTCTTACATACTTTCTGACTGACACACTGGCACACTCTGCCTCGCCTGCGCCCTTGCACCCTTATTTAAACCATTCATTCTGTCCTTTTTTCACACTCAGGCTTTCCTTCCTAATCATACCTCTTTCCCCGCAATCATCCTCGGTGGACCAGGTACTTCAAACACATGCCGCACTCATAAACTGACTTCCAATCATCTATCGCACTTGGCTGTCATACACATCCACTCGATCTTTTCGCGCGTGGTCACCTTTGTTCTAAGTTCAAACACTCCCGACATTCTTTCAAGGCCCATATTCATCCCAATCCTACACATATCTGGAAAACTAATAAATATCCGAAACTAAAAATTTACATTTTGGGTCCATCCGTTCTTCCATCTGATATGATAGATTTGTACACCTGATATGAATATGATAGAGCATTGTTGCTTTTTAGTAGGTTATCCGGAAAAATTACAGACATCTTTTTTGCAAAAAATCATTTTTTTAAAATAATTTTTCTTGTAATTTTCTAACCGATTAGGTCCGTGACACCAAGCCCGAGTCCAAGTCCAAGACACTCGAACGTTCGACCGTCTCATTTAGTTCTACAAAATGTCAGTCCGCGAACGGCGGAAAACAATGCGATTCATAGACTAGCGCCAAATCGTGGAATGCTTCATTCTCGACAAGCAAGTAACAACAGTAATCAACAATCGTCGTTGGATGATTCGGGTGTTGTTGACGATCACGATGGAGACGATGTCACATCCGTAGAGGAACATGATAGACGCGATAACAAAGAATCTAATGTCAATTGGCAAGAGAGAACACCTACTAATAATAATACCGATATCACTGTTGAAACCAACGTGGCTGAAACGAGAAATGAAGTGAACAATGAGACAGAAGGCGACAATGAAAGAGAAAAGACACAGGCAACTCATTCCGGTGGATATCTTCAAACGCCAACAAATGTTCCAGTTTCTATTGCTAGCGGAACTACTCGAGAAATTCGAGTATTTAAATGCAATGGCGTGAAAACAAAGAAACAAATGTATACCTTACCGCCGGAATATTTATCGCATATCGTTATTTTAGGTAAAACAACGAATTTTATTCATCGTTTTATATACATTCGAACGATTTGAAATAGAAATTTATAACGATCCGTTTCTTGTGCATTCCAGATGATCTTCCGGATAGGAACTGTGAAAAATGCATCCAATGCTGTATAGATTACGAGGGTTGGCTACGATTTCAAAATTGTTTATATAAGGTAGGTATGTCGAAAGGTAAAAGTAGCGCCGAGAGTGGAGCGTCTTCGGAAATGAACGTAGGTATTTCTATCTGATATAATGAGTTCGATATTCGTTATATTGCTTTGCATGAATACTAACGGATAACGAACGAGTTATTAGCAACATACGTAGGATAAATAAAGCTAAGAATAGCAAATGAGAAAAAAAGGAAACGCTCAACTCTCGATTCACCAGTGGCTCGTATCTAGGTAGTGAGAGATCCATTATTCGAGTTGACGATCACACTGTGCATCGTCCTGAATACCGGCTTTCTGGCAATGGAGCATCACGGAATGAGCGAGTCGATTCGACAGGCGCTCAACATCGGTAATAAAGTGTTTACCAGTATCTTCACCTTCGAATGCTTGCTGAAGCTGTTGGCGCTGAGTAAAGATTTCTTCGCCAACGGATGGAACAATTTCGATTTGATAATAGTATCAGCGTCTCTGATAGATCTTACCTTCGAGCTGGTAGACGGTCTTTCCGTGATACGCGGGCTGAGACTTCTACGAGTGTTAAAACTGGCACAATCATGGACGACGATGAAGGTTCTTCTCAGCATTATTATTTCGACCATCGGCGCCCTTGGAAATCTCACCTTAGTATTGGTGATCGTGATTTATATATTTGCCGTGATCGGCATGCAATTATTCAGTAAAGACTACACTTTGGACAAGTTTTATCCAGATCCAGTACCAAGGTGGAACTTTAACGATTTCTTTCATTCGTTTATGATGATATTTCGTATACTTTGTGGAGAATGGATTGAACCCTTATGGGATTGCATGAGAGCAGAACACGAAGACGGGCCTGGAGCTTGCCTCGCCATATTTTTACCAGCTCTCGTAATGGGTAATTTTATGGTGTTGAATTTGTTTCTTGCTTTACTGCTCAACAGCTTTAATTCGGAAGAGTTAAAGCAGAAAAAGGAAGAAGTCGGAGAAGAGTCAAAACTCGCAAGGTCGTTTGATCGTATTCGTTCGATAATACGGAAAAATAAATGCTCACGGCTAGCTCAAGCTGCCGGTAAAGCAAAAGGGAAAGATCCCCGTTTCGAGAAAATTGTACGGCGAGTAATAGATCGTTCTGACAACGAGACTAAATACGCTATTCAAGAGACTGTGCTCAGCCTTCCAAAAGATAACGTTTACAATAGATCATACCAAGAAAGTTTAAATCAACCTGTTTTTACTTACGATCCGGTTTACTCTCAATCTCAAACGGAAGAACAAAGGTATGAACAATGGGAAAAAGAACAAGAAAAAGACGAATCACCGTACGACGAAAGCAATTATTTAAATAAAAAGGGAGAAGTGGAATCAAACGAAAGTAAGGAGCTGGAATGTCAAGATCTCGAGGTAGCGAAAGAATCTTCGCCCTTGAGTAAAACAGCCGCGGAAGAAAGGGTCGCGATGTTGCCTCAGAAAGATCCTTTTCTCAAACCCGAGGATCGAATACCAAAGCGACCTTGGCACGCGCTTGTCAGCTATGTCGATGAATTGACTGTTGGTGGTAGAAGAAATAGTAAAGGGAAATATATCGACGGAATGGGTTCTTTTCCCGGATTTGGAAGAAGTAATCGGCGCAAAGAACCACAAGATTGTTTTCCACGACAGTGTTACCATAAGTAAGAACATACTACTGCACTTCGAATTTCTCTTCTGCCAGTGAATGAGTTTGATACCAATACGTTGTATGTGCAGGTGTACCTGCATTGATCGGTGTATTGCAACAGCTATTGGCAAAAAGTGGATCAAACTGCGAACAATAATTCTCTCGGTGGTTGATACGCCTGGCTTCGAATGGATGATCCTAGTTTTAATTTTTGCATCTTCCATAACGCTTTGTTTTGAAGATATTTACCTAGATGATAATCCTTTTTTGAAGAAAATCCTCTATTGGACCAATCTTGGCTTTTGTGCGCTTTTCAGTATTGAGATGTTACTCAAGTGGTTAGCTCTGGGTTTCTGCAAATATTTCACCAGTTTTTGGACAATCTTGGATTTTATAATTGTCTTTGTAAGTAGAGCTATAAATTCAAGAGCAGCATCGATTTCGGTCATATATGTGTTTGCGTGTATGTGCAAGCAAAGGCACATACGTGTGCGCGAGCGCATGTGATATAAATCTTCCGTCCATCGTTGCTGCATGGATTTTTCGTTCTCGCCGATCGTAACTACCGTGTTACGATTTTGCTATTTGTCTCACTGTCTTCTTCATTTTTATGCGTTTCTTTATGAATTTTTTATATATGTCGCCTTGTGTGGATTCAGGTACGTGCAGAATTAATACGTTGCTTATATTGTATCTGATTATGGCTGAACCAATTTTCTAACGCTTTACGTCTTACTTTATCCCTCCAAAATCTTAGCAAACTTGTTTCATTTCTTTTATCTTTGCCCGATTCTATCACCATCTTTCGTATTCATGGCTAGCTGATAGCATGATTAGTTATTCTAGCAATTATCGATATTCATGTTTTATAATTATCTGTGATACCATAGCGATAAATAAGAAACTTTAATATCTTTATTCATATGATACACGATAAAGGAATTTGTGCCAAAATCACGTATCGATATCGTAAAATCACGTAAATTATCGTTAACCTTTTAATCTTTTTATTTTAACTTTGCATATTTGTAAATCCATATACACTTGACCTGTGGTTTAAGGAGTTCTGACATTAATGTATTTATTGGACTCGATGGAAAAGAGATAAACTGTCATATCCAGTAAAAACAAAATATTCTTCCTTCATGTCTTTCTAAATTTTACGTGCCCGATATAATTATCTTTCAAACTTTAACAAATAATATTTCGGATGAATGTTATAGAATATCAAGAGGGATATATAGTGATGATATTTATATTACCTTGCAACGATATTGATAAGACCTGCGGAGATTTGTGCAGTATTCATTTTTTATTACATATTCTTATAATTAATATCCAATTGTTTTCAAAACATTACTTGTGCTTTTTGCACAAACCAGTATGGAGACATAAAGTTTTAAATATATGTATATCGATATTATATTAATATATGTTGATATCAGTATACATATATGATGTTTGATACAAAAAAGACTGGTACAATCGAGACGCTGTGTCGAAAAGAAAAAGACAAAGAGGAAGAATAGTTTCTTCGTTCGATATTTTGTTCTTGTGGGAATTGAGATTGAAAATTCGTAGAACCACCAGACATTCTATACCTATATCTGTAGTTATAAGGAAAAATGACACATGTCATATATTTTCATTCTCAACATATTGCCGTTTCAATTTCTCAACGTGAATTCTTCTCTTTAGCAACTGGTCGAATTGCATGATTATTTTTGAACATCCAAAATTTGATTTGTCAATCAATGACGAAACTAGAATTGTTTTAAATTATGTTATACAGTGTTTTTCTTGCAATCACAAATATATTAATATACAAGGAGCTCGCGGTAATCTGAATCAGCATTTTTCTCATAAATGGTATTTGAAAAAGATGAACCAATATGATAGCATACTTCAATTTTTTATATTTGCGATAATTTTCGAAAAATGAAGATGATCTTTGCTGTTTTAAATGGAATGTTATATATTTTTTATATCATATCAAAAATGGATTAAGGCGAATTTGTCCATATAGAATATAGTGGTTTCCAAGGTAATATAAGATCAGAAGCAAAAGAAATAAATTAACATTTAGTGATATTCTATACGTTTTTATACATTTAAAAAAAGAAGTAGAATTCCATTTAAAAAACAATTAGTTTTATAGGTCACCTATAATTGGAGTACGCTACCATATTGTTACCTTGTTGTTTGCGAAAAAAAGCTGGTCCAAATCAACTGCAGCGAACACCTTGTATATCGGTATATCCTTAACATTAACGTTACCAAATGCACACCATTAATACAGTCCCGGTCAAAAAGATATCACATGTATGTTACTTTAAATTTTGAAGTAACATATATACAATTTTGCCATCTTAACGAATGATATTGTAATCTTACGATCCTAGAATAAGAAAATCTTTGGAAAAACAACAAATTATCGCTCTCTTTCGTCACTAGCAGAAAAAATAGTTAAAATATCCCGGACAAAATAATAGCACAAGTACGACAAGCTTTGATTCTTGTGAATAAAAAATAGTACCTTAGAGATTTTTGATTGCTGTATCCGAATCTGGCAAGAAATGAGCTGTCATATCGATGTATATATCATGTGTAAGATATTTCAAGATAAAAAAGAAAAAGTCTGGATTTTCGTTATATTTGCAAAGAGATATCAAGAAGAGTAATTTTGCTCAGTATCTTTGTTTTATATATTACACAGTACCATATTTCACCTACAAAATCAAATTTGTTTTGTCATTATAAGATCTCTTGTTACTGAGATATCTCATTTTGAAATTAATTTATTTAGTTTATTTATTAATCTTCACAATATCCCTTCGCAAATATAACGAAAATTGGATCTTTTCGCTTTTATCTTCAAATATTTTTTTGACGCCAGATGTTATAGGCCATTCTTTTCTAGCAGATTTGGATTCAACATTTAAAAATCTATAACAAATCGATAAGATACTATTTCTCATCCATAAAAATTAAAGCTCATTTAACTACTTTGTATATCTGCCCTATAATTTTGTCCACATTACTTTAACTCCGCTAGACATACGACAAAAAAAAGAAATGATTGTTACCCTTCGAAAAATTTCCTTATCTTAAGATCGTAATAATATGATATTATTTGTTAAAATTGAAAAATTAGAAGTGGTACATATGTACTATCCTTTTGACCGGGACTGTATATTAAGGCAGCTCTAGAAAGGGTGATGGTATATCAACTTTGAAATGTCATTTCTCGATGGAGTGGTTTTCGTATAAAAATATAGCTATTTCGAAAGCTATTCGATATTAGCTATAAGAATTTGCGATAAAAAATGTTTCCTCTTAGAAATTTAAATATAATATTCTAAGCTATTATTTAGACTTTTTAAATATTTGCACATTTCCAAACAAAAAGGACACGCTATGTATGTACTGATTATAAATATGCAAGTACTCATAGTGATAAAAACAAAACTACAATCTGAACAGTTTATGTAAAAAAATGTTGGCATATAATTTTATATAAGGTACTCGATCCTAATCGATAAATACTGATTACACGTAAACTACTCGCCGTAAAAAATAATTATTTTGATAAGAATCGTATGGTTTCGTGTAAATCGTGTCATGTATTTTTCTAAGTAAAATTATATGTCTTTTAATATATTAATCAATGCAAATTAGTACATATATCGAAAAATTGTTAGTTCAGAAGATACTTTAATTTGAATATGACTATACCATTACTAATTAATGTGGTAAGAGAGTGATGATTTCTTAACATTATTCAAATTAAAATGTCTTCGAAATTAATCATGTTTTGATATACATGACTTAATACATTTTTGTAAAAAATTCCAGGTTGCATTAATTAGTACATTGAAAGACATATTAATATTACATATAACGTATTAATTTTTATTTGGCTCTATCCAGCTACAAAATTTTAGTTCGAAACCATGCGATTCTTATTTAAAGTGTCTTTTTATACAACCGATGGTTTATAAAAAGTCAGCTTTTATCCATTGAAACTGATAACCTTATACATATCATATAATTTTATTGGTTTTGAAACTCTAAAATATTTATATTGTTTGTATTTGTATATTACCGTTGCTGGTAATCATCTAAATTGAATAATATATGAACAATATACTAATCCTTGCTTATTTTTAATCAGTTAATGTCTTACGTAACATTTAGTATTTTTCCTCTAATAAACGTGCAATTATTATTTAGAAAAATATTCGTACGTTTGTACTCTAAGCTTGTAACAAATTAAATATAAATTAGATGAAATACAAGTCGGAAACATGTGAATAAAATTATGAAAAAATTTAATAAAACAAATATGGAACATATATAGAAAAATCGTCAAAAATATATTGAAACTGATGATAAATTTTGTATTCTCTTGACGTTACAGGTATGTTCACATTCAGTGACTACTATATTTGTCGTCAGAATTTTTTATAATTTTCCCTAAACAGTTTCAACACTCGTAATGTATATTAGCTGCAGTATAACTTTTTTAAGTCTGAGCCCAATGTTTTTATTTCATTTATCGAAAGTCTAGATCTAACATAGTCTACAAACATTCAAATACCTTTACGAGCAACTATATAAGATGTCCAAAAAGGTGTGGACCAAACTTGGACTACGTGTTACTGAGGTCAAATAGATGAAACAAATTCATAGAAACATATGTTCGAAAATGCTTTATTAAAAAAATATAATCCTTTAAAGATATTTATGGTTTCTGGTAATACTTATAAGAAATGTTCAAAAATTCGAAAGGAAGAAAAGAAAGAAAACCTCACCCCACAAAAAAAAAAATTCATTATTATGTCTGTAAATCTTTGAACGCTTATATCTTTTTACTTAATTTTTTTATTATGTGTAATTACTTTAATTATTTTACTTTTTTACTTTAATTAATTACTTTATTATATCTTTTTACCAAGTATGTGCTTTTTTCACATACTTAGAAGAAAAAGATGATTATAGCTGGGGACATGTGTCGCAACTGTATCTTTCCTCTCAACTGTAGTAGAAATAACATTATCGATATGTATACTAATATGGATCTATAAATATGCAGAGCTACAAAAGATCAGTTGGAAATAATTTTATGTAACTTTTGGATTGATTTTTTTATTTTATGTGGTAAAGTTGAGGAAATGGTTTATCGTCAGCCTTGGAAACGATATATTTGAATGGAATATTTAATAAGAATTACGCGATTCCTATTCACTCATACAATTTTTTTACAAAATTTCACGTATGTTGCTTTGCATAGCATTTTATGGCACCGTTGTCATTGTTGAGTATTGAAATAAAGTAGCAAGTTTTATTCATTTACTCTCTTCTTCGCCTCCGTAATTTGAATATTACGCAAAATATGGAAAGATTTAAACATCTATGTACGTATAAATATGCAATTATTTGCCTTCTGAATCTTTATTCTTTTCGTTTCAATTAAATGCTGATTTTGCAAATAAATTCGCGATAGTTCTATTGTTGCGTTAAACACACGAACAGCATGTCACTCTTTTTGTACGAAGAAAAATATAAATGTGTTTCTTCAACGATCGTAATGTAATTTTTCTTGAACAGGTATCAACATTTAGTTTGTTGATAGAAGAGAACGAAAACTTGAAAGTGCTAAGATCGTTAAGAACTTTGCGAGCACTGAGACCACTAAGAGCGATATCGAGATGGCAAGGCATGAGGGTAAGGGATTGGCGTAGACTATGCTAGTAGATCGCCGGTAGATAACTTGAAAGCTTGAGAGTTAGAAGTATCGGCTGTTTCTTTTTTTGTCCTTGCTAGATCGTAGTGAACGCGTTGATGTATGCGATACCTAGTATATTCAACGTGCTCCTCGTCTGTCTCGTGTTCTGGCTGATATTTTCTATTATGGGTGTACAATTTTTTGGCGGCAAGTTTTTCAAATGCATTGACGAGTATGGCGAATTATTAGATATATCGGTAAGTAGAATTTTTCCCTTTTTCTTTCTCTGCTTTGGCGACGTGAAAGCGGAGATCTTTCCAAACTCCGAAAAATAAACAAGGAAAATTCGAATCGATGAACGTGAATTCTTAGATCGTGGACACGAAAGACGATTGTCTGAGGAAAAATTACTCTTGGGAAAACAGTAAAATTACGTTCGATCACGTGGGAATAGCTTACCTAGCTCTATTTCAAGTAGCTACTTTCGAAGGGTGGATGGAGGTAATGCAGGATGCAATAGACGCAAGAGGTGTAGATCTTCAACCTCAAAGAGAAGCAAACATCTACGCATATTTCTACTTTGTGATATTTATTGTTTGCGGCTCTTTTTTTACACTCAATCTCTTTATCGGAGTAATTATAGACAACTTTAACATGTTGAAGAAAAAGGTAAGAAACATAAAGAATCGATGAGGAAGAGATTATTAAGATGTAACATTTTTATATATTTCATCGAACGCTGAAGCATTTTTTTCCTTCCCCCTTCTTATCCCGTTTATCCCTATTTTCAGTACGAAGGTGGAGTGCTAGAAATGTTTTTGACCGAAAGTCAAAAACACTACTACACTGCCATGAAAAAACTCGGCCGTAAAAAGCCACAAAAAGTGATAAAGCGTCCGATGAATCAAATCCTCGCAATGTTTTACGACCTATCGAATTCACGCAGGTAATATACTTAAGTTTTACTCGTTTATTTACATACCTTATTCTCTTATCTACCCTTTAAACATTTTTCTTTTTTTTTCCTTTCTTTTTTCCAAGAAATGTAACTATTCTTTTTATCGATTTCATTTTATAAACGACTACGATGTTTCCAGATTCGAAATAGCAATTTTCATTTTGATATTCCTCAACATGCTGACAATGGGAATCGAGCATTATGATCAACCTCATCCAATTTTTTTCGTCCTCGAAGTATCCAATGCATTTTTCACAACCGTTTTCGGTTTAGAAGCAATTGTGAAAATAATAGGACTTCGATATCATTATTTCACGGTGCCATGGAACTTGTTCGATTTCCTCCTTGTGCTGGCTTCGATATTGGGAATATTAATGGAGGATATTATGGTAGACTTTCCGGTGTCCCCGACGCTCCTGCGAGTCGTGAGAGTGTTCAGAATCGGTAGAATCTTAAGACTCATAAAAGCAGCAAAAGGTATACGCAAACTGCTCTTCGCTCTGGTGGTTAGTCTTCCGGCGCTGTTTAACATTGGTGCCCTGTTAGCTCTAATTACTTTTATTTATGCCATTATTGGCATGTCAGTCTTTGGTCACGTTAAAAAACAAGGCGCACTTGATGACATGGTGAGTAAAGATTATTCGAATATTGTTACTTTTATGAATCTCTATTTTTCCAACTATATGTTACCCAAACACGACTTGCTAATTGTAATCCTCCTGTTCTTTTCTGTGCTCTTTTTCTTTTTTTCCTCTTTTTTTTCTTCCTTTTCTCTAGGTAAATTTCGAAACTTTTGGTAGAAGCATGCAATTACTGTTTCGATTAATGACATCAGCCGGTTGGAACGACGTGTTAGAATCTTTGATGGTGCAACCACCGGATTGCGATCCGACTCCAACTAGTCGGCAGATGAATGGAAATTGCGGATATCCTCTCTTGGCAATAACCTATTTTACTTCTTTCATCATAATCAGCTATATGATCGTTATCAATATGTACATTGCTATTATTCTCGAGAACTTTAATCAGGCTCATCAAGAAGAAGAAATCGGCATTGTTGAAGATGATCTAGAAATGTTTTACATACGATGGTCCAAGTAAGAATTGCTTTAGTATCATTTTACACATTATACACTCCTCTCTCTCTCTCTCTCTCTCTCTCTCTCTCTCTCTGCCCCCTCCCCCTCCCCCCCTCTCTCTCTCTCTTTCTTTCTGTGTGGTTATACCGTCAATAAAAATTCGACGTTAAAAAGTATAATTACGTAATTGATTCGTAGGTACGATCCGCATGCGACACAGTTCATAAATTTTTCGCAATTAAGCGATTTCATAGCAAGCCTGGATCCACCATTAGGAATTTCAAAGCCTAATATGGTTGCGTTAGTTAGTTTCAATCTCCCCATCGCGAAGGGAAATAAAATTCATTGTCTGGACATTCTACACGCACTTGTCAAGCACGTTCTTGGACACGTCGAAGAATCTGAAGATTTTCGAAAGCTACAGGAGCAAATGGATATAAAGTTTAAGAAACAATTTCCAACTCGTAAAGAACTTGAAATTGTTTCTTCAACGAGAATGTGGAAACGTCAGGACAAAGCGGCTAGGTTGATTCAACGTACTATCAGAGACTATATAACGTGAGTAATTGCCTCACTTTGTGTAACATATAACGCAAGTTGATTTTTAATAGGAAGCACTATAATAAGAATTGCATCGTGTTCAGGGCAAGAAAGGAACGTGAAAGAATGGCTCAAGAAGTGGATTCACAGACTCAAACGTCGAGTCCTGGTGCTGGGAATGAGGGTAGGGGCGGGGGTGGATGGAGTGGCAAAGTATCGGCTTTTCTACATGTACATAGAGGCAGCCGAGCCAGTAGTCGCAAGTCCTCGAGGGCCAGCGACGCCAGCGATTTCAGCGAACTCGGTACAGCTTCGGCATGGCTTTTTCCAAACTTACCTCTGCTGTTGCTCTCCGGCGCCACCGGTACTCACGAGGACCTGCCTCCTCCCGCTCTGACCGTATCCCGTCCCTCGCCGACTACGGAACAGCAATCGTTTACTGGTTCCTCTGTTGCTGCTGCTACTTCCTGTGATCTACACACTAGGTTTGCCTTCCTTCTTTTAGTTCATCTTCGTTCGTTTAACTTATTCGACTTTTCTATGAAAGAGAAATTGCAAAGATAGAAAAATACTAAAACAAAATTACAATGTATGACAACTTACTGCAGATCAATCGCGGGTCCGACTCTCGGTCGACAAAACGCCTTTGAAAGTTATCCCGACGAGGAAGTCCTTAGTCTTCCCACGAAGCGCAGGTCACTTCCGCCAAGCGCTACAACACTCTCTTTGAATACCTTACATCGTGACATCAAAGAAGCGTTTAGCAGACGTTGCGGTAGCCTTCGAAAAAAACATCAACCAGCTCCTGAACCAGCTCCGCTGCCAATCGAATCTACCGATGTAAGCATACTTGTTACGGAACCCAGTCCAGAAAATTCAGCACCGCCTTCAAGACCGGCACTACTTAGACGACAATCCGCCGCCACAGTCGTTCATGTCCTCGTTCACAGAGAGAGCGAAGAATATCGAGATACACAACCTGACAATGCCAGTTGATCTTAAATCGTTATACTCGACATTTTTCTGAAATCAGTTTAATCAGGAGGTTAGGTTGAAATCTATTGAAATTTGCTTGTTATCGCGTTACGGTAACCTCAAGATTCGAATCTCATCCGATTCCCTCTCCTCTCCCCCTTTCTTTGACGCTGTTGCCTTATCATCATCATCTAATGTTCTTAATATTTCATTATAATATATTTCAAGAGTTTCAATTAAATTATTTCTTAACAATTCAAATAGTAGTGTAACTTTATAAAACTATTTATTCCTACATTTAAATTTTATGTGAATGGTCAGCTTTTCTTTTATAATAGTAATAACAACAGTAGCCTACTTTTAGTAATCGATTTATCGCAACGAGCTTAAATCTTTTTCTTATGCGATACAAACACTGATAGACATGAAAGACATAGTTCAAGTAATTTAATTGACTTGATATTAGTTAAAACTCGCATTCTTCTATCATGATTAAGGGTGATTGGACCAATTTAGTGAAATATGTATTCCGATCCCTTCTTCAGATTAAATCATTGATACGATTTACACGTTATAAAGAAGAATGAATAATAATTACATGAATATGAGAATAATACTGCCTTAAATAGCATAGATTTTTAATTTATAATTATTTTGAAGAAAGATATAAAAAGGACAAAAAAGAGGGGGAAAGAGAAGATGGAAGAAGGAAAATAATATAGAGATTTTTAAAAAAGGATTATACGGTAGACGGATAGATGTTTTACTTTATACTTTTAAAGAAACGTAGATTACTAATACCGCTAATGATTTTATATAATACCGAATATCATAACCACAAACATAAACGTACGTGATCTTTGTTTCATTCAAAATTCTTTACAAAATTACGATATTCCCAATAAGTAATAAGGTTACATGCTTACCTATTTATTATCTCATATTTATGTGCAATTACTGATATTCATCCCGTATTTGTTAGAAGGAAAGGCTTTCTCTTCTGGACACATTTTACAATATTGCAGTAATGCATAATATCTTGGGTAAATTAATGATCGACATTTAGCTTTCCGTTTGTCTATTAACATATATATATTACTAACGTTGTCTTTTCAATTACATTGAACAAAAATATAACAATCATATCTTTTTTCTTTGTGTTCTAGTCATCGAGTACAAATAGAAATTGTAATTAAACGCTATATAGAAGTTATATAGAAGCTATATAAAAGTTGCAATTAATTAATTAAAATTTAATTGACAAGTACCAATCACAGCATACAGTACAATTTTATAAGTTAGTTTATAACATAATAACATACGGAAAATCTGAAATCGATCATCAATGATCAATTAAGTAATAAATCTACTGAGAACCTGCTAATACAAATATAAACTAAACAATGCCCAGAAAAGGTGGCTCTGTGTCCTCTAACGTTCTTCATAAAATTATTTTGACACAGAAACCCATTGATTTGTTGCATTGTATATATATAATATAATTGCACATATCACGCAGTAGCTATTGTTAAAGAAAAGGAAAAAAACAGAAATTCATGATAAATTTATTTATATTCCACTTCAAAATTAGTATTGGTTATCATGTTGATACAATTGCTCTTCTTTCTATTTCCTAGTATACATATGTAATTAAAGAATAAATCAAATGAAATCAATAGCTACATATAGTATGCCGAATATAAAAAAAGCAATATTATATATTTCTTTGTTTCTTTGATCTTTATTTCATTAGATTTATCATAAATTTAGAAGAAATTATGTAACCCTAGTAGCACCCACTCATCTTCGAAGATTGATCTTAAATTTGATAATTAAGAATGTAAACAAGTAAGGAAAACATTTTTACATATTTAAAACGGTCACACAACTTGCTTTTACAATTTTATTGACTTTCTTTTTAAATGTTAAATTTTTAAATGCATTTTTCAATGAATTAATTTGAATTTAAACTAATTCATTTTATTTACAAGATATGATTAGACGGAAAAATATATGAAAATTGTATTCTCCTTTTTTGACTATTTACGATACTTACACATATGTCTACATTTATCTTCGACGATGAGTATTATATATACGTGTATGTGTATATGAGTGTATTATGCATGGTGCGCTCGCGCGCGCGTGTGTGTATGTGCGTGTGCGTGTGTTTGTATGTACACGTAAAATATAAAGTTAGTATGAAAACAATTCTTCAATTTTTTCTTTTTTTTTGTATTGAATTTACATATAAAATCGTTAGAATAAAACATGTATACAACACGAAATTAAAAATTAAGAGATATTTAAGGACAGAAAGGAAGAGAGGTAGAGGAAAAGAGGAAGAGTGAAAAGAAGAAAAGATAGAAAAAGAAAATTCATATGGAGAAAGGAACAACGAATTTTGTAGTAATTAGTTAAATTTTTACTGTAACCTTATTGGATCATCTTCATTTATTTATTTAGTATTTAAATCCCCAAGGTAAAAGAACACAAAACTTATTGATTCCAATAGTAATAGATTTTCACGTTACCGTTTTCAAGTTTCCTTTTCACAAATAAACGTTGCCATTAACACGTCACGACCTCTCGTCGACCTATAGTGCCTATTGTTAGAAAACGATTGCGAATTAATATATATGTATACAAAAATATAAACATGTATATTAGATTTTCATATTACGAACATTCGTATGTAAAAACAGTACGAGTTAAATTTACGTAAATCTCTTGTTAGAACGTACAACGTACGTTACTTTTAGAATATAGCATTCAATGCTTAATGCTTGATAAATCTGTTTTTCGCGCGTTGATTATAAGACATAGTATTAAGGATTACCAAAAAAAGAAAAAAATAAAGCCGATAAATAAATCGAACCAGAAGATAAAGATAAAGATTAAAATTAAATATTTCGAAAATAACTTAATTCCGAAATATGATCTTCGCAAGAAAACACGCATTGTAAAGCTATGTATCATGTCAATTAAAGGCATAAATATACTATAGTAAATTATTCATAATTGGCGTGTTTACGCGCGATACGTCTAGATACTATGTACGTACAATATTATAAATATACCAAAAAATAAGAGACTGGACATACACGCGACTATCCCAGAAGTTAAGGATAGTAAAATTCCAAAAATTGTACAATCACACTCGGATATCTTTCAAGAATCCGAAATTATTTAGATTATAAATTTTCTGCGCATTTTTCTGCGTGTTGCGTGCTGCGTGTGTGCGTGTGAACAAAATTCGATAACACCTGCTCAAACCTACACATATTTAAATATATCATCAGGATGCACTAACATAATTATAAATTATTATTGCAATTGTCAGCTTTTTCTTTCGATGCTAAAACGTGCGATTGATAATACAATTGATCGTTCGTTTCGGCTACTAATTTGACATTTCTCACATTTTTTATAAAAAAGGAAAAACGCATCAAGGCGACAATATTGTTCACACAATATAATGAAATAATATCAAAAATCGAATATTCTACAATTTTTGAATGAAAAGGAAAAAGCGTATTGTTATCGAAAATCTCTTAAGAAATAATGTTAAATGAAAGATACCCATTAGTACAGGGTTAATGACAATCGCGATCTTAAAGAGAAATTGCTTTTTTCTTTTCTTCCACATTTAGCGCAGTTTACTTTAAAAAAATTTCTAAACTATTTCAAAATAATCAATATCCTTTATTCTTAACAGTTCATATTCTATTGTTAATGAATAATAATTTCAATTTATTAAAAAAATTGAAATTCTCACACTGTTAGAAATTCACTGTAGATGAAAACATAAATTACGTGTTCTAATATTTGACAATGATAGAAGTATGAAAGATGTTTAAAGAAGGTGATAGGAGAAGGAAAATGAGGGAGCAAGCAAACAGACAGAGCAGAAAATACTTTACTAGTATTGTAATGACTCATCAGATACCAAAAGATTAATGAAAAAAGAACAGTAAAATGTTCCTTTAGATCAAATTTGTAAATATTATCCTTATTAGTTTGCAAAAGTGACTGTTTTGTTATACAAATTTATAAACAAAGACTCGAGCATTGTTCTTCCATATATATTAGTTTCAGTTTAATTGTTTATAAATTTTTATTTTTTTTGTTTATTTCGTAAATTGATTAATAATACTATAATATGCATTTCAATTTAGTATGCTTTTAAATCATAAGTAACACATTCTTAAATCATATTTTTGTATTTAAATCATGATTCTTCTGTAAACTTTAAACATACATAATACACTCGTACAAATGTACTTTCTCTTTACAATACTAACAATGCTCGATATAGTTTATAAGATAATACGAGCTAACAAATATTGAATTTTAAAATACACAGTCTAATCAAATCTGACATTATAATTCATACCAATAATACTAATAAGCAAGAGGTGACTAATAAGAATGTTAACCATGTACGAATGATATTATATAACTATTGCTAAAAAATAAATTGTGGAATTTATCATTGAAATTTATTCAAATATTGTAATATTACTTTTATGTTAATTTAAAAAAATTTATTTGAAGTTCAAAACTTTACACACAAGAACAATTAAATATATAATATATTCGAACTATGTATACAGTTATATTCATTCTTTTCTAACAAATTTTTATTCTTTATTTAGTTGATACTCTAGTACGCTTGTTCCATGAAAAATTAGTACCATAGCTACGAGGCTTTGGATTATTCACATTTGGTTTCTGAATGTAATACTTCCATCCCATTTTATCACAATATTTAGTAGCTTCTTCCTTGGTAGCAAATGCCACTTGGAGATTTGATAAAGGATCTCCGCTACAAGGGAAAATGTGTTGAATAAAGTCTAATAAATAATGTTTAGGTTATTATTATTATTATTATATATTATACTCACGTTGAAGTCCATCCCATAAGCGGATTCTCCCAGCGTTCACGTGTATCAAAATCTATTTGCCAATAATTTATGTTATTTGTCCCAGATTGCATAGCACTTTTTGCAGGACAATAAATACGAACTGTGCGAGTTTTTAAATGTTCTTCTGGAACTCCTGAACATATACCAACATTTTCATTATCTGAAACAATAAGTACAGTTTCCTTCCTAGCTTCTTCAGCCAACGCTTTTTCTTTTATCACATTAAATTTGATTCGTTTGTTTAACACTAATGCACTTGCTTGTTTGCTTTCTTTGCCAGTACTCGCAAAAAATCTTCTTGATAATCTATAAATCAAATAAAAACGTAAATTGTTTTATTTTTTTTACATACTTTATCATTTACTTTTTTAAGTCTTTATAGCATTTTTCACATTATGTATATTAATTGATTATATGTAATTGTAACATATTACATATTATTTTCAAAAATTTTTTCATTTCTTAGAAAAAAGAAAATAAAATTAAAAACAAGAAAGGCAACCAACCCACATCTCGTAGAATTACTACTTAAATATAACAATGATAACACGCGAAATGCCATTTTGTATATAAATGTTAAAATGGTATCTACAATATCGTTACATCAATTTTGCTAACTAAATAAGGCTTGAGAAAGATTTTGCGCATGTGTCAACACATATACAAAAAAATAGTATGCAATTAACATATACGATATTTGTTCAATAAATATATACGCATTTACAAAAATACGTTGTACTAAAACAATATTATAGAAAATACTATATATATATTAACGTTAAATTTAATATTAAAATGATTGTTTTTATAAAATGTGTGAATATACTGAGTTCATTTGATTCAACATTTCTATATCGGAGATGCGCAAATGTGATGTGCATAAAACTATGGATGTGCACTGAAATTATGTGTTAAAGATATTTAATGTTGGTAATTGATAATTGATATGCCGCCATTTCAATTAATATTTATATATCAATTAAAATTTTTTGTACCTTCATATATACGTAATCAATAATTATAATTATGTCGTAATGTTATCTATGCTTCAGTGGATATCGCATACATACAAATCATCACAAATATTAAATGTTTATGTTAAACTTAATTTTCTTTTATTTTACTTTAGATGTATACAAAATACCATCACGTATGCATATGTAACAGTGGTGTGTAGCATAATATTTAAAGTTTACTAACATACATATAAAATGAAAAATTGTCACTATTAGATATGTATGTACAATGATATGTTGATAAAAATATTTGCACGATATAATTCTTGTGAAGCAAATGCTTATATTTAAACAGTTTAATTGAGAAATAAATTTTCCAAAATATTTATATTTTATATACTTTAGTTTATTATATAGCGGGGAATAATAATATAAATAGAATAATACATGAAATAATAACAGAAATATGTTTCTTAAGCATTTCACAAATAGTTTATGTTCATATAACCTGACATTTCATATAGAAATATCCTTGCTATATATATTTGTGTTAGTGCAAATTCTCTCCGTGTTACTGAATTCTTCCATGCTTACGAAATATGTGATATCGAAGATTTCATACAAAGTATAGTGCGATACGCAAGCCTCACGTTTCTCTTGTACACAATATAATATTTCGCGTATGGATGTATTATTGTTACATATACCTTATTATTATTTTACACATTTTATCGTATAATATTCACATGATTGAAGGTTATTTATGTTGATAATTGAGTAAATTTTATTTATCGAATTAATGAAATTTAAATTAAATAAATTTCGATAAGTTTTTTATTCATTAAATATATTTTCTAAACAAAGTAATAATTTTTTATTGAAATGCCTATTGATCAAAAGCGAATTAATGGTCCAGACATATCTGTACCATATCATATTTACTCTAATATTGATAAAAAAAATGACGCAGTAAAATATGATTTTAATAAAAGAAATGATAAACGAGCCAGTAATGAAATGAGAAAAATATGTAAGAATATAAATTACGAGTTATGCTATGCCATCAACAAGTATAATTAAACATTATGAAAATAATTATTTATACTTTATTTTTATAGTTTTAAAAGCAGGTATTGTTAGCCAGGCGAAAGGTTCTGCATATATAGAAATGGGTGATACAAAAGTAGTTTGTTCTGTGTTTGATCCTAGAGAATTACCAAATAAGAACGGCTACTGTATACAAGGAGAAATTTATTGCGAATTTAAATTTGCCTCTTTTTCTTGTCAAAAACGAAAAATTCATCAGCAAGATGCAGAGGAAAAACAATATAGCTTAATTTTACAAAGAGCATTAAAACCAGCCGTATGTTTGGTAAATATATGTATATATATTATTATATACTCAATGTACAATCAATCCTAATTTGATTAAATTTTCACGAATTTAACATTTTATTTAATATGAAAAATATAAATGAAAAAAATGTAAAATATTCTATTATTCATATAAAATTTTATAAATTTATATTATTTATCTTAACACTGAGTTGTGCAATACGTATAATGATACACATATCATAATATATATAATAATGTTACTAAAATCAATATAAATCATAATTTAATAAATTTTTCTTTAATTAAATTGTTTACTAAATACTCATGTTAAAAATAAAAACACCAATTTGATTTTTCAAAATAAAATATAAATATGCAAAACATAAGATTGAAGTATAAATTATTTGTTATTTTCAGCATGAATTTCCTAATTTTCAAGTAGATGTATATGCAATGGTCTTGGATAATGCTGGATCTTCATTGGCAGCTGCAATTATAGCTGCTAGTACTGCTTTAGCTAATGCAGGTGTTCCTATGTTTGGTTTAGTTACTGCTTCCACTATAGTGAGTGATGTTTAAAAAAGTAGGATTATAAATATCTTGTTCCATTATCTAATTTTTTCCCTATTAATTTTAATAAAAATATAGGGTGTATATGGTGACCATTACTTAATGGATCCTACGGATACAGAAGAGGCTGTATGTAATACCTGTCCAGATAACCACAATGTCCTTAACCATGGAATAATTACATTAGCTAGTCTTTCACAACATAATCAAGTATCTGAAATATTTCTAACTGGAAGTGTTGATGTAAACTCTATTGTACAAGCAACAGAAATTTTAATGTCAGCTAACAAAGATATTTGTCCGGTAGTTCAACAATGTTTAGTGAAAACTATTATGAAACTACATAACTCAACTAATTAATACAATATTTAATAAAGAAATAAGTTCTTATTCTGATTTTATATATATATATTTATGATGAAAGAATTGAAAAATATTAATATTTATATATTGTTTATCCTGCATTTAATGACTAATTCATATTACAATGTATCAAAATGCCATCTAATTTTTTACAAAATTACAAGCACTTTTTAATAATTATACAAACATAAGAATCATTATTCTTATTCTTTTTCCTTTACACTATTATTTGCATATAGGATGTCAACTACTTCTATTCAATTGGAAGGATACAGAATATGCTTAACGCATTAAGTAAGATTAAATTTGTTCTAAACTAATAATATATACATTATATAAATATATAAATTAAGAATTAAATTCTAGAGTAACGACTACCTCTCGATCAAGGCACGACATTATCGAGAAGATATATTGGTTTTTAAGTAATATCTTTTAGCTTATTCCACGAGGATAAATTTTGAAGACCCTGCTTTTAAAAATTGTATAATAAAATCTTGATTAAATTAAATGTATCATTTTTTTTTAAATAATTCTAACAAAAATATTCTTTAATTAATTCAGTTTATATTAAATTTAGCTATATGTTTTAAAAGTACATAAAAAAAATTATTTTAGTAATCTTTAAGACAAAAACCAAGACTATCTTACCTTAGTTTTGTCCATATAATGCATAATTTTAATATTTAATGAAAAATAAATTCATTGTTTTTTAAAGCTCTTCAAAATGGGATAGATATTATCAAATGCTTCATAAATCTCCTGTCTAACTTTTGCTCCTACTCAAATAATAATAATAATTCATACAATGAATTGTAAATATATATATATAGAAACTAAATAATATATATAAAATAATTACTAACCTGTTAAGACTACTTTTCCTGAAACAAATATGAGCAAAACAATTCTGGGCTTAACCATACGATATATTAATCCAGGGAAGAGTTCTGGCTCATATGAGGAGAATTGTCCATGTGTAAGTACTAAACCTTCTAATCTAATTGGAAATTTCACATCACAGCTGCCTACCATATTTTGTATTTTGAAGTCAAGAAATTTTGCCTTTACCCAAAATAAATCAAATTGATAATAATCAATTAAAAATAAATGATAATTTTCTAAATTTTTACTAACAGGAAAACCAAGCTTCTGAATAATTCTGGCATACTTTCTTGCAGCCAATCGAGAATCCTCTTCACTCTTTGCTCCAGTGCAAACCATTTTTCCACTACTAAATATTAAAGCTGTAGTTCTTGGGTCCCTTATCCTCATAATAACAGCAGCAAATCTCTTTGGATTATATTCTGCATTCCTAGCATGAAGCGCTATTTTTTTTAAATCTAACTTGCAGTTTAAATTTACAGTAGAAACAATATTTCTGTAATATCAGTGAAATGTATTAGACATCTTTCATTGCAAATCATTTTTTTTACTTACTGAAGTTGTGGTAATATTCCTGGATCTGCAGAAGCTGGTGTCATAGGTGTCATAGGACCAGGTGTAGATGGGCCTATGGATGGAGGAGCTATATGATTAGTATTTTGTACCAGCGGAGACATCATATTTTGCTATAAACAATATAATTCTTTTCTAAAATAATATTAAACATAATATTCAATAAATATAAAATAATTATATTTAATCCTACTGGTGTTTGTGGCTGCATAAGACTTTGTGGTGTCGCAAAAGTAGGTGCTGTTGCATAAGCATGCATAGTCTTTTGTGGTGTTCCGATCATGAGCATACCACTTTGCATATTTGGGCTCATGGCATGCAATTGTTGTAATTGATATTGTTGTGATTGTTGTTGTTGCTGTGACTGTTGCTGTTGTTGCTGCTGCTGTTGTTGTTGTTGTTGTAATGCATTAGGTAAAATTTGTTGATCCTCTTCTGGTTGATGTAAAGGAGTACCTATACTTGGTATGCTAAACCCAGGACTAGGTAACATTTGATCCATCTTTCCTTTTACTTCAAAAAACACGACACTAATAAATTGTTAGTTTTGACAATTTAAAAAATTTATGGACGAACAAATAATTGCTGAGAACTTATAAACTTCCAATTGAGTTTTATAATGTTAGTAATACCCATATTTTTAAAAAATGTTTCTTAGTAGTAACATTTACAGGTTATGTTCTTTGGTAAACGACAACCTAAATTTCTATTTTTATGATTACTGAAAAAATTAATAAATACACACTTTATGTAAAATTAATAAAAAATTCGGGTTTGTATCTTTGTTCTTATTTTTATTTTTTACCCAGTGGTTTATTCTTGTTTGTTTACAAATTCTTAATTTAAAAATTACCATAGACTTATGAATGTTAAGGTGGGTTTTAATATTATTAATAATACGTTAATGAAAATCGTTCAGAAAAATATACAAAATTTTCATCGTACATTTTTTTGTTATTTTTAACAAGAAATTATTATATGAATTATAAAAATATTATTATATGAATTAAATAAAAATCGGTAAATTTCATAATGCGTATATGAAACAGAATTAAAAAAATAAAATAGAAGAAAGAAATTATAAAATATATATTGTATTTCAATCGTTTCATCGGTAGTAAAATACAGGACTTTAATAATTGCACACGTATAGAAAAAAACTAGATTTTATTGGGTTTAAAAATTAAATATACTGCCACAGTCAGCTCTAGTACTAGATATACCAAACAACGTGACAATACTGCTCATATAAGAATCAGGAATTATATTTTCAATAGTGGGGTTTTGTATTTAAAGATTTTGGAGCTGCAATTAACATTTTTTTTTTTTTTTTTTTTATTTTTTTTTAATAGAAAATTATACTAATATACACTACTTTCATTAATTGTTTATGAACAATATATAGATACGATAACTGTATAAATAGAAATACTATAGAAGTATACTAACATTTATAAACATGATATATATTTTATGGACTTTCTGGATAGTTTGGTGTTCTGATGCATTATATTTGAAATATTTACGAGTGCAGTTCCAAAAATAACATACCTCTGATTTAACTCAAGGTTTATACAAAGGAACAGGGTTTAATTAAGTATAAAAAAATAATCCCAAAAAGATTTTTGATGAAAGCAAATCTTGTCTAGAACAAATTACATTTGAGATAGGTTAGATTTTCCTCATTTAAAAAAGAGAAAGAAAACAAGGTTAGATCAGCATTAGTTTCGAAAAGAAATGTTCGAATTTCCATTAAGGAAGTAGTCGAAGTGAGGCGTCAGGCGGTTCGTAATCTCACCGTGACACTCAGTTGAAGCAGCCGTGCAATATGACATAAGGTTGTTAGGCTGTGCTCCCAATTTTGAAGGAGTGGATACACAACGATGAAAGGCTCACGCATTGCCTCACGGAGATGCTTACTAGGCATGATTACTTTAGTAAGTACTTGCACAAAATAAGACAGGAGGCAATGAACTCATCATTGTAGAACCAAGTAGAGGCTTAACAAGACATAGCATTCGTCGAAGAAGTGCTTAATTTGGATACTTGAGCACCGTTTCTTCTTCTAGCACCTGGGATAGAACCTCTTTTGTTCTTAACCATTATTCCACAGATAGTGTAGGACGAGAGAAGGAAATGATTTCCTTCTGCAAATATGTAATGCAGAAGGAAAAGGCTGCGAAACAGATCCGCGAACGTGACCATCTGAGGAGAAAATGTTAACGTACATGTCGCAAGTTCATCGTCACATCCGTTGAAGTTTAATCTACAATTTCGAGGATTCGAGTCGTAGGTGGAGGGGCTATCTTTCACCCCTCATTTTCCTGCGACTCGCTAGGACCACGGGCAGTTCGAGTGGTGACTCAATTGCCAAAGAAGGCTGCGATACACCAATGAGACATAATGGAGGTGAATTGGTTTTTCCCCTCTGAGGACGCGCCTTCAAAGGGGATTATGATATAGGGAAGCACCGGTTGTATTTGTTTCGGGTTCCTGGGATTTCCCCAGCACATCGAAAAAGGTTACCGTGGGGATTCTACTGGCTAAAAATCTTGCTTCTATCCCCAGTGGAGTAAAATATCTTCGAAAGATTTCCAGTACGTGAAAAAAGAAAAGTTTAGGATAGATTAGGCTTGGTGCTAAACTTCTTTACAGGAATTCTTTTCAATGTTCGAATAGAGTCTTTGTGTGAACTGAACCAAATCGGACACGAGTTGCCCTAGAAATTTAATTTAGTAACATCCACAGCTTTTTGCAAAAATTTCGGAAATAGAGGCTTGTCGCCAAAAATCCTTTTGGGAATATATTTCTATGCTCAAATAAAACCTCTGAAAAAATTTTAAACCAAATTGAAAATGTGTTATTTTCGGAATATCCATAGAAACCTGAATTAGTCACATCAAAAAATCTATAAACCTTGAATATCTTGAAAAAACATTTTCTAGTATACAATTGGGCAATAGGATACCTTATTATCTTTGAATATCAATTTCTATAAAATGCACCCTGCAGGTGGCAAAATATTTTATTAGTATACAATTTTTAAGAATAGTAGTTTTTAAAATATAAATATAAAGGTATAATTATTATTTTCTAAAATACCATAATGTCCTTAGCAATTGGGAACACAGTAGCATCATGGCATTATTAACTAATAAATATGATACAAAATTTGTAAAAAAAAATTTTACACAAAAAATTTCTAAAAGACTTAATAAATATGATTTTGTTATTATAAACATTTTCTTATGAAATTATCATAATGATATTTCTGTAATATTATGGCACTATATTATATTATTAATATTGATTTTAAATAAATTGAAAAGATTATATGTAGATTCTATTAAATAAACATGTACACAAAAATAATGATTTGTGAAATTAACCTAAATAAATAAAACTTCATGCATTATTGCACGTACATACAGTTACTCACAAAATTGAGCGTACACCTATGTTGGCAACGATAATGATCGGTACAATCATTAAAAAATGTATTGGAAAATAAAAATACATTTTAACACATGAATCGTACAAAAAGTTTTAAATAAGAATGACTATTTATTTATATTTAACAATAAACGTAAACGTAGACTTATTTTAGGGACACAAAATTCAGTATAAATAATATATTTTAACATTATAATATAATAAAAAATGCGTTTCAATACTTTGTTGCATAGTCTCTAGCTTCAATAACTTCCTGTAACTGTTTTGACATTGATTTGATTAATTTTTGAACTGCGGAAGATAAAATATTCTTCCATTCTTGGCGTATTTTTCTTTTAACTGCTTTGTATTTGCAATAGCGTGATTGGACAGTTTTAACTTGAATTCTCCCCACACATGCTCTATTGGATTTAAATCCAATCCAATGGATCAAATTTTGGGCACATTGTATAATAATCATTCTTATACTAAATACGATAAATATTTTGGACCATTGTACTGTTGAACATGTTATGTACATGACATTTGTAATGTTTTTTTTAAATATTAAGATATTTCATCTTATCTATTGTGCCTTCGTTGAATTCTATATTTCTTGTACCATTTGACCTGGTACAGCCTCATAACATTACGGGGCTTCCACCGTATTTCACCATTGGAAACGTATTATGAACAAGATATTCCGTATTAACCATTCTCTATACTATTTGTTTTTGGTAAATATGCAGTTTAGCAGCTTTGCCCTAAACGCGTCTTTTTCTCTCTTTTTTTTCACATAAGGCTTTATTCGTGCCTCAATAAAAAATACATATCGGAGGAGCTTGAAAAAGTAATGTGCTTTTACTAGTTTTTTGACGAAAAACATAAAATTGGTAAAAACTGCAAAATGCGTGAGTCGATCCCTATGATTCTTGAACATGTGTAGAGGACGAGATTTTGAACACCTTTTATCTGAACAATAATTGTCGCTTGGCCTTAATTTCCGAGATATTTGCAAAAATTATTAACACTACCGCATTGACTCCGCCTGTACGTGTGCCGGGGACGTGTCGGATCAGTTACAAAGGATCGCCGCTAGAATTTTATCGCCTGTCCGAATAAACAAACTCCAGCGAGCGACAAAACAGGACTGGCAGGCGAGCGTATATAACGGATGTACAAAAAAATTATTTAATTAATTTCAATACTATGTCAATTTAGATTTTTTTCACATGTTAACTAAGCTGGTGTGGTATCGCACTCGCTCTGGGCAGCAAGCGGTCCTCCGCTCGGCAACAACATAGTCTAACCTACTTCTAATCCATTACTTAATTTACTGATCAATAATAAGGTAGGTTTGGCTTAATCAAGTAATTGGGTTAGGTTTGGGTTAGACTTATATCCCGACCGCCGTCAAGCGGCCGGCCATTTAAGCAGAAATCCAAAAATCAAATCAAACTTTCGTCATTTACTCTATTGTATCTAGCTTCGTAGGCATCAGGCAACAGACTAATCACTCCTAATAATGACTTGTTTGTCTATCGACACGATGTGCTTTGTCGCTCGCCGCGGTGTGTTTATAAAAGAAAACGAGCGGCGATCCTTCGTATCAGATCCAACACGTCCCGACATACGTACAGGCGGAGTCAATGTGGTTGTGTGAATAATTTTTGCAAATATCTCGGAAAATAAGGCCAAGCGACAATTATTGTTCAGAACCTTGTCCTCTATAACATGTTCAAAAATCATAGGGATCGACTCATGCATTCCGTGGTTTTTAACAATTTTGTTTTTTGTGAAAAAACTAGTAAAAGCACATTACTTTTTCAAGCTCCCCCGATCTATATTTCTTATTGAGGCACAAATAAAGCTTTTTGTAAAAAAACTGGAAAAAAAAGATGCGTTTAGGGCAAAGCCACTAAACTGTATATTTACCTTGTTTTTTCCATCCTTACCAAATAAATTAATTTTTATTTTGTCGGAAAATACGACAGAGTTCCAAAATATTTCATCACAATTTATGTACATTTTAGTAAATTTTAAGCGTTTCTCACTATTCGTTTTTGAAATACAAGATTTTTTCCTGGCTACTTTATCGTGGTATCCTCATTTTCGCAATGTTCTTCGGATTGTTTCAACCGATGTTATTTTTTTATTCGTTTTGGAATGTCTATAGTTAACTTCTTCATATTTATTTTAGAATTTATTTTAGCTTATCTATAAATAAAACGATTATCGATATTTGACAACACCTAGGTCGCTTGATGACAGCATTTCATCACAAATGAATGAAAAAATACAAAGGAAAAGATACAACAAATACATTAATGATGATGATGATCATAATAATAATAATAATAATCATAATAATATCTTTAATTAATAAGAGAAAACCTTTGTACTTAAATATACAATATTTTGAACATTTAATAAAATAATTTTTAACATAGAATACATTTCTGCTAGTATCTTTTGATATAGATCGGAAATTTCACTATGTAGAATATTTTCCATTATGATTCTTTAACAAGGTAAAATAAAAAAAAAAATCTTTTAAGTAAATGTTATCAGGTTTGATAACAATTACTTAAATAATTAAAAATTAATGTTATTCTATTTGAAAAAAATGTGTGTTACATTCTTTTAACCCCTTGAAGACACAACCATCGAATCTTTCGCACCCTTAATGATTAGCCTCTGTATATCATTTAATTTAAAAAAAAAGCATGTTAATATATGCAAATTTCAAGAAAAAACTTGTCACATTTCAATTGACTCATCTTATATATTCTATATAATTAATTTATTTTAATAGGACCCTAACGTTTTAAACCTCTTGAATTCGTTATTATGACACATATATAGATATTATAAGCACACTAAGTTTACTTTGCAAATTTGATACGTAATAGGTCGTTTTACAGTAAATTTTACATGTGTATATCTGTCTAAATTTATGTATTATACGATGGAAGGGAAGTCAGCATTGGCGGTAACTGAAATGGGAATATAAAATATAAATATTGTTTCCCATTTTTGCAGTGAAGAAATAATACTAGACTGTGATTTTGTACATTGAATGCTCTTATAGATCTAACTAGTGTATTAATGTTCCCAGTATTTTATATTCCAATAGTCAGTTTTTAGTAGTTCTTAACTATCTAACTTCGTGCTATGTAATGATATTGCGGTCTACCCCGTGATTGGTAAATTTTAACCATATGGTATAATATATTTTATACGAATATTACTTAAATTAATAAGCATATAACGTGTTATTTTTTAACAAAATATAAAACATTAACAAAATATTTTTCAGCTAAAATATCTTTAACTTTAAAAGTATTAAAACAAAGTAATGCATTATAAAATTAATTAATAAATAATTAAACCTAAAATTAGTTTCTTTCTGATGTATTTTGATTCAAACAAATTGCAGGTAATTTTCGTGATCCAGTTTTAAGGTTTTCTATGTCATATTGTAGCATATGTTTCTGTTGTACTTGATTATAAAGAATATTTTCCAGTGCAGCTATATCAGCTTTATGCTCAAGTTCGATTTGTAACATATTTTCCTGGAGCAAAAAATATTAATTACCTAAGTTTAATTAAACGATATATTGATATGTATCTCTATATATATTTAATAAAATTTATTTTACCTCTGAAATTAGAGTTTGTTCCAAAACTTTTCTAAGTTTAAATTTTTCTTTTTCTAATATTGTCAGGAAACTTAACTTTTTAGTATTATTACGAATTAAATTTTCTAAAACAGTTAATCCTTCTTTGTAATTCCATTTTGTATCTAAAGAATCATAATAATAAAATTATATACTAAGTTTTCATTGATATTAAGTTTTGGATTAAATTTTCAATAAGTTTATAAACTTTAAAGTTTTATAATTTACTTTCTATATTTTTAGAAAAATTCTTCATAATTTTGCGCACATCAGTTTTAGTATCATAAATTAATCTTTGTAAAATAGTCTCATAAAGATTAATTAAAGATACTTTACGACCAAATTTTTGTATCATCTTTTCTTTGATATCTTCTTTTAGTTTTTTGTTTTGTGTTTCCATATATTTTAAATCTAGTTTTATTCGTTTTAAATGTATTTCATTTTTTCTGTAATAAATTATAAATATATATTTTCTTTCATAAATTTTTATTCCTTGTTTATACTTGCGCGTTTCTTCCAAATTATGTGTTTCTTGTTGCAGTTCTCCTACTCTAGCATACAAATCTGTTAATTCTTTTTTATTAAAAACTATACAATTTTGAATATTTGCTGTACATCCAGAATCTGATATATGTTGTAATTGATGAAGTTTCAATATAACAGTTACATTAATTTCATTTAATTTTTTTTGTTTATTCAACTGTAAAAAATAAAACACATTAGTTTATTAATTGTTTTGTAAATCATTACATATAATATTTAAAATTACCATAAAGTTTTGCAATTCTTCTTGATTATTTTTTAAGTTATTTTCAATAATCCTCAAATATTTTGTATCAATATCCAATTCTTTCTGTAACAATTCTATTTCCTTTTGTTCTTCTCTGATTTGAAATTCATATGCATATCGTTTCTCTCTCATAGAGAATGCCATTTCATATAGCTGTATGTCACATCCCAATGGACATATATTTTCATCAAATGGGACATACTCAGTTTCAGAGTCTATTGTACCATCTGTTTCTTCAGAACTAGTTTCTGATGATTGAGTAATTGAATCTAAAGAATCTAAAAATTGTAATTAAATCAGTAAAAATAATTGATTCATTACATTTAATGAAAAGTAACGAATATAGAAACAAGAAAATTTAACACCATTTTGTTTTGTTGTTACTGTATATTTTCTTTTAAATATTTTTTGAAGAAAGTTTTGAAATTTATTATCTGATATAGCTTTTGCAAATTCAGTAGCAATATCTTTAATATTTATTTGCAATTTTCGAATTTCTTCTTCTCGTGTAGCAATATTAATATTTATAGCTTGCATCTATTGAAATTACATTGTATTAATGTAATGTTATAAGTAAATAATTGATTATTATACAAATCAATTGTTATTTTTATTACAAGAATAATAACCTTTAATATTACTGTGGTACGTTCATTCGATTTATGAGTAACTTTTTCTTCAAGTGCATATTCCATTGTTTCAGATTCTTTTAAAATGATAAACTCTTCATATAGAGTTAACAAATTTAAATTCATATATGTACTTCGATATATAACATGTAATCTATATTCTTCAAGTTTATTTAATTCATTTTCTAATTGTTTGTAACTAGAATTGATATATTGTAAAATACAATCTTGTTCATAAATTTTTCGCCACATGCGAGAACGTTTCATTTCACGCTCCCAGATAGTTTGAATAGAATCAGTTGTATTAAGATTTCGAATTAAATCACCAGTTAAAGATGAATGATCTTTTATTTTCATTTTTGATGAAAAAAGAAGGGTAAACAAACTTTCTCGTTCTTCTTGAAAATTTGTTTTATCATCACAATACAATACTTCGTATTCTATATCAGAATGGTCTATTGATTGATCTACAATTAATGATTGTCTTTGGCGTTTTACTTGTTGCATCTTTTCTGACATTGATATGTATCTCTCAAGCTATAATGATATATATATATAGTTATATTAGTTAGTTATATTAATTATATATATATATAACTGACCTCAAGATTATGTTCAGGAAATTCAATATCAAGACTTAATTTTGGTGTGTGCGGTAATGGTTTTATATTTTTCAGTGGAATTTCTGTATGAATTTTTTTAAGAATTTCTGTTAGTTTCATGACTTCTTTTTGCATTCTTTGTTTTTTTAATGCAATTGTTTTCAACTTTGTATTGAAATTTTCTCGCAAATGATGAAGCTATAAAAAATAATTATTTTTAAAAATATTTTAATAATGAACCCATTATTCTAACAAGTTAATTGTACCTTGTTTCTGCAATCAACAAGCTCTTTATATTTTGTAGCCGCAGTTTCTTTTCTCCTTGTTAAACTAACATCTGCATTCATTTTCAAATTGTATTCGCCAATAGTTTGTCTAGCCTTTTCAAGAAAAACTACATCTTCTGCACGATTTTTAACCAAATTTGGTTTTTTGTCATGTAATTTTTGCCACTGTAATGGCAAAAATTACATGACAAATGGTTTTGTAATTTTAATGTATAGATTACTTTTATTGTAATATTGTTTTATTTTAATTTATTTACCTTTTTTTGTCGTTCAATCAGTCTTATTTTCATCTCTTTGTATTTTGACAACATTTGATTAATTTGTAATCCCAATCCAGATGATAAATCACTAAAATCTTTAGATAAAAATTCTTCTAAATATTGTATTTGCTTTTCGCTTGACCTATGTTTTCCATTTCCAATTTTTTCTTCTAGTATTCTATAATTTAACAAGGTACATATGAAAAGAACAAAAGGTTTTAAAACAATCTATATTACTAAAATTTATGAATATAATTCATAATATCATGAAATATTATTATTATAGTATTATTACTATAGTATTATTATTAAGTATTATTAATAGCAAAAAACATACAAAGTTGCTTTCTTCCATAACATATCATCAGATTTTTGCTGCAATTCCACTTCTTGAGAAATAATTAAAAATTAAGAAATATAATATAAGTTTATAAATGAAAGAAATAAATATACCTGCCTATATTTTGTTGCTCTTCCCGGTGCTTCATCAATTTCATACATTTTAAAATATTATTTATATTTAATTTTAATTCCCTCAAAGAATACACGACTCTCTTTTCATTTCTATTTTCAGATTTTTATAAACATAATATTGAAATTTTAGTAAATATAATTTAATAAACATAATTAAAAAAAAATAATACCTACAATATACCATATACTCCAAAAGGCAAACATGTTATGGGTGTAACAAAGTGTTTCATAAGCTTTTGCAATTCCAATTTACTTTTTTCCACTTTAAATTCTAGTTTTTTCTGTGTTAAAACTGTGTGTGCTTTCAATTGTTGTTCCAAATCCTCTACTATTCTGGGATCCAACTCAAATTGTAATATTTGTTGTGATTGCAAAACATGTTTATTTCTAAATTAACAGTAGTCTTTAATAATAATAATAACAACAACAATGATTATAATGATGCTAATGAAAATGTCAATAATAAAAAATATTAAAAAACAATATATTTACATATTATTTAGATTATGTAGATTAAAAGAAACAAAAACACATACTTTATTGTAATTTTTACATATTCTTCTGTTAAGTTGTGTATAATTTCAAGAACTTGTTTTTTTTTTTCTTCTGCAACAGACATAATTCTATTTTGTTCTATTTGAGTTATTACTTCTTCCAAATTTGGATAATCAACATCTTCAATATCCTCAACACTTTCAGGCTATAGATATAAGAAATAATTAAAAATATTATATTTAATTTTAATCAATAGATAGTTACTAAGATAGTAACCTACCACAAAAAGAGAATGTTCTGGCTCTGGTATTTGGTATTTCTCATGTGGTGTATTATCATTAATTTTGAAAGAAAATATATTCCCGTCATGACCACATGTTAGCAACATTTCTTTATCATAACTTAATAAAATGTTAGATATATGTCCATTATAATAATCATGTGTTTGCAAAATCCAACAGTCTGAAAAATCTAATGGCTCTTGTTCTTTTATCTTAATGACATAAAGCTCTCCATATTGTGTTCCTAAATATAAATATTTTTTGTTTGCACTGAAAAAAAAGAATTCAATTTATAGCTTCTGTATCTTTCATTCTTTTAAAATACTTTTAAATACGCCTACTGGAAAAGAAAATTATGCATTTCTATATCTTTTGCACGTTCAATTATTCTACTTCTAATTGGTTTATTATATTTTAGTTTTCCAGATAATGGACGTGGATACTCATAAATATATCCTGCATCAAAACCACCCATGAATAACCATATGTTTCCATTAATACTATATTGTGCCATTAAAACTTTATTTGGATTTTCTGGAATATAAATTTCTGGAAGAATCATCTCTTTTTCATCAAGGTCCACTAAAAGAAAAAAATAAATAACAGTAATGAAATTCAAATTAAACTATTGATATATAATTGGATATAAATAATTACTAAGAAATGTTTCTTCATCAATTATAATATGAGGATTTTTAGCAACTAACTGTGCCATTTCTTTCCTTTTTTGTTTAAGTTTTTCTTCTCTTTCTTCTTCATGTTTCTTTTTTATAGCCTCTCTTTCTATAGTAGATTTTACTGACTCAAATTTAAATGTTACAGGTCTACATTTAACTAGTTCATAAGAAGTTGTTGTATATGACTGAGGCACTGTAGGTAATTTTACTTCTACACAATCTCCTTTTAAACATCCAATTAATAAAGTTGCATCCTATTTGTATAAATTGAAATTTTTATCTTTATTACATTTTACTTCTTTTCACATTTTAATTCTTTATTACACTAAATAATTATATTTACTTCTTGGGGATTCCATGCTATACAAGTAACAGATGACGGAAGTTTCACATAGCCAATAGGTACAATTTTAGGATAATTATTGATAATATGTATATTAAATAAAAAAATAGTAGCATCATCACTGCCTGTTACTAATAAACTGAAAAAAAGTTCTATATATTTTAAACAGTACAATTATTTAGTTTATGTAAAACATACCTACAAGATGTGTTTAAAGACATTACAGTAATTGGCATTGAATGTGGTTTTAAAACTTGAATTAGTTTTGTATGATCTCCTTTCATATTATTTTCAATATCTGCTATTTCTATTGTTATTGTAACCATCCTAAGAATACCGCTTTCAAAGGCACACACAAGTGTTGAACCTGTTTTTTCAATCTAAACATTTCTATGAGATAATATTCACATAAATTATTTAAAGATAGAAAGAAATATTTACCTTACATGGAAGCCAAATCACTTGACAGCCAATGTCATAGAATTTGTAAACTAAATTTAACTTTTTTTCTATATAATTATAAATATGCAAATTACCACTTTTATCAAGTGTGGCTATAAAGGGCCCCCAATCTGTTATATCCATATCAACAATAGGACCAGCATGACATGTAAGAATTTTTTTTTGAAAATGTTGTTTTTTACTAGTACAAAGATCAAGTAACCATAGGCCACCATTTCCATCCTATTAAATATTTTTTTAAATATTGGAATTATATCTTTTGAAATAAAATACTAACCTGGGCATACCAAAGTGTTTCTTCAGGATTAGTTGGTTTCTGTTTTTGAATACTTATAAGCATGGCATTTTCTCTTCCTTCTGCAATTTGAAATTCATAAATTGGTTGAATTTCAAGGAATTGCTTATCATCAGCAAGATTGGCATGATCTATGGTCTCATAAAACCAAAATCGTATCCATCCATCAGATCCTAAAACATTACAAATTATAGCATAATTTATTATACATTTTTCTTGCTATTAATTACATAAAATTTTATTTTATTACCAACTGATATAAGTTCTCCATTAATATACTCAAATTCAGTAATATAGCTAACATGTGCTGTTTCTTTATCTTTTCTACAGGCTTCAAGTTTGATTAAACTTTCATCCCATAAGAGTATATTACCCCACTCACAACCTGAAATCACCTAAAAGATTTATTAAATATTAAAAATTTGTTATGGAAGAATTATAAATTTTATTTTTGTACAATAGATATAATATTGTCTTACAGTTTCATTTGGCATTGGATGAATTGCTATAATATCAGAGATTTCAGTATTTCCAAATTTACCAACTTCACCTTTAAGTTTTAATCCAGTAAAAGTTTTAGACATTTTCCAAAATTTAATGTGTCCTTTTCCACTGGATGTTAATTGGCCAGGTATATATTTAGAAAAAGTGATATTATATATGTCTTGCACATATGACTTACATTGTAAAATAATTTTTGACTCTTTCCAATACCAAAGAGAAATATAATAATCTGGTTCACCACCTTGTGATACTAATAATAAGCCATCTGGACTATAATTAAAAATTATAATTTTATGCCTTTAATTATAAAGTCACTTTATTAAATATAGATTAACTTACCTATATGATAAATGAAAATAACGTTTAGTTGTTCCTCCTTTCAAAACAATAATAGTTTTCATAAGAGGCCAGTTAAAAATTTTTATTACAGGATTTATTCCATTTGCTGCAACAGCAATATGTTCAAAGATAGGATTTTTCTAAAAAAAAAAAAAAAATATAATATTTTTTAAATTTTAATAAATATTTTAAAAGAAATTCTTAAATATATTTTATACATTTTTTTTTAAAAGCTTTTTAGTATTAACTTAAAACATAAATATTTACTGATATGTGTCCAATACCAGTATCTGTAGAACCTATTTTAAACCAAATTTTATTTTCTTTCACATTGAAAAAGTGAATTAAATTACCACCAGCAAAAGCAATAGTATTTGTATCAACTACACAAAGGTTGAAGTATTTTCGGCAATCATATCCATAAGAATAACTAATAAATATTAAAAAATTATATAAGAAATAACATAAATAAGATGTAACGAAAGAAAAATGATTATTGTTTTTATCAAGGATACAAAAATTCTAAAATATTTTCAATTATGGTTCCATCTTCAGGTTTTTTGGCAATAGATGAATACTGTTCATCTTCCACCCCCACCACTTCATCTTCGGTTTCATTTACTTCAAAATTTTCTTTTTGCTGTTTATCATTTTCATTATTTTGCCAACTCGATTCTGCACTTTCTCTTAAATCCTTATAGCTTTTAAATTCAAATTTGCCACTATCAGCCATTTTGTTTCTGCAACCAATATTATAAACCAAAAGGGCTATTAAAGAATAAACATGTATCTTTTTCAAAAATTTCTATGATACTGTATTATAATTAAAATTTTGTTGTAGATCTTTCACAAGTAATTATTCAAATATCCAGATTTTTTCATTAAATTTGTAGATATTAGGTCGATGTAATTCGTAATTTTGATAATTTAGGGGCGGTAACAAATGTCATTCGATTCCGTGTATTCTTGTTGATCATCGGTTGTCAAGTGCATTAATCGTAATATTGGTTAGCGTGTAGAGTCAGATTAATCATGGCAAGTAATTAATAGTGTATTAAACATTATTATATGTATCTATTTTTATTCTTATAATAATGAAAAATATAATTTTTCTCTGTTTATAATAATGAAGGTTACATTCTTGCAAAATTTTGTATTAATTAAGTAGAATAAATATTAAATAGCTGTATAATATTGTATAGATCCGCTTTATCCTCATTCAAAATAGAGCTGGAAAAACAAGATTAGCAAAATGGTATATGAATTTTGATGATGATGAAAAACAAAAGCTAATAGAAGAAGTTCATGCAGTAGTGACTGTACGAGATGCTAAGCATACTAACTTTGTTGAGGTAAATTAAGTTCATCATTTATTATTATAATATTTATTAAATATTAAATTTTTTATATTTTAGTTTCGTAACTTTAAGATTGTATATAGAAGATATGCTGGTTTATATTTTTGCATTTGTGTTGATGTCAATGATAATAATCTCTGTTACCTAGAAGCAATACATAATTTTGTTGAGGTATTAAATGAATACTTTCATAATGTGTGTGAATTGGATCTTGTATTTAATTTTTATAAGGTAATTTTTAATATCTAAATATATGTTACAGTTGAATTTCATGTATCTAATAAAAATTTTTTTATAGGTATATACTGTGGTAGATGAAATGTTCTTAGCAGGTGAAATAAGAGAAACTAGTCAAACAAAAGTACTGAAACAACTTACGATGTTAAACACATTGGAATAAAATTATTTAATGTTATTTAATACTATTGATTGAATATATAAAAATGTAAGAAGTAAAATACACTATGAAAAATAAATCCTGTTAGTTAATTTATTAAATTTTATTATATTTTTTACATAATAATTTTATAATGCTTAGTGTGAAAATATTTGCAGACTGTATTGATTGTTAGATCAATAAATTACGCCAACAGTTTATTAACATATATTAACAAACTTTATTATGTGATATTGATATTACCTCACATTATTTTAATAAAAATTTAAAAAATTTTAAAAGGAGCAAATATTTTATACTAATTAAAAAATATCAAACTTTAAACATAGTAAATATTCATATAAATAATGTAATTTTATTAATATACATAACATTATAAAATAAATAAAAATAATTTTTAAATACAAATCTTGTGATGTATGATTATGAGATAAATATTTAACAGCTATATGAAATAAATTAAAATTTGAGTATTAACATTACTGTATTTATTACACATTCTTATTATATCTTATCTAAATTCACTATTTTTATATTTTATTAAATTTAATTAAATATGTTTTAAACAAATATTTAGTATTATATGAAATAATTAAATATATTAGTAAATTAAATACATATTATAATATGAAATAATACAATTCATAATAATGTTCATAATATAGTCCTAATATAAAGTTTATTAATATAAACATTAATTAATAACTGCTTGTTGTTTTTAATAGTTTATTTTTATATAATTATTGAATTTGATGTATTTTATTACATCTTGACAAATATTTTGGTAATACATTAATTTTGTTTAAATACAATCGAAATTTGATTTACGATTAATCGATGTTGTAAGTTATCGAATCGTCTAGTATAAGCAAACTTCATTGATGTGGGTAAATGGGCTTTGTGAAGATAAAATATCAATTATATACACATATATTTAATAAGATAACTAACAATCCATGTTGATATTGTTTCTAGAACACATCATTTTTGTTTTATGCTATTAACTAACAAAAATAAGCAGTGTTTGATTCGATAAAAAAAATGACACTCTTTAAATCTCTAATGAAAGTGGTTGTATCTATACAATTTATTAATATTTATTAGTTAAATAAAATATTTTATAATATATACCAATATTAACTGAATATAAATAAATATCGATATAAGTTAAAAGTGGTAACCTAAAATTCATTAAGGGTGTTTTTTTATTCATATGAAAAGGAACAATTAAAAATTTAATACAGAAAATGATACGCAGAAGCTTTCTATTACAATGGACTTTAGTGGTGATATTCACAATCACTATCATTTATTTAAAAATGAAACTAAATTTTCTGGAGGATCACTACAAATTATTGCGTAGGCGTTATAATAGACAATTAATTCTATTAATTAATAACAGCAAAAATTTCATCCTTTTAATATTTCGTTCTGTTAAAGGTGATGGAATAACATAGGTATCCTATCGTACTTCCAGACAATGCCATCACGCAAGAACAAAACAATATTCAAACTGGGATTGAAGCTAGTGAACATTCTTACAAATCAGCTTTTGATGATCTCATCATTATCTACAACAGGGTACCAAAAACAGCATCAACCAGTTTTGTAGGTCTGGTCTATGATTTGTGCAAACACAACAAATATCATGTGTTACATATTAATGTTACTAATAACATGCATACTCTTACATTGCCTAATCAGGTAATATTATATAATTTTTAATTTATTATTATTTATTAATTCGTTTTTAATTTGTTAAACAATTACAGTTTCAATTTGCAAATAATATAACTGTTTGGAACACAAAGAAGCCTGCATTTTACCATGGTCATATTGCATTTTTGAACTTTGAAAAGTAAGTAAATAAAAGTATTCATTATGAAAAGTATTTATTTTATTTTTTAAAATTGTGTTTATGCTTTAGATTTGGTGTAAGACAAACGCCTTTATATATAAATCTCTTGCGTAAACCTTTAGATAGATTTGTTTCCTATTACTACTTTTTAAGATATGGAGATAATTTTAGGCCACATTTAACCAGACGAAAACACGGAGACACTAAGGTTTGTATCCAATAAATAGAATTTACATTTATTATATTAATAATGTTCATTTACATATATATTTGTTTTTAGACTTTTGATGAGTGTATTGATGCAGGTCAACCAGATTGTGATCCTGATAATATGTGGCTACAAATACCATTTCTATGTGGTCATGACCCAGCTTGTTGGTAAGATTTGTCGAATTATGACAATTGTTATAAAATATTATTAAACGTTATTATTTAACAGGGAAATTGGAAATAGTTGGGCATTAGAAGAAGCAAAAAGGAATTTGCAAAGACATTATCTTCTTGTAGGAGTAACAGAAGAATTAACAGAGTTTGTAGAAATTTTGCAAACTGTGCTTCCACGGTTTTTTAAAGGAGCCTACAATTCTTTCTTGCACAGTAAGAGGAAAGATCTAAATAACAAATTATTTAAATTATTAATAATTTACAAAATTTCAGATAATAAATCACATTTACGTCAAACCACTCAAAAAATTAATCCGCAACCTAAAACAGTAGACAAGATTCAAAAATCTGTTGTTTGGAAGATGGAGAATGAATTGTATAACTTTGCTTTAATGCATTTTCATGCTATAAAGAAACGGCTCATAAATGCTTCTCCTCAAGATGTAAATCAACGATTTGTATATGAAAAAATACGTCCAAAATAAATTTACTTTTCTAAACAGATGTAATTTCTCAAAATTATTTTTGTGTAAAATTAAAACAAAATTTAAATTTGTAATATTACAAACTATATAACTAACAAAATGTATGAGTAATGAAATAATTTAATAAATCCTGTATTATTTTTGACATTGAGTTTTAAAGTTTGTTATTTGGTTTTAAAGCAAACATGTAAACTGGATATAATCCGCGTGGAAACTTATGCTGTTGTTCTTCTTTTATGCAAACTAAATTAGATTCCTGAAATATGCAATAAAATTCAGAGAGTGGACGTGTCACTGATGAATCCTTTGTGTCAATTTCCAAATTTTCAGAACTTGTTATATTTTCCTTAATTACTATGATACCATTAGTTTTTAAGGCCCAACTGCAAAAATTGTATGGAATGATTGAAAATAATTTATATTTTTTAGTAAGACTTACGAGCATTTTTTTAAAAATTCAACTAAATCATCATGCTTTAAATGACCCAAAACCCACTGGCACCAAATGACATCATACTTCTTAGGAGTGAAGCAGAAGTTTTGTAGTCCTTGAAATATGATTTAGTTAATCAAATATCTTTTGTATAGTTAATAAATTTATCGGATATTACCAATGGGATAATAGTTGCAAATTCTTGTAGAATGATTTTTTAATAATGTTTTAGCTACTTCTAAAAATTTAAAATTTTGCTCCACTAGATCAACATATTTAAAATGATTTAATAGTAGCTTTTTAGTTATCCTTCCTATGCCTGCACCACAATCTAATGCAAATGTCTTTAATGGAGGATTTTTTAACTAAAATAATGTTAAATTTAATTATAAAAATATTTTAAAAAGTAATTTAGTAAAAAATACTTTTTAATATTAAGAAATTAGTCATTGTAGTACATACCTCAAATAAAGCTTTCAAAAATTTTGTAGAACTTTTTATATCAATTTGAGAAATAAATCCAAAACCACCAAGCATTCCATCTATTGTAGGTGGAACATCTTCCCAGTATTTGGCAGCTGCTGTATAAAATTCATGTTCTTCAAGTGTATTTCCTTCTTTTTCCATTTTTGTTGATGAGAAATATTATATCCTACTTATTTAAGTGAATTTAATTTAATACTATTTATGTATCAATAATTTAATTATTTAAAATAAAAAACTATCAAAAATTCAAGTCACATGATCGAAGAAATTAATAAATAGTAAATATTTTTTATAATACTTAAATATTGTAACAATTTTTATTTTCAATGAAAGTTTGTTATTGGTTAATATTATTTACAGATTAATAAGAAATTAGTTAAAAAAAATTTTTAATCTTTATTACTAGCAATTAAAATCATCGATATTTAATAAATCATCGATTTATCGATTACAAAATATCGATACAGTGGTTATTCTATTCAGTCGAAATATCGTCAACATATCGATTATTATATGGAAAAGCTTTTTCTACAGTTTAAAGACAAATTTATGAAAAAGAAATATTACATACAAAAACGGTGCAATTTATTTATAATAGAAAAATTTATACATCAAATTTTGAATTAAAAATTACATTGCGCATAGCTAAGATACATAGTGTGCAGTAGTTGTGCGTACTCACTGGTTGGTTTGGTTAGGATAAAATCGATGTTAGTCGTTAGTGAGCAGTTCTGTTGGAATCATGGCAGAAGTTCGGCTTTATGATTCAACAATTTGTCGGTTATGTGCCGAAGATAATGGCAATGGAGAATTACTCTACATAGAAGATAGTGATGATCCAGACTTAAGTTCTATGGTCAATCGGTACTTGCCGCTCAAGGTATGAGTCTTCGAAACATTAGACTCTAACTTGACTTCCTACTTTGTGCACACATACTACCTGAATCAAATGTTTGATATTTCCTTTTCATACTGTACACTGTTATTTACTTTGTCTATTATGTGAAAATTTATTTTAGTGTTTATAAATATTTGTATGATTACAGCATAGTGTCTTTATTAGTAAAATGTTTAAATGATAAATATTTTGGTTATATTTATAATTTAATGTCAAATACCATTTTGTTACAGTGCATTGTTATTAATCTAGTTTAACTTGAATCCATCCTATTTAACAATATTAATTTGTTTTAATCATAAACTTCAATTCAAAACATATAGAATTTTCGATTTTTAAAAGCATTTTTTATAATAGAAAAATATAACCAATAGCAATTGGAATAATTATTGATTTCTTGTTTAAGGTTATTTCATTATAAAAAAAGATATTGATTCCATTTTAAAATAGATGCTATAACATAATTTTGATTAAAGATTCGAGATGATGGCAAGTTACCACGCACCATTTGTCCTGGTTGTAATATCCAACTGGAAGCTACAATACAGTTCTTTGAATTATTGGTGGATGGTCAAAAGAAAATTCGTGAGATGTGGAAGCATCAAGTAGAACAACAACGTAAAGCTGAACGAGAACGTGTTCGTGCTGAAAAAGAAAACACTGAAATTGGGACAGATACATCACAATTAGATAATATTTTAAGAATCAATGAAGAAGACCAATTTGAACAACAAATTATAATAAAAAGTATTATACATTTTAATGAATTTACATCTTTAATCAAAAATTTGATACAAATTTGTTAATTGTGTTATTATTTAATAGTAATGCCAGATGGCTCTATGTATGCTGCAGAACATGAAATGAGTTTACAAATGGAAGGATTAAATAAACCAAAGCGGAAAAGAGGGCGACCACCAAAATCACATACAGAAAACATATCTATGGTTAGCAAATTTAATATTTTTTTTAGGATAAAATATTTTAAATTAGTAAATTTTAGGAATTAACAAAAGGAGAAGCACTAGAAGGAGTCAGTCAAGAAGAAGAAGATAAACATGAAGAAGAAACAGATGATGTAGATGGTGATGGGAGACGTCGTAGAAAGCGTAAAGTTCCGAAAAGGTAGATAAGTACATAAGTAGATATATAGAAAAAAATGAAGATAATTACTATCATTTTTATAATAGATTATGGAATGATTTAGATATATGGAAGCAGTTCAAGGTAAAGAGTTAGAAAGAATATATAAGGAAGAAGGAGTAATTGATGAAGAAGATGATGATGAACCTGATAATTTTGAAGATTCTGAAGAACAGTTAAATATGTCTGTTCCTGATAGCCATGAAGGTAAACAATATTATATTAACATAAAGATAATACTTATCAACTATTTATGAATAATTATTTATATATTTTAGAAATAATTGGTCACCTAGAATCTGAAGAAGGAAAAGATCTTGGAGAATTAGTAATAGTAAATCGGGGAAGAGGACGGGGGCGACCAAAATTGCGACGTAGAAGAAATAAATTTACATGTCAGTTATGTGGTCGAGGATTTCTTCAACGTAGCAGATATATTGTACACAAGTATGTAAAGAAGTTCAACTTTAATTTTGTATGTAACAAAAATAATATTTACTGTTTAATTAGGAGTTTTCATAAGGGGATAAAATATGAATGTTCAGAATGTAAAAAATTATTTACAAGTAAAGAAAACTTAGAATTGCATCAAAAAGCAACTCATCATACTGGTGATGATACTAATCAAGATTTTGATATTAATCAAGATTCTAGCCTTGAATCAAAACGTCATTTATCTGAAGATAATATTTCTAATGTACTTGATCAAGCTTTGACTGAAGAACAAGATACAAATAAATTTTCAAACTGTTCTAATGATATCCAGAAAAATTTTTCATGTGAACAATGTAAAAAGTTGTTTGAAACAAAGGAAGCATATGACTTACATTTGAAAATGGTTCATGACCATGATAAATTATTCATTTGCACAATTTGTAATAAAAATTTCACTCAACAGACAGCTTTAAAACATCACATGTCGATACACGAGGTATAGAAATATATGTGATTAAATAGTTCCAAAATTGTTAACATTTAAAGTGGAAAAGATAATAATTAAATACTTTTTATTATTTTTTAGAGAAGCAAATTAGAGAAAGAATATCCATGTGATATTTGTGGAAAAGTACTCAATCATCCTAGTTCTGTAGTATATCATAAAGAAGCAGAACATAATAATGGTCGTCGATTTGTTTGCAATAAGTGCGGAAAAAGCTTTAAACATAAACAATTATTACAACGCCATCAACTTGTTCACTCTGATGACCGACCTTATATTTGTAAATCTTGCAATGCCAGTTTTAAAACAAAAGCAAATTTAATCAACCATCAATCTACACATACTGGTGAAAAAAAATACTTTTGTGAAATTTGTGGACAACAATTTGCACATAAAACTAGTCTTACATTACATTACAGGTTATTATAAGAATACAAAAATTCTGTAAATAAATTTTGCTGCTAGATAAATAAACGATGAATTTCATACTTAGGTGGCATACAGGGCATAAACCATATACATGTGAGGTATGTCATAAAAGTTTTTCACAAAATGGAAATTTGCAAGAACATATGCGAATACATACAGGAGAAAAACCTTATTGCTGCGATTATTGTGGTCGAAAGTTTACCACTTCTTCACAATTTAAACTTCATGTTAAACGACATACTGGTGAGCGTCCTTGGAAATGTGAATTTTGTGCAAAATGTTTTCTGCATAAAGATACGTGGAAATGTCACGTGCGTAGACATAAAGGAGAGCGTCCTTTTCAGTGTGCTCACTGTAATCGAGGTTTTACAGAACAATGGGCTTTAAAAAAACATCTTCGTCTGCACACTGGTAACACTTTTATTTCATTTTCAACAATGTATTACATCGATATATATATATGTTTAAAATTTATTGTATTCCAAAATTTATTTCATACTTTTTTATTTATTAGGCGAAAAGCCTTATTCCTGTGATGTATGTGGAAAAGCATTTGCAGACTGTTCAAATTTAACAAAGCATAAAAAAGTAAGAATCAAAATTTTTATTGATATTGTATTGCATTGGAAAGATTCAATAATATAGAATTATTATCGAGTTACTTATAGGTACACAGAGAAACTAAACTTTCTGCTATAAGTGAAATAGAAGGATCTCCAATTGGAGAAGTTTGGCAGATTTTACCGAGTTCTCAAGAATCTGATGAACATTCATTAACTGATCAAATGGCACAGGTTATTGCAACAGATGATACATCTGGAGATGGTATTCAACAAATTATATATGTTTCATATCAAGATCCAGATGATCCTAATCAATCTCGGACTTTACATTTCGGTAAAGAGTAAAGTTTTATTATATTTTTATTGATTAATTGATATCTATATCTAATTGGGTTAATTTAAATTCTATGTTGAATATAGTTGACGCTGGAATGATAAGAAGTAAAGAGGAGAAAACAAACGTAAATCAGTCATTATCACATTTAAGTGTGGACAATGATGGAATGCTTTCTAACCCAACTCATGTTAATGGTAGTAGTACCTCAAATGAACGAATAAATATGGAAATTTCAGAATCTGATCTTCAACTTCAGGTAAAAATGAATAAATATTAAAAATATTAAATAATATAAAAAGTATAAAGTAGTAGATAATTTACAGATTACAGATGAAGAAGGTAACCCAATACCTCTTTCAATTCAAGATGCACGACAGCTCTTATCACAGAGTCAATTTGTTAATCAACTTAGTGATGGTCAAGAAATTAGAGTTCATCCTGGTGTGATTCCAGATGAATTAACAGGACCATTAAGTGTACATGTTAATCAAAATTCTGACATAAAGGATGTTGACATTTCTAATACAGTAGAAACAAAAGTAAAAAGTATTTCAACTGTACAAACAGATGCAGAAGCAATTGTAAAAGCATTACAGGTATTACAGATATTACCAATATCTTAAAATAAAATTTTTCAAATAATTGATATCTTATTTATATTTATTTTAGAAATTACAATTCAGTTTTTCATATTTTAAAAGAAATAAGGATTTTAATATACAGAAAATGAATAAAACACACTTCCAAATTGTGAACTAAATGAATATAACTTCATAAAGTAATAAAATATGATTTTTTAATAAATATTTGAAACATTTTTTGTAAATATGGAACTAAAAGACTTAGAATTATCATAAACAAGTTTTGACTACATATATAATTTATAGTGTAATATATTATATTGATTAATTACTATAATTTTATTCATAAATATCTACAAATTTACACTGCTAAAATGAGAAATTATTTTTTGTTTTGACAGAATTGCAATATTGCATTGAATTATGATATTAGTAATTTTACAGACATTAGTTATTATATACTTTTATTGTTATATACTACAAATTTTATCATTATATTTGATTATAATTATGTAATAGGATGAAGATACAGATGCAAATGCTGTTGCAACGATTAATCAAATGGAAGAATCGGAACAATCAACGATCGCTGAAAATGAACAGGCTATAGAATTCACAACACAAGATGGTCAGAAAGTTCGTTTAGTTACTTCTTATCACGTCGATCCAATGCAGCTTGCTTCTGAGTACCTGACTATTGTATAAAATTTGAAAATTATAAATTTGTATTAATAGTTTCTTTTAACCTTATATGTTAAATTTATTCAAATGTAGTAACTCTACTTTATACTGATTAATGGATTTTTAAAATATACTGCTCATTTATGGACGAAACTTTGGTAGCTTATCAAAATCAACTTTTTAGAGACAAGCAATTAGTTACTTATACATTGTTTATATTTTTAGATATTCAGTGGTTGCTATGAACGCGTATGTAAATTTTCATTTTGTTTTAAATGTAATAATCAACAGAATATAACGGTACTAAATATTTACAAGATATTAATAATTAAAATGAATCATTCTTTCTATCTTGAAATAATAAATACTTAAACATAATTAAACATTAACGTGATGATTATGAATATACGCTCCAAATCTACTGGTTAATTTCTTTACACATTGACTCAATATCATGATTTATTTTTCATTTGTAATTATATACATCTTTGTATATTACATTCTATGTTAATAGTTTATTTTAATTATGTTAATTTTTTAAATATATTTTTGTTATTTATTCTGCCTTTTATTTCATATCATATTTTACATTAGTAACTATAACATTAAGTGCAATAAGTAACATGTTATTGTTTACTTAAACATAAAAAAGGAGATTGTTATATTTATTTTAAACAAATTATGTAATTAATATAAATAATATTAGGATATTTAATGTAAATATATATAAAAATAAAGTAACAAAATTAAACTAAATATTGTAGAACAATTGGCATACTTAAGATGTAATAATTAAATGTGAAAAAGAAATAAAAATATTGATATCGTGAATTTAAATTGATATATGAAACTCCCAACTGTTGAATTTGCAGACTTTATATACATTAAACTTTAATATACTATATATATATACTTTATATACTTCAAAATGTAAAGGAAACTTAACTTGTATTATTAATATCTTGTAAACAATCATGTATTTATTTCCAAAGACAATTATAATTGTACTCAATTTAATGCATTTTACGAGCTAGCAAAAGTTCATTAATAACTGAGCGATACACTCAAAGAATTTTCCATGTAAATTATTTTTTTCTTATTTTATTCTTTAATGTTAAGTTAATTTAAAAGATCTTTAAATGTTAAAAGTTATTAAATATAAAAGTAATCGATAATACAAACGTACGTCCTCATATGTAGAGTATGTATACATATGTAATAAATATTTAAAGAAATTGTTATTTCTTCCTTTTTTTTTCAATTGCGGTATTTAATATTTCAATAAAAAGGGAAGGTAACAGAAAATTCATTAATCTTTAAAAATATTTACGAAATTTTGTTTATTTAAAAATTTTAATCTTATCCATTATTATTTAGAAACCCAGCATCTTTGCAAAGCTGATGCATTTGATGTAAATGTTTATTATTTTCAACAGCATGATCTTTTAATAATAATTCTGTTTTTAATGATGAACCAATTAAATCTTTATATCCAATCAATTTTGTTCCAACATTTAAAGTATCTACCCATATTATATTTCCCAGATGTAAATTTACCTGTTTATTTAAGTTTATATTATATTTTATTTATACATATAAAAGTGTGTAAAAGAACATAGCAATATAGTATACCGTTCCAATAACATAAGATCTATTATCAACATTTTCTTTAAACCACTGATATACAGAATCAATTGCACAATTATTCCAAACATATTCTTCATCATGAGGTGCTATACCAACTAAAAATACTTCTACTACTTGCATAGGATATTTTATAAGCTCTTCTGGCATATCTAATAATTTATATACCTAACATAAAATTTATATTAATTTGAATATGTTATACACTCTGTGTCATAATATTCGAATACATACATCTACTTTGTTCAAAATTACTCCAGTATCAATACATTTTACATCTACATACTTTGGAGTATCAATCTCATCCTCTCTCTTAATATGTAAAATTTGTACTCTTTTGAAAGTATCTACTGGTTCTTCTAAACCACATATGTATCCTATGTCTATCGTCCTACATTTCTTTCTACAATAGTAAATAGAAATCCAAATAAACATATTAAATAATTTTTAAGATATTGTTTTTTCTATTTATAAAATAGTTTTTTTACATATATCTACCTGTTTTCGATAGAAGCATAAAACTCTTGAATTTTTATATTCATCTGCATATATTCTGCATTAGAAAATTTTATTTCTTCTAGTGTATCAAACTTAAAATATGATATAATCCTAGCAGAAATATGTGTGACGTCATGTATACTCATTACTCTGAACTTTACTTTATCCTTTCTAAAATAATATTCAGAATTTATTAGCCAATATTCTTTAATTGTTTTCAATCTTTCACTTACACTTGAATATTTGTCTGTGGTGCATCAACTTTTGAAAGTATTTTATGTCTAAATATACAAGAAGTTTGTTTATTGCAAAATCCCCAAGATTTTATGTTATCACAAATAGGATAATTTTCTTTTTTTTCTTCTAGAGCAGCTGTTATAAGCTTAATAAATTATGTAATATTATATAATATTATAATAAAACAAGTTATTATAATAAATTAATTCATGTATATACATAATATTTTTTATAATTATTATAGTCAATACCTTAACTCTCTCTAATACAGCTTCTGGGATTGTAACATTCATATGTTGCATTCTTTTTATTATATGTAAAAACTGTATATCATTAAATTCATCCATCATTATAGTTACTTTGCAATTGCAATTTTCCTTAAACATTAAATTATATTTATTAAATTATATAAGTATTTTTGTTGTAAAGTAACATACCATTTGCAAATTGTCTAGAAGTGTCGAAAATCGAAAATTAAACTGAGTCTTAGAAAGCAAAGGAATTGAATAATGTATTAACCAAGTTACATTTGTAACATCAATATCTGATAGTATCTCATCTGTACATAGTAAAACTGGATAAGAACCATTCATACAAACATTCCAATATTGTTTAATACCTATATTAAAATAAAACATGTTAAATACATTTCAGAATAGAATTAAAAATTCAATTAGAATAAAATAGAGAATTCAAATTCAAATCCCCACAATATGAATTCCAACCTTTTAAATGAACAAAATCCATATTTTCATGAACAAATAAAATCTCTCTATGTTTTGTTAGAAAATTATGTAATTTCTTAGCTTCTTTATTATTTCTGCAAATTACTATAGTTCTTGAACTGCGGTATTCATCACCTAATAAATCTGCATAAAATGATTTGAAATTATTTATTGCACACTAAATATAAGTTTAAAAAAAATTAATTTTTACCTAAAAGCTTTTCATGTTTTTTATTTGAATTTATTATATCTATATTTAGACATACAGATCTAAAAATTGCAGCTTCTATAAAAGATGCTATACATATGCATGGATCATCCATTAAAATAGAAGCAATTTTTTTAAAATATGGTCTCCAGTATGTAGCAGTTATTATAATTTGTAACATTTTATCTTTTAATTCTCTATTAGAAATAATATCATGTCGTTTAAATAGTTGACTTACCTAATAAACATTTTATAATATTTATGTAAATGTTAAAGCAAAAAATGATCATAAATAAAAAAAAATTTACAGAATCAAAATATTTATCTAAAATAACATCACCGCCATCTAAAACTAAATATCGAAGACTTTGAAAATTCACTAATTTTTTATTTCTATTTAGAAAACGTGCTAGAAATCTTGGTGTAGAAATTAGTATCTGACACCCATTAAACATTTCAGCCTAAAAATAAAAAATTTAGTTTTTATATAAAATAAAGTATGAATATATATTTATCTTTTTTGAACTTATTTTAGAAGATTACCTACCACTAAGGATTTTTCTGATTTATCATTGATTGCTGCAATTGATCTTAATGTTTTGTAACTTTGTAAGAATTCAGTACATAAAGAATTAACTTCTAATACTTCACAAGAAGAAGAACATAGTATCAGTGCTGATGGATTTATTCCTTGTGGAAGCTGTTTAAAAATCAATGTATATTTAAATTAGTGTATACTTTTAATAACAAATATATCATTACTGAACTAAATATATATACTATATCATTACTATATCATATATCACGACTAAACTAAAATATATATACTATGTGTATATATATGTATATATACACTAAAATATATACATGAAATTATAAAATTATTAATTATCTAATAAAAAAGCAAATATCATGGACTATAAAATTTCTAAGTTTCTGAATATATAAAAAATAATATATTCTGCCATAAGACTACGAAAAAGATAAATAAGTATATGATATATGCATAATTTTCAATATTAATACGAAAAAATAATTATTTTAAAACAAATATTACATTTGAGTTCATAGCCAAAAGTCCGCAAATAGCAAATCCATATCCAACTGTTTTACCAGATTTTGCTACTCCAATTGCTATAACATCTAAACCTTCTTTTATAGCAGGCCACATATATGATTGTATCCTTTTTGGCTTGGGTGATCTTATCAAAGATTTCCAAGCCTTAAAAACACAATATAAGTTAATTATAAGTTAATTATAATTATAAGTTTTAGAATTATACCTTGTGTATTTCTGCAGGAAATTTTGCATCTAATATAGAATTTAAGCATTCATATTTATCTTTTCCATAGATTAACACTTTTTCTGTATTTTTTTTAAATTCATGATGTAAATGCTTATGTATTTTGAATTGCATTTTTCTTACAAAACTGAGGAAGAAAATTTAATATAATTGTTAATAGAAATAAGATTAATTAATCATATTTTTTAACAAACCTTTCTTTTTGTTCTTTTCTTTCATTATTGCTATTCAATACTTTTGAAATATTTAAATAAAATATAGTTTCACAATTGATTATTTCTTTATCTACTTTTTCACTGTTCATAGGATTTTTTATAAATTGCAACAATTCTGCATAAAAATCAAATAACAAATATTTATAAATATTTATAATGTTAAATAAGACAATTTGTAATGTAATTAAATATAAAATAAATGATTAGATTACCTTCATTTAAATAAACTGCATAATGATTAAGAACTAAAGCTTCACTTAAACATATTATATTACTTTTTATGCTGAGATAAAATTCACCATAATATCTTCCATATTGATCAGATACCAAATAATCAAAATAAATTGTATCAGATGCACTTATTAATTCCTTTGTATATTCAATTGCACATGGGCTCCATTCTTTCAAAATTCTTGACATGCATACAAAAAATATATTTAATTTTTAAATATGTAAATTATTTATGTATATTAATTATTAGATTTTATTGTAGCCATACATTAAAGTTTTATTGTGCATAGATGAATCATATTTTATATCGGCAGGTAAAATATTATATAAACCAACTGTAAAGCTTAAATATTCTTCCAAAATCACATCAGATGAACATATAATAAAATCTTCTCTTTGTAATAAAACGGTAATACCATAATCGGGTAAAAAAATATTATATGTATTTGTTGTATTTTCAATACTAATAATGTATCCTCTATATAAACAACTAGGATGATCAACTGCTATATCTAAGTCATTGCATACTATAACTGTCTGAAAATATTTATATACCAAATTAATTTTTTGTAATAATTGTGAATAAAATCTAAATTCATATAAATTTATTAATATAAATGAATATAA